CACCCAAAATGAAGAAATGAAATATCCCAAGAGGACATCGTGAAAGGCATAAATAGCAACGGGAGATGGCTAACCCTTCAACATTGACAAGAGCCACGTTGTCTATTGTTGCAAACCCTCTGACAGGGGCATCTGCTATTTGACCACCACGTTCCTCATCAACTGAAGGTCTACATATCATGGTCCCTGGTGCAGATAGGTTGAAGACATTCCTTATGACAATTGGAATGTCATATCGCATCACTGGAATTATAGTTCGAGGATGCAAAACATTCGCCCCAAAATATGACTGCACGACAATCACAGGAATCTTGTCTTAGAACAAACTTGAATTAACCAACAAGAGTATCAATATGGGAACCACACTCACCATTTCCCAAGCTTCTTGATAGGACAAGGTCTTCAGTATCACAGCCTCACTAACTGCAATGGAAACAGGCGCACGCACCATATCAGTATGCCCTACATCAAAGTTCTTCTGTACTTATAGAGTGAAAGTTTTTCTTCAACTATTTAATGGCTCGCGATCGCACAAACCTTTCCTAGGATCTGCACTATAGACACCATCAACATCAGTCCAGATTGTCACCTGTCTAGCCCTCAACATTGCACCCATAATAGCTGCAGAGAAGTCACTACCATCTCTCTTCAAAGTTGTAGGAATATTTTCAGGTGTGCTTGCTATGAAACCAGTCGCAACAACTGCCTTGCATGGATTTTGAGCGAACCATTCTTCAAGTCTTTTTTCAGATTCAACGAAATCAGGATCAACTTGATTAGCACTAGTAGGGTTGACAATAAGGACATCTCTTGTATCCATCCATTGGCAATCAATGCCATTCTGCACAAAGAGAGCATCTTAATAGAAGTTTAATGTAGCTTATTCACTTATTAAACAAAGAAGATCAATTCTCTACCTTCTTCACAACATACGATAACATCTGAGCAGACCACAACTCCCCATGTCCGGCGACGAAATCGGAAAAAGATTCAGTTACATGACCAGCTGCAATAAATGGAAAAAATATTTCAAAGTGAGAATGTATGGATGTCACAGCACAGCGTTTCTTCCATAGTGATTGTAATGGACAAGAAAACCGATGACTTGTTAACCAATGCATTTCCAGAATCACAGGGAACCACCCTTGCTTACCAACTTAAAATTAAAGCACTCTACTTTCCAATAAGTACACAGCGAGAAAATAAAGAGAGCACAACATCCATTCACCTATATAAATAGCGCGAAGCATGGCCTTGAGGTTGTTGATATCATGATGCAACCTTGACAAAAAGGTAGCAAGATCATCTCCATCGAGAAGATCCATAGCAGTCAACTTGTGCTTCTCGAACACAGCATCAGCAGCAGCTACGTACGAGTCATCCCGAGATTGTGCCTTGTTGATGAGATCATACATCATATCAGTCACCTTCGACATTGCTGACACAACCACGAACTTCCCTTCGGAGCTATCATTAGCAATTATATCCGCCACATTCTTTATCCTCTGAGAAGTTCCCACGCATGTGCCCCCAAACTTATGGACTGACCACAACTCACCCTTCGGTAGTAGAACCTTTTCCTTGGATTCATCCAGCAAAACAGCTACAAGCAGAGAGAGAGAGAATTAGACACCCAAATACATCAATGAACAGTTTACTAGATGGTTACAGGAAGGAGCACCTTTAGCAGCAGAAGAAGAAGCATGGATTCTGTATGACTCCTTTCTTCCACATCCTGTTCTGTAACAAGTCAGTGTAAAAAAAAAAAAAAAAAGCTCTTCATCAAAACCAGCTAGTTTGATCAATCGAAACGGATATCCTAAGAAAATCTGATCACCAAATTTGAAAAACAAACAAGAGTATAAGACAGGGAAGGAAAGCGACAAATCAAAATTTTCGCAGAAACCAAACAGGAAACGCAGGAGAAAGAAATGGGGGAAACACTCGTGCGACAACGTAGCAAAATTGAGCCTGGATTTTCTTTCCATTTCCCAAAATCCGAGCTCCAATTCGAGCACTTTCGCAGCTCTTTCCGGGAAAAGGAAAGGGGGGAAAAACTCAAGCAAAGAGGAAATATAGAGCATTCCTTTCCCTCGTTTCCTCGAGAAACAAACAGAAAAGAGCAGCGGGAAGTGGGAGTACCTGAACACGGTGGCAGGGGAGCGAGGAAGGAGAGACAAACGAGAAGAGGAAGAGATCTTCTTCTTCTTCTCCTCCTGCTTATAGCAGCTACTCAGCGAGTCGTGAGGCAATGCGGCGGCGCGAGAGAGTAGACGGGAGGAGGCGGCGGCGCCGGAGATAGAAGCCGAGAACGCCATCGCCGACGGACTGAGGAAATGACGACCGAGGAACGACAATAGACCAGAGGGAGAGAGAGTACCAAAAAACCTCCCTCTCTCTTTGGTTTATAGCGCACTAAAATGGAGGTTTTCGTTTCCCTTTCGTTAACGTTTGGCCCTTTGGGGCTGTGGGGAGTTTTTTTTGGAGGGTTTTTTTTTTTTTTTTTTTTTTGGCGGCTTTCGTTCTCGTTTTGTCTGTGTGCGACGAACGATTCCTTTTCACTGCCGAAGTGTGACTCGGGAAATCGAAACTCGTCCGAGTTTTATAGAAATCGCATGCGGGGTGTGCAGAATCTGCTGCTGCAGCCTGAAATTTGGTATGGGGCCCGAGCCAATTGTAATGCGACACCTGGCTGCGTAAATTGGTTGGTGGGGTAAGTAAGATAACGATAAGTTATATTTTGGATCCTTGATTGAAATATATTATTTGACATTTGAGTCTCAAAATTTATAAAAAATATGATTACGGTGTTACTATTAGTCCCACAAAAAAAAAAAAGTGTTACTATTAGGTTCATGTTTATCAAAGAGCCAACTTATAAACAAGGCGAAGAAGTTTATGATGTATTAAACTCGTCAAAACAAAATATTTTTTTTTTACATTCGTTCGTCCCAGAGTTATCATGGTGATGTGGTGCAGAAGATATAAAAATGAGGAAAAAAAAAACTTACATCTATGTAGAATTTTATTGCGTACGGTGTCGGAGGGAGGCGGAAAAAAATGCAGCAATAAAACTCATTAGATATGTAGATTTTTGTATGATCCTTCAAATTTATGACCCCATATTTTTGTTAGTGCTCGTTTATCTAAGAATCCCAATCAACTCCAAATTTGGTTGCGGCGGCGCCATTGGTTAGGTCCTTTTATAACTCAATGGTAACTTAAAACTAACCCTCTAAATAGCCCGTACAGATTGATACAACTCATACAAACAACTTGTTCAAAATGTTTGCCTTATTAGATGTGTATAGAGGAGTGAGCTTAATTAACTAACGATGGGGTATAATAATAATATAGACCAATGGTGTAAACCTATTTGTCTATATGCTAATTATACCATAATGTGTATCATAGTACCTAATCATGCCTTCCTAAGTCTCCTTAACCTACAATTAACAAACTAAGAGAGAGAAAAATCTGAATAAATCCACCTCTTGCTTTATTTTATAGTTCATAATCATCCATCTTTTCAAATGACGCTCTTACCACATGTAATTTTTGTTTGAAAGAATCTTACCACATGTAATTGAATCGGCTAATCTTGTTATAGCATGTGTCTCTATTTTTCCTTTCCTTTTCCCTTCACTATCCCCAAACAAACACCACTAGGTTGTTCAAATGGTTACCATGGTTATAACCAAACCAAATAAGGCTAAATTCCATTAACCATGAAATACAATATCATAAACAAACCGTCCAAACTAATACAACAACCAAATTGACCAAACTAAAGTTTAATCGGTTTGGTTAATTAGTTAACCAGATTAACCAATATAAAATCACATTATCATTGACGATGAAAATTTTCCGGTTAATGCAACAATTCGCAATTTATATAATGAATAAAACATAACAATCAACACGTAGTTATAGTTGACCCTTAACAAAAATACATGCAACTAAGACAATTATCTTACAATTAGTATAGAAGTATTTACCTAACAAAAAATTATGACATTGGTATGGTTAATGAATTGTTGTGTTTGTGTAAATTGACTTAGTCTCTTAGCAATTATCATAGGCTGGAAATGACCTTCCTTTCAAGTTTTCATTCATCATAATGTATGAAATTTATCTAAATTAGGTGTCCATATGTTGTGGTCTAGACTTTACATATACAAATATACACTATATGAGCAATATTGAGCTTTATATTTTATGAGTCTAAAAGGGATGAACGTTAACTCTTGAGTGGTTATGCAAAGTATTATGTGTATATAATATATGTTATATATGACTAATTACTTAACTGGTTAATTTGGTTTGACTGGTTAGGAGTGTCTGAAACCAAACCAAACCAAACCATCTAAACCAAACAAACTAAAAACTTTAACCAAACCAAACCAATTATCCAAATTAACCAAACCAAATTATCCAAATAGTACCGGTTAAAACGATTACCATGGTAACCAAACCGTTTAAACACCCCCTAAATTTACACCACCATATATGCATGGATAAATCAAGCAAAATGACAGTTGACAAACATTTATTATTCTATGTTGTTTGTGGTGGTCAACTTTTTTTATGCTAGGGCTCGTAGGGAGACAATGATAGTATTATATCATATGACATTCGGTTCATCACGGGGTATTGGTCTAGTTTTACATTTGTTTTTATTGTTCAATAGTTTCAACGTTGATGAGAGGTTCACCAAGAACCACGGTCTACAAAGAAATGAATTGTGGTCATTTTATATCTTATGAGTTAGCTAGCTAGAGTCATTTTATATCATATGAGTTATGCAAAGTGATTCTCAGCTTTGGGTTCATAAAGGTTCTAGCTAGGACTACAATTAAGTTATAAAACGATTCTATTAGAGTTTCATGTAAACTTGTGATAAGAGAAAGCAATGATTTTATTATGTATGTGAAGAATAAGAGAAAGCAATGAGTAAAGCCTTGGTGGTGGGAAATTTGGGACTTATATCAAGGTGAAAGCTTTATGGGATCCTTTTATAGCTCAACTCTAACACAACACTACCATCTTGAATGGATCAGACTAGGGAGATTGATCTGTCAACTCTTACGAAGCAAGAGTCACTTAGAGGTCGATATGACTCGTTCGAGTTCGAGATTCACCTTACTAGATGTACCAATAAACTAAGTGTGTGTAATTAACTAAGAATCAGTTAGTAGGCCAATTATGTTGACAAATGGTATAGACCAAGGATGTTTTTATAAAATTTCCAATATGCATTAGGGCATGGATTTACATATAGGTCTTTTAGTATAATAAATCTCAAGAGAGCCCACAAGTTACAATTTGTCTCAGCTACCTACTGCTCGTCGTCTCGTCCATATATGATACAAAATGTCCACTTGCACGTGAATCACACGATTCCAACTCCCACCTAAAAAACAGATGCACTCACAATCATTAACCTCATCATCTACCTCTTATGCTGTGTGCTGTTCGGGACCTCCTAGTCCAGCTTGTGACAGATGCACTCACAATTCACTAATACCAAGTTCTATAATTCATTAACTAACTTGGTTTCCTAACCTTGTGATCTTTTCTGAAAATGGTGACTCGGAATGTGAGGACTGCAGCGTCGGGACTGCTCTTCACCAGCTCAAACGCACACACGTCCCCGACTCCGAGCCGATTAGCTCCGGCGAAGTCCTTCCACCCGATCCCAAACGACGCCGTCAAGATCCTCGACGTCGTCCCCGGTTCCGCGTTCACTATGACCTTCACCTTCCACCTCCTGCCGCCGTCATACTCTCTGCTGAGGATTGCATCACCATCCCTGGCCTTCATATGTTCCCTGGCGAAGCTCATTGGTATTGACTGCAAATGCAATTCAAAAAACAAAGTATTTGATCTAAGTTCGATTTGGTCAGAATATCAATCCGAGTATGATCCGACCGGCAACGTCACACTCGGTACTTAAATAAGAGTATGAAATATTACTTGTAAAAATTATGCAGGCTACACACTAAGCAACAAAACCAAGTAATATTTCAATAGATCATACACGAAAACATGCCTGCATATTACGAATTGCGATTGATACATAATTAACCAGGAAGCTAAAAGGGTGATGAGTAGATCAAGTTTACCACAGTGGAGCCAGGATGGATGTAGGAAGGGTGGACAGCAACCATGAAGTGAGGCATTTCTGAGGTGAAAACTTCCCTTGCTCTACCAATGGCTTCCGTCTTCTCATTCAAACTCAATCCTCTTAGCCTCTTCACACCATTGTTCATTGTTCCTCCTCTGTTTCGATCGACTTCGAGTTTCGCTGTATCAGTGACATACGACCCAAAATATCCATCAGCCAATTCGGATAGCAGAGTAACGTTCGAGATGACATTGAATCATCGAATAATTGGAAACACGAGTAAATCTCTTACCTGGAGCTGATGCACAAAACTTCATCTTCTTCCATTGATCCCCTGCATCATCCAAAGTTTCCAAACACATAATCGCCTCTGCCGTCCTCCTCCCAGTCCCAACCTTGACATCACTCGAACAATTATTCACCAAATCTCCATCTCTGCCCCCTCTCGATTTCCCCGGCAGAGACGGAAACGCATCCAATATCTCAACAGACGAATCATCAACATCAGTTTCCGATTCATTAGAATCACTCGTCAGCATTGCCTCGTGAACAGGGGATGGCTTGGGGTTGGGGACCGCCTTCTTCCAAGACAGAGCTGCCAGAGGAGGAGAAGGGTACTCAATCTCCGTCGCTGTGGGATCGAAAACGACGACGTTGAAACGACTGGTCCAGCGATCGACGAGCTCGAACACGACCAAGTAGCCGTGGGACAGCGAGTAGAACTCCGCGAACTCAGGAAACCCTTTCTGAAGCCAAACGTCGCCGTCCGATTCCGTCAGCTCCACCGTCCACTCCGTTCCTGATGGGTCCCTCAGCACCGCCGAATCCTCAAGGTTCCCGCCGTACAGCTTCACGAACTTCGTCGGAATGAACTGAAAAAAAACAAAGCAACGAAAAGTAGTTCAGAATCGGGGGGAAATCCTGAAGGTTTCCCTATTGGCCCCTGTTTTTTGTTAAACCCTTACTAAATTAGGTTTTCGTTACGAAATTGGGGTTAATGAAATTGGGGGAGAAACGAGGGAAACTTACAAGCTTGCCGTCACGAATGGCGTCGTCCAGAATGATCTTGAAGAAGTGAGGTCCGCCGCCGCCGCCGTCGATTCCGGCGGTTGTCTTGCCAAGGGAAGCCATTGCTTCGACAACGGAAATTCCTGAAGGAGATTTTTTTTTTTTTTTTTTTTTTGCTAGTCTTCAGAATTTGACTGTGAGAGGAGTTTGGTCGCGTAAACTAACGGTTAAGTAACGGCTGCAAGAGGCGGTCCAACGGAGGAGGATTTTAACGGGATCACCGTTTTAGTGTAATCGGGATTGAATGCATGCATGATCATAGAAGGAGAAGGATAAGTCGATGACGACTTGATGGATTATGTCAGTCCAGCCCATACTTTCCCGGCTAAAAATCCGTCCCGGCACAAAGGCTGGGCCTAGCTCGATCGAGTAGCTGGACCACCAATTGTGCCCAGCTCCAGTGATCTTTCACTTTCAAACTAGACTAAAATAAGTTCGCTCGCTATCACTTCACATCTAAGCGAGTACGTGATATTTCAAAAATTAATAGTTTGAATTTTGACCCAAAATTAAAGGGTTTGTAATCTACAACTTTATGTAGTTGACAAAACGATGAACTTTAATAAGGGAGAAGGGTCATCGAGCAAATGATTTCTATGTTTAAGTTGTAAACACAGGGTTCAAGTTGTTCTGATCATATTGAATAGGTTTGATACCCATAGGTTTGGGTGCTCAACCAAAAGGAAAAAGGATAAATAAAAAACACTAAAACGGATAGATCTCGCTCCATATATACCAAAATCTTTACACACCGAGCTCAACTCACCTTGATTGGTTCGAACAGAGTGTTTAACAATTCACACTCAGCTCAACATGTCAATTCTAAAAGCAGATAAAACACACTCTCGATACAAAACTCGTTAGCCCTGGGGTTGGGTTCAATTGTCATTCTCATTCAAAAGGAAAAGGAGAAATAAAAATCATCAAAGCGGACGAAACTCACTCTCGATCCAAAACTTGTTCAGCTCGCTTTGACCTAGACGAATCGAGTTCTTAACAAATTCACACTCGGCCCAACTTGCCAACTACAAAAGCGGATAAAACTCACTCTCAATAGAAAACTCGTCAATATCATGAGTTTGGTTCAATTGTCATTCTTAACGAAAGGAAAAAAAATAGAAATTTAAAAAATACTAATGTTGGGTTCGAGTCGCTTTGACCTGGTCGAATTAGGTTGGATACCCATGAGTTTGAGTTCAATTGTCATGCTTAACCAAAAGGAGAAAGAGACATAAGAAAACACTAAAGAATATGAAACTCGATTCCAATACAAAACACGACAACACATAGCAGATTTAGTATGAATTTTTTATGGCGGTCTTGAGTCACGATGGGTACAACTTAGGATTCCACCAACAATGTTTGAAGAAGGGTTGTGAATTAGTGGGCGAAGACGAGGATTGTTCATAATAGATATGTTAAGGATATTCGGTAGCTGTCGTGACATCTATTGTTCATTGATTTCGTTGATAGTGTTTCGAGATGGGTTGTGAATTGGTGGGCCATGGCGATGATTTGGGTAAAAGATCATTGATGAAAACCTAATTGAGAATTGCTACAATAGGGAAAACAATGAACAATAGATGAAAACTTTAGTAGACAATAACTACTATAGGAAACCTAATGGCTAATAAATGTAGATCCGACGGATAATAGATGAACAAATAAGTTATAAAATAAGAGAGGTGTAAAAGAAGGACTTGAAACTTCTTCATTTGCACTAGGCAGGAATGGCAATGGGGTAGGTCCGGGGCGGGTATCACGATACCCATACCCGCCCCGTGGCAGGTTGGGTCCAGGTCGGGTAATTTATCACGGGGCGCGGGTCGGGGCAGGTCGACTCAATAGGTATGCAATTTATATGGAAAGCATTAGAGACATTCATTATTTTCATTATAAGACCAATAAATAAATCATAATATTATAAAATATAGTTAAATTATTGGAGAAATTGAGATTTTCACTAATTTACAACTTTATAATTGCTAAAATATGATGTAATAAAAGAAAAATCGTAAGTAAATTGACTAAAATTACATGTGATTTAGGCAAGAATTAGTCGAGAATGGGGCGGGTCAGGGCAGGTCCGGTCGATGAGAATACCTACCCGCCCCGCCTTCGGCCCCAAAACAGGTCAAACAAGTCGGGTAAAACGGGTCAGGTCGAAATTGTCATTTCTAACACTAGGAGGAGTTTGGAAGCCACTAATAAATAGCAACTCCTATATTAACAATAATGATATTAATATAATTAAATGGCGAGTATACTTAAGGGGTCCAGTACCCTGTTGGCCGGTGTACCATAAGTTTTATACACCCTTTTTTCCCTCCCCGTTTTCTTCCCCTTGGACGATCTCTTTGGACTTTGGCGGCTGACCGACCCTTTTCATGTTGATGTTTTCCCAAGAACTCATTGTTCTGCCACCCAACCCCTCTCCGCACCTACGTCAACCCTATTTGCGAGCTCACACTAAGATTTATGGACCCCTTTTATTCCCCATAAACTGTTCTTTCCCGGCCCCTATCTTCCCCGTGACGATTTTCTAGCGATTGGAGTCACCATGCCTAGCCATCCTGTTTCTTCCCTCCGACGATTCATTGGAGATTGGCCAAGTTGGATCCTCTCGCCAGATTTTCTACAGCCGCTACTCCTCCCATCTTCTAATTGGAGATTTCACCATAAATCCCCTGCAAATAACTTTGGACTAGCCGCCAATCCTCCCGGATCATTATCCACTCTGTTTTCCTCCGATAGACTCTTGGCCTCATGATCTCCCTACGAATGAAAACATGTCACCTGTTCATCTCTATTGGCCTCATGCTCTCCTTTTATCATTTGTTTGATTTGTTAAAATCCATCATATTCCTAACCACATTCTTATGGGTCCCACTCATTTCAATTATTTCGTCAAGCTTGGTATGTTTGGGTGTTAGTAAGAAGCATGTATAACATAAAATTCACATAGTGGATAAAATGTATGATGTTACTATGTTTGTGATAAGGAAGGATCATGTAATTACATAATAATTAGATAGTGTGCTTCAAAGAAGATTCATTGTCAAAATTAAAAAAATTTCGGAATAAGTCATTATTTTATCAGTCTACTATAATCCATATAGGAAACTATATGTGAAATTGTGAGTTACTCAATTCGAACATAGCAATATTTCAAAATACTTTTTGAAATTTCAAGGATTGAACCATTATTATGATTCGATAACAATATTTATCGTGGAAGATAATAATATTCATAGCACACATTGTAAAGTTTCATTTATTCTTCATCATAAAATTATTTTCTTGCCTCTTCATAAGATTAGGGAATATCACGCTCAATTATCATACATTCAATTACTCCATCCAAAACCATGTAGTATAATTGGAAATCCAACTATCTACTTCGAAATCATATACAAGTGCATGAAGGCTAAAGAGATTAAACAATTGGTTATGGTCCTATTCGCACCCGCTTCAACTTAATACATGATTCCTTTTCGACCACAAACGTCGACATTCACCTTGATTTAAAATTATTATTTTTCACTCCTAATTGGTAGATTTATTTTTGAGTACCCGCTGCAAACAGTGGCGGACCCAGAAACTTTATTAAGGGTATTCAACGATAGACCAAAATCACTAAGGGTTGTCAAATAATGTAGTGTCTGAATACTATCACCGCTAAAACAAAATTTTATAAAGGTTTTTTGTCCCAAATTTGCATCCAAGGGTTATCAAGCGACAACCCTTGCACAAACTTGGGTCCGCCCCTGCTGCAAAGCGCGGGTCAATTTTCTAGTATTAATTAATAGTACAGCAATGGCCTAGTGGGTGTATTTATGACACTTTTGGTAAAGAATTAGACTTTCCGTTAAAGTTGGTGTACCGTCAAAGTTGAAGTTGGTTTTGACTTTTGACTCGAAGCTCTCCATGTTCAGCTCGTCGAAAGGGAGGATAACGACAGTTCTTCGTACCATCCCTTCTGTCACCCTCATTTTTGACCGCAGGAGCCTCATGCGACGAGAAAAGAGATGTAATAATTTCAATTTGGGTCATACTGCAAACCCACGTTGAGTTTTATACGCTCATGTTCATTATGTATTCCTTTTCCTTCCCATAATAGAAGTGGATATGGCAGGAGTCCACTTTTGTGTAAACAAGTGGATTAGCTTCGACCATGAAGATAACTACTATTCAATAGTAAAAGACATTTTAAAAATGGGTTAATATTTGATTCGATCTGATTTGGTTCGTTAAAAAATAATATAATATTCAGTATAATTATCTTTCAATAACTTAAGTTATTGAGATTGACATGATTCAAACAAAATATAAATTTGATTCATTTTTCTTCCATAATTGTAAAACTCATTGGACCAAAAAATCACGTACTCTCATCGAAATATAGGTTTGGTCCCCCTGTTCTCGTAGACGGATCAAACCGTGTACACCCCCCATAATTAGCACGATGCATGGATCCTAAATATGCTGAAAGAGTCGTATCAGCAAGCAGGACACGGAAACGCGCCACTTGATTAGTTTCACGGAGCCGCCATTGATAGATTATCTTAGCCACCCGAAACTCTCAAATCTAAATTCCGCCGACAGCAGTTTCCTTCGCCCAACTTGGATCTGCTGTGTGCTATAAATTTCCTACATCTGCTTCCTCAACCAACGTCACCAACTTCTTCTTCTTCTTCTTCTTCTTCTTCTTCCATTTCTTTGATTCCCCGATCTATCTCAGTCGGAGGCCATGGAGCTCGAGCATCGACCCACTTTGGCTGCGATCATGGGCAACTCCAACAAGCGTTCAGGAACCAAAACCTCAGCAGCCGCTCCTGCAACTCGCTTCAGTGAAACAAGCAGCGGCAGCGACGATGATGATGGCGGCTCTGCTTTATATTCCACGGGCCTCTATGCGGGTTCTGAATCTTTCCGGAACCTGGATTTGGGTGTCCTGGAAGGCAGCTGCTTCGCAACCCGGCTGGCCTGGGTCCGCTCTCAGATCATCGGCAATGACGCGGAATTCGACTCTCCTTTCGGGAAGCGCAGGGTTACTTACGCTGACCACACTGCCTCCGGCAGGTCCCTCCACTACATCGAGGATTTCATAATCAAGAATGTTCTTCCTTACTACGGTACTGACAAAGAGCGAGGCAATTTCACATTTCTTTATCTGGGTTCTTTCTAATTCTTCCGAACTAGAAATGGAAATTGGTTGTAATGAGTTTGGTTTTCTCGCGGGTTTTACAGGTAACACCCACACTTCGGACAGCTACGTAGGCGGCAGGACGACGAAAATGGTGGAAGAAGCCTCGGCGTACATCAAGAGATGCTTGGGCGGAGGAGCGGAGGATGTGATCCTGTTCTGCGGTTCTGGAACCACGGCGGCTATCAAGCGGTTGCAGGAAGTGATGGGAATCGCTGTTCCGTCGACATTGCGGGAAAGGTGTTTGAATAATTGTCCGACTGGGAATGAGAACAGATGGGTCGTTTTCGTTGGGCCTTATGAGCACCACTCCAATCTACTCTCCTGGCGGCAGAGCTTAGCTGAAGTGGTCGAAATCGGCCTGGATGAGAAAGGGTTAATCGACATCAAGGCACTCCAGAGAGAATTGCAATCGGGTAAATTTGCAAACAGGCCGATTCTGGGTTCCTTTTCAGCTTGTAGTAACGTGACCGGGATTCATTCTGATACTCGAGAGATCGCCAAGCTTCTTCACCTGCATGGAGGTTTTGCCTGCTTTGATTATGCAGCAAGGTAGTTTCAAGTTCATGAATCTCAATTAACATCCTTCCTGATTTTTTCATCGCCTATCTAGCTTTCATAATTGCTAACTTAACCTTGTTTTGGCGTGAGTTGATTCAGTGGCCCTTACGTGGAGATCGACATGAGATCCGGCACGATTGATGGCTATGATGCTGTATTCCTCAGCCCACATAAGTTTCTGGGTGGCCCTGGAACTCCTGGGATACTCTTGATGAACAAAATTCTGTATCAGCTCGGTTCAGCTCCTCCTTCAACCTGTGGAGGTGGAACTGTTGATTATGTTAATGGATTCAAAGAGATGGTAAAGGCTTTTGCTTTTCTCAAATGCCTCATGGAAATAGTGTTAAATTTCTGGACTTAGGACAGGTATCGGTCTAGTCAAAGCTGATTTCATTGTTGTTACCATCATTTTTTCAGGACACGTTATATTCAGAGGGAATTGAGTCTCGAGAGAACGGTGGAACTCCTCCAATCATTCAGATAATTCGAGCTTCATTGACATTCTGGATTAAAGAATACATCAGCTATTCAGTCATCCAAAACCACGAAAACTATTTCATTGACAAGGCACTAAAGAGGCTGATCCCAAACAAGAACATTCTGGTGTTGGGGAACACAACAGCCAGGAGACAAGCCATTTTGTCCTTCCTCGTACTCTCCACGACCGTGCAGGAAGGAAGCCTGAATATGTGGGCAGAGAAGGGAAACAAGCTAGACAAGCCTCTGCATGGGCCTTTCGTGGCTGTTCTTCTCAATGACCTATTCGGCATTCAGGCTCGTGGTGGTTGTGCCTGTGCTGGGCCTTATGGCCACCAGCTGCTCAGTGTAGATGAAGCTACATCCTTAGCAATCAGATCAGCTATACAAAAGGTAAGAGATTAATGTAGTTAAAACAACTATCTTGATACACCTATGGGAGCTTTCCACCATTTTAAGGGTTTGAGTTGAGTGATTTAATGGGTAAGAAAACTGATCAATGCAGGGCTACTCTGGGATCAAGCCTGGATGGGCAAGAATCAGCTTCCCTTACTACATGTCCAATCAAGAATTTGAGTTCATTCTAGCGGCTCTGGAGTTCATAGCCATATATGGTCAGAGGTTTCTTAGCTTGTATCGATTCAATTTCAAGAAGGGTACATGGACCTTCAATAAAAGGGCATTGAAGGAGCTGGTGAGGAAGGCAAGCAATGGAAATGGTGATGCATTGTCGACTTTACTTACAAATGTGCCTGGACTGAGGATTGATGAAGATGAAGCCGAAGCCGAAGGATTGGAAGGTGGAGATCACGAACACGCTGTAATGGTGAACAAGTTCGCTTCATATCTTATCATTGCTAGAAACATAGCCAATCTACTCCCCAAGTTCCCTACCAAACAAGAAATTCCTCATGATTTAGATCCTAGCATCGTGTATTTCCGGGTGTAGATGTCACTTCAACGTACATTAACAGGGGTTAAATTGATTATAGATTATGGTTTAATCCTTTATTTCTTTTGTAAAACCACTTAGGAACTCCGAAATGAAGTTTCATAAATAAAATAATGTTTGTGAACTATCTTGTGTCATTTTTCTTCCTTAGCCTATTATCCTCATGACTAGCAAAATGAATATCCAGAGCAATTCAGTGTTGACATCACCTGCCCATTCTACTTCATCATCATTATTCACCATATATATTTGCCACTATTTACATAAACAAATGCAGGCCCTCTATATAGTCCATGCTAGTTGATGAGTCACCAACCAACCTAACTGTAAGCAGAAATCAATACCAAAAAGAAAAGTGAGTTCTTTCTTTACATATTTTTGAGCAAAACTCAAAAGAACTCAATCCTTAACTGGGTCAGTCTTTCCCTTCTGGCAAAGCTCCTGTTCTCGTATCACTTGCAGCACCCGATTCCGATGCATGCTCGTTGCTCTCTTCTTCGTTATACCTATCAACGCTTTTCATGAACACCCCTGCATGCAGTGCAGTCAAATTATAGCTTATACAGTATGTCTACTCGAGTCACTAGATCATAAGGTTTTTACAGAGCCAAATACATCGTCATAAATTGGTCCTAGATGCTAACATTATTCAGAATGACACATTTAAAAAAAATCCAATCATGATCAGAATCAGGTAGAAATGTAAGGAAGCAATGATTCTACTTCGATTCTACTTTATTTTACTGATTCCATCAGTAAAGGCCATAAGACTTAATAGCTTATAGTTTTTATGGAGAATCGGACTAAATTCAAGCAAGCAAACTCGGAGGCCAAATTCATCTCACCCACCTATGAACCAAAATGCAGCTGCCAGGAACAAGAAGGAAGTCAAGATAAGACTAGTCTTCCTCCAGCTGTGTATCTGATCTTGGAGGAGACCGACGAGGGGCGAGGAAGGCACGTCTCCAAATAAGTGAATTGCAACGGTGGAAATGGCCATCGACAATGGTCTTAGACTCGGTTTTACGCAGTGAAGGCAGACGTAGTTCACTGGAGCCTGCACTTAGCATAGCAAGAGAGGTTTCATTTCCTGCAATGGTGGCTTTCATCATATGATGAGCTAGGAGAAAGATGAGTGCTTTTCACCTGAGTTGCAAACACAAGGACTTCACCAATTCCAAAGAAGACAAGGAAACCATACATGTTCTTAAAGCAGAAAGCGCTGAAGCAAAAGATGGCTCCGGCTAGTACTGCACCTGTAAGAAGCTGTGCCACAAAAAGTTCAAAGAAAAAAGTTTGTGAGGGAAGGTTGTATATAATCGCGGTGCATTCCTTGCAGAGCAAAGGAAGGTTGGGAATCCATTTGATGCATTGCGGTCTTTCAATTTGAAGGCAACTCTGCCATGTCATTGATATAAAGTTAAGGCTAGAGAAAGAATCCTAGCCAGGATTTAATTGGTTGCTGATGCTCTTTGACACAATGCAGTGAACATGTAGCATATAAAGTTTCAATTAACAACTATTAAGCACAGCAATGCAGCATAGAGCAACAACATCACATTAGCAGATTTTATATCAAGAGAGAAATACAGTTTGTAAATCTGGAAGAAAGAAAAAAGAAAACAAAAAACGGAAGAAGGAAAATTATGATTCCAGGATGCACCTTGAAGGCATTACGGATAGTGCTGGTTAGGTAATCTAGAAGATAACCTCCAGCAAGAGTTCCTAGTATCCCACAGATAATTGTAACCCCGCCAAAGATCATATCTGCATTTTCCTGTCAAAAGAAGAATCGAGTTGGGACTTCTATTCTACGCAACACAATTACATCTTTAGCATAGCTATCTATCTAATCTAAAGAATATATTATAGAGTTTCTCCATAAACCCTTCTCCAATTCAAATTTCTCCTTCTCTCGTGAGTCCACGTCAGCAGCCATTAAACCAATCACAATTCATTATGTATATAAAAAAACCATTGTGCGAAGAAAACTGCCCCGACCCCGTTATTTTCCATCCCGCGATTTTATCCCCGCCCATTTTTAGGTTTTAGCCGTAACCGTTAACTACATTTGCTCTCCTTTATATTTTTTCCTTTTCCTCACGGCGAGTGTAACTCAAAGGGCTGTTGTAGTTTAATATAAAGGGGTTAAGGTTCAGAGGGATCCAAAGTTCAGAATATAATATTATAAAAATATAAGAATTAAATGGTTGTCTATAAAACTTTAATATGCTTGATGTTATAAAAATTTAACTTTGAATCTCATATATTTTTAAATATATAAATGCGTCAATCATACTTATTTTGAATCAAATAAATAATGAAATATCATTTCTTTACGAAATTGAATAGGATATTGGTAATAGGTGACTACTATATATGATCATATAAGTACAATTACGGATTACCACAAGGAACACATTTGAACAAACAAAAAAGAAGAAGCTCAAAGGCTATTTGAAATAAATCTATCTAAGACGTCTATAAATAAGTACAAGACGGTAGTACAAGAATAGGATTTCATTGGTCATTAATATCTTTATAAAGCAACTAGCGTGGGCCCCGGCCAGTTGGCCGGAGGAAGGTGAGGTATGAAATTTGATAATATAATGAGGTGTATAGCTTATTGTTATATAGTTTTTTTGGGAAACACGTGATAAAAATAGTGAAGTTTAGCAGGAAAAAGACATTAATGATGCAACAAATAAAAAATCGGCCTTATGAACCAAAATCAAGTACCTGTTACCTTGTGAAACAATATTGTTTCTGGTAATATGATGAGGTAGAGTAAGTTTTATAGAAACCGAATTACAGAAAAATTGAATAAAAATCGCCTATCCCGTCAGTTTTCAGAAAATGAGCATCTCACAGTCGTTGCTAGCTTTTACTGACCCGTTGACCGATTAATTTGGTTTATAAAACTTTCATCTTGTCGTCATTGTGCTTTCTGGTTTTTTTTCGGGCCATGATGAAATCTAAGGAAATCAAGAACAAACAACACGATTTGGGATAGGAACCGTCGTTGTCGTATCCCTAGAAAATGGTGGTAAACACGGACTCACTTGCCAAACTGGTTTGGATTGAGATTTTTATCGGGTATCAGGGAACCATGTGATTATAAATTAGACTTTATCAAAACGGGCCAAAACTTTAAATGCAGCCTATTTGACCGACCCATGCCAAATTCTTATTATTCTTTACTTTTAAACTTTCTATTTGAAAATAAAAAATAGTGAAAGAAAAGAGATGACTTCAATTTGCCATTTGCACACCACTTATTCGGGTATAAAACCATAAAAATTCAAAAAGAACTAAAAATGTTAGGATCGTTTTAATGTTTAAAATAACCAAATAGATCTTTCTATTTAGTTTTTTACTAACAAATACCAAACGATTCCCTATAAAATACACTATAATTTGATCATTATGATATCAAATAATTATATAATATATATTTGAAATGATAAAAATTGGACTAATTGGGTTGGTCGAGGTTGAACCATTGAATAACTTTAAAATACATTATATTTTAGCCACTAAGATATAAAATAATAGCATAATATATATTATGCCAGAGAAAACAACTTGTTTTAGAATGTCAAACCAATCATGTTCATTTGTTTTACTTGATGGTCAAATCTCGTGTAGGTCAGACCAATTCAACTTTTTTATTTTATGGTTAGCGATTAGCCCATTAGATACCATGCATTAGTTTATTGTTAAATTTTTTATTTTTAGCAATAAAAAGAAGTATTATTTTTGCCTTTTCATATATATTTTATCACCACGGAGAAATAAAATGGCTTAATGAAAAAATTGACACTCCTGAACCTGTTTAAATCCGCATGTGTACGGTAAGTTGGCCCGTTCCACAGAGGAAAAAGGAAAAAATTGACACTCCCTATTCTATCATTCCAACAAATGCTCATGGAGCAGAGAATTTGAAATGGGATAAGGGTTTTTTCCTCTTTGCTATTATATGTTTTTAATTTAAAAAGATACAACAAATGTACTTAGTGTGATTGGTTATGATCTTTACTTTTCCTTAAAATGGTCATGGTTCGAATCCCACTACGTGTTTTTTTAATGAATAAAAAAAAGTAATTGTGAAGACCAAAATATCCTTCCTACTTTCACTCTCGTTGCAGGAAATTTGAAATGGGGCTCCCGTTTTTCCCTTTGGTGTATTATATTATGTGAAGATGTGTATAAGGTTCTTACTTTAGGGATCAAAATTTATTATTGGTTCATATATGTTTTATTTGATTTTTTCAAGTGCGTGTAAAATATTAAAATACTTTTTTTTATGAAGGCGAAAATAAAATATTAAAATACTTATATGAATTTATGAAGTTTAAATTGCAAGTAAATTGAAATGAGTTATGGATTTATTGTTCAAATGACATGATCGTTCATATGCACTGCAAAAGTAGGAGGCATGTTGTATAAGATAGTTCATTTGCATGCAGGGTTATTCCAAACACATGAATCATTAGTTGATGGTCGGCCCATCATGCATACATAAAAAAAAAACAACCATTGCTATTTACTAAATAAGACCATTAATTTAAGTTCTAACCTTGGGACTTCATAAGTCATAATTTGAAAAATGAGGAAGATGTGATAAACATCCAACAAGGGCATAGTCAAAATCATAATTCTTTGCATAAGATCTAATATTGAGATTGTATAAACCACCATTTCAAAATAAAAAAAAACTTTATATACATTCATCAAAGCATAGCCAAGATGAGATATATGAATCCTAATTAATGAGTGGACATCAATATATTATGAAAATTTTAATATTGGTTTACTATAGCCTTAACCAAAAATGAATATTTGTCTGGAATGTTTGGCCTAAAAATATATATTGTGTCCATCAATAAATAAAAATAATTCATCGAATATTTGGTATTAAGTTGGAAATTTATCTTAAATTCGGTCAAATTTTAAAACTTACTGTAGAGTCACACAAAAGACTCATGAAAATTTTGACAAGGTAGAGTACAATCGTTGTATACCGATCAAATAATCTAAACAAATGTTATGAATTCATGAGCGAGGGCCATTACTTTATTGAATGTAAAAAAAAGCATTTTCATATAAAAATAGAATGTAACTCACCCGGCCGACGGCCGGGTACAAAGCTAGTTACTTATATAGCTAGTACCTCACCATCTTATAGATGTTGCGACCAGCTTTGGGACCCCAGTAAGAGTATGCACCAATGACGAAATTGTAGGCTGTGTAGCCTGTGCAAAATACAAAGGCCAGATACAGTTCACATGCAACACATGTATCCAAGAAAGGTGAAAAGGTAAAGTAGAAGGGTGAAACTGATACCTAGAACGCTGACAATAAAAGTCTTCTCACGCAGAAGATCTCTCATATCTTTGAGGAATCTTGACCGTTGATTCATCTTAGGTGACTCAGGTTCTGAACTGCAATGAACATTGCCTCCATTGTTATACTCATTGCCTGAGGCATGCTAGTATGCAGAGGGGAGGTGAGACAGAGAGATGTATCTTGATGAAGAGACCAGAAATGACAACGATCTAACAAATACATCATTGTAAGCAAAATCTATATAACATGTATCAGCTAAAGAAGGGAACTGATCATACATGGAAGAATTCTTTGGGGTTTCCTGACCGAATCGTTCTTTTAAAGTGAAACTGCCAGCTTTGACAGCCGAAACTTCCAAACCTACAACCATTAGCCCAGATGAAAGATCACTTCAACAGCTTACCAAATTTTTCTATAGAAAATCTCAGTTGGAAAATAGTTGATAAGCACAAATATGACACTGATTCTCATAATTTCAGCACCTTGAGCATCTGATACAGTTGTCACTGAATTCGATGCTTTCGTTCGGTCAGCGTGAGTAAAACCTGCATCAAGGAATCCATAAAAACAGATGACAAGTAGAAATTGTAATGAACAAAAAGCAAAGAAAAGGATCCATGTAACAAACTTTCCACCTTTCAATTGCAAAGGCTTCATAATCCAACCCAAAACAATAAATGGAAACATCAAAATCGCCACTCCAAAGAATGCATAGCGCCATTTCAAATGATCACCAACCTATTAAAGCAGAAATGAACACAAGTTGCAAGATAAGATACAGTCAAATTTGTTGTACATCTGCCAAAATCCAAATGATCCTAAAAGGAGATAACCAAGAATAAAATAGACATACCAGTCCTCCATATACATAGCCAATAGCATATCCAGTTGATATACACATATAGAATATTCCCAGCCACGCAGTTCTCTAGATTGCAGAAAGGATGAAACGTGTCACTACCTTAAATATTAGAGTTCAGTACGCAAAAGAGAAAATGTGGATTTCCAGCAGCGACAGTGCATCAAAAAAAGGATCAAAGAAATGACGCAATAAAAATCCGATGCACAAACATGAAATTTGCATGGCCATGCATGTGAACAGCAAGTCCATACATTCCGTCTGGTGTCATTCAAAAATCATTATATATACCGGATGAGTTTAAGGCACTAATTCACTATCATAAAGGATAGAAGCAAAAACCTGTTTGGCAGGGGCATTATCATCAATGAAAGGGGCGGCAAGGCTTACAAAAGAAGCTTCACCAATTCCAACTACCCTAGAGAGGAGATTCACAACCAGAACTAGTCAAGAGATGATAAATCATCATTAACATAATAGATAGAAAGCTAATTTGCTCATCCTTTAATCAAGTTCAAAAAGCTATTAGTAACTTACATTCGGCAGATTGCAATGAACCAGAAACTGAAAGACAACCCACAACCAATGACTGCAAGCATCCAGACTGATAATCCAAATCCTATGAGCCTGAAGGGGTTATAGCTGTAGAAATCCACAAGTATGAGATCAGCATCAGGCTGAAGTCACAGAACTGCTGTCAAATTAGTTTGACTATTTAATCAGCTACCTCTTCGACAGAGAGGCAAATATCGGACAGCCAATAAGAAGGCCGACTACAAAAGCAGAAGATAGTACTCCATCTTCAAAATTGCTCAAGTTGAACTCCCCTCTGCAAACATCGAACAACGAAGTAAGATCAAGACTCTTTAAACTTGAAGATGCAATTTGGCATATGTACAGGTTTAAATAATACTACGCAGTTCAACAAGCAACATCAAAATTATACTCATGTTTTGTTTCTTGAACACTAATGTAACCACAATTTGCAATCGAGAAAGTAAACTTCGCACGTCAAAGATTACACCCTCAAGATGAAGAGATTACATAGAGCCTTACTGTATTCCAGTGCCAGCAGTGCACGTACCATTTGCCGTGCAAGTCTTGGGGCTCCCATTTACCCCATTACTTGCCATAGCTCCTCTCTCCATATAATTTATCAAGTTGACCAAACAAAAGATTACCAGCAACCTGGCCAAAACCGCAGGATTAACAATTATAGTTATGCATCAAAATCCTGACTTCTAAAGAGCAAAAACTTATAGATGTTTGTCATCAAGATTTCCCAATCCTATCCAAGTCCATCTTAAATCAATTGGCTTTGTTCAAAGCAATCTTTGTTCTCCTCCTTTATCATCCCCTAGTTAAATGCCGAGATTATAATTTTCTTTTCCGGTTTTCCGTCACTGGCTCTTTCTGCTAATAGTTAAGGCATTGTAACAAAATAGTTCAGCTCAAGCCAGAACCTTTTCTGCTGAAATGAAAAAGAGCGATTCACGGGAAAGTCTCAATCCAATCATTTTAACCAAACCCCCCAGAAACAGAACGAGAGAACACCAAAATAAATAGAGAGTAAAGCAACCACCTTTTTGGAGTGAACCACGAAGGTTGAGAAACTGATGATGATGATGACGAAGCAGGTTCCGACGGTTGAGAAATCGAACTTCCCGCCACCTCTGCTTTTTCTTCCGCCATTACTGTTATAAGGCCACCAGTAAGATCCCCGGCTCTTCACAACAGCTGCTGACTAACAAAAGACAGAGAAGAGAGCGGATAACCAAAATTGTCAATGTTTTTCAGCTTTTAATCTCTTCATAATGGGATACAGAAAGAGAAAGCAACAAATTGGACACCGAAACTTCGTTTTCTTCCCTGCTTACTTCTTTTTCTTCCCTCCTTTCTTAGGGACAATCTGAATGAGGTAAAACGTTTACTTTTTATGTGGGTTATTGTTTTTACGCGGTCGGAAAACCGCAATTGGGCGAGAAAGTAAGCGCAATGGAGAGGAAGGAAGTCGGAAGAAAGCGCGCGAGAGAAAGAGAGAGGTCGGCGGCTGAAGTACTTACTGTTTCACGGCGGGAAGGAAAAAAGCAGTTCCCGGCAACGGTGGAACGAGGAGATTGGATGGGGACGGCAGAATGACGGTACTTTCAGGCAACGGGGAGCTTAACTTTTCTTTTATTGGCAGAGGGAGAGATCTTTGAGAAGAAGAGTGAAAATGTAAGACGGAAAACAGAATCTGAGTACAGGTAGAGTTTGGTTGGAAAACGGGCCTCTAGATTATGATTTACGATAAAGTCCAAATCATTTGATCCCTTTTTTGTTTTTTGTTTTTCCTTTTTGTGTTCTCCCGGGAGCCGGATATTTCAGTTAACATTATAGTGAGTAACAATGAGTAACTCGTTCATGTCAGTTAATCTTAAGTTGGAATTTGAATTTTTTTCACATATAAATCAGATTAATTATGTTCTTTAAAATGATATCCACTTTTATATATTTTTAGAACAAAAAAATTGAGTCATTTTTTACCAATCAATACTATATGGTATGCTCCTAATTAATATCATATGGTAAGAAACCGTACCATGATGGTATGAACATACTAATACTGTAGGAAGGTTGAATACATGGTAGTAGAAGTATAGTAACTATCATTTACGACTTTCATCATTGTTTACCACAAGTTACCACCCACATACCAGAGTGGTAAAGTATGAGAATTTTTTATCCTGTATTTTTTTCACCCATGAATTTGTAGATCCAATAGATCATGATAAACTAGTTCCTTTTGAGCAAACGTTTTAAAAAACTACTTAAAAACGAAGAAGTTATCATTTGGTATATAGTTGGTAACGGGAGGTATGAAAAAAAGTTTCTCGAAATATATTGAAAATTGATCTCATTTTGTAGAGCACAACAATCTCGTTCCATATGTGCAAAAAAAAAAAATTGAAATTCGAGTTAGAACAAAGAAGATAAGAGTCGATTAAGAAAAATTGAAAAAATAAAATGCATATAATTCACAACTCTTAGATCTGAATTTTCTGGGCTACTTAGATCTAAAGGTCCAGATTTAGTTACTCATAGGTCAGTAACCAATGATTAATGGTTACTGACCGTATCCCAAGTAGGGATGACAATGGGGCGGTTTGCCTAAAGCATTCTCATCCCCACTTTCAAATATCTATACCCATACCCGCACCATACTCATGCGGGGGAAAGTTTTGCAAACTCATCCCCATACCCATTGGCTTTGGATACCCATTGGTAATACCCGCCTCGTACATCCAACATTATAATACCGAATATTTTACATGTAAATTTTCAATTATAACATTAAATGCACCTACTATATCATGAAGTCGATAAAGAGAATCATTTTTAATACAATTCAAAGCATCTTATCCTAAAGCATCCATTAATCCATATCATAGTAGAATGCAAAGTCATCCAAATCATTATTCTCTACTCTGATACATCTATTAAGTAATAATTAACTAACATAATCATCTTAACAAGGGAAAAAAGTGAGATAGTGAAGGGAAAATTGAGAGAAAGAAATTAGATTTTGATTTGGGTGACCACTCAATTGCATTTCTACTATATATTTTTCTTGAGTTATACTCACTATTATTGATAGTTTAGAAATTGATTTGCATATTTTTCATATATGAAGAAATATTTTTGGTAGGGCGGGAATGGGTATGGGTATGAGGCGGGGAGGCTAAAACCATACCCTCCCCATACCCATCAAATGTTTTGTGGGTTTTACCCATACCCGCCCCATTCCCTGTCAATACGGGAATTTCCCACGTTAATTGGCTTGGGAGCTATTAGATACTCATAAGCATGAGTTTGATTCCCATCCCTAATCACAAGCCCCCTCCTACAATTCTTAAAGTTCTAAGATTATTTTTTTCCTTAGATGTGTATAAGCTATAGTGTAGTCCTAATAATTTCTACCAACTTTTATCGGTCGTTTCATAATTAGACAAAATCAACAATCACTTATTAGGTCAAATGAACTTTTACTTTTTATGAGCCTACAATATTATTTCTACTTTTATTTTTCATTATCTAATTGAGGTGGTTGAATAACATAGTCTATTTACTAATCTTGATTCAAAGGTTTTGTGCAATTTATTATTATATATCAGTATATCACTACAGATTGGTATAGTTTTTTATCAAGTTCAAAATGCCCGATAACTCTACACATATTAGGGTTCATACTAGAAGTAACTTTGTAGGTTATCAAAATATTTGAACCTATATACGATCTTTGTTCTCTTATTAACCAACGTTTAATTTTTGCATAAAAAATCAATTGTTAATTAGATCGTTCCAACCTTATATTTAATTTTTTATCATTACATTCTCGTAAAAAAGTTACTTTAAACTTTTAAAAGATTGCGACTAAATATTTATATGTAGTAAAAAAATTATTTTCATATTCAATTTCACATCCACTTCACCACTAGTGATAGTAAAGTCATATGAAAGTCTTTGTCAATTGGAAATAGATTGTTGAATTAATTTAGGAAACAGACTTGCAATCACATTTTGAAGACTATCATCATGTTGAATAATTGATAAGTCATAAGTTGACTTTCCTATCCCACTGAACATCATAACAATTAGGGGTGTTCAAACGGTGTGGTTATCGTGGTAGCCATTTTAACCAGTAGTTTGGCTAATTTGGTTTGGTTAATTTCGATAATTGGTTTGGTTTGGTTAAAAATGTTAGCTTGTATGGTTTTGGTGGTTTGGTTTGGTTTCAGGCACTCCTAACTAATCAAACCAAATTAACCAGTTAAGTAATTTGTCATATATCTAATATATATTGTATACACATACTTAATACTTTGCATAACCTCAAGAGTCAAATGTAAAATTAATTGTATTTGTTACATGTATTTACGTTAAGGGTTAACTACAATTATGTGGATTGTTATGTGTTGTTCATTATATAAATTACGAATTGATGCACTAACTGAAAAATTTTCTCACTTAATGATAATGTGGTGTTATGTTGGTTATTTTGGTTAACCAATTAACCAAACCGAATAAACTTTAGTTTGGTTAATTTGGTTGTTGTATTAGTTTGAACAGTTTGGTTATGATATTGTATTCCATGGTTAATAGAATTTAGACTTATTTGGTTTGGTTATTGCTATGGTAACCATTTGAACACCTCTAATAACAATAAAGATTATTAAATGGGATAAAAATTGAATCCAAAATGGTATAATATATTTCGTAATCATTTTATTTTATTCTTATTTAACATACGAAATTGGTCCAAGTTTATTTTTATAACAAGAAATTGGTCCAATTTGAAAGCAAACAATAGTTGAATTCGAGAATAAAATCAAACCTGAACAATCCATCATTTTTATTTTGAGCATATAGTCAAGTATCAATTCATTCCAAATCACGAGCAATGCAGTCAAAATCGCGTTTTAAAACTTAAAAAATTACGATTTTACGCTTTTAGGTCACCAAAACGCTTTCGTTTCCATATAAAAACTTAAGTGTATAAAATCGGACTAAATTGCGCTTTAAATTTTAAAAGCTTACGCTTTTACGCTTCTAGTTCACCAAAACGCTTTACGTTTTTACGCTTTTAGTTCACTAAATTAGTATTCTTTTCATGAAATTAATTATAAAAAGTATATTTTAAAAGTAAATCACCAACAATATGATACATATGAGATTAAAAGATACATATCATGTACTTGGATACATTCTCAACTTTAATAGAGTAATCTAATTCACCAGCTAGACTCTTCCCGAATGCATTAGCATAAAGGAAGAAATGACTTATTGTTAAAATTTATGTTTACGAACTTATTATTAAGATGCTACAAGTTGCTCTACTTGAGGCATGAATTGCATGTATTTATTAACTTATCTAAATTCTGTGCATTCATATTTTACATAGTATATGTCCTAGCTTTTTAGTTATTTTTCAGTATGCTTCAAAAACTCACGCTTTTACGCTTTGATTCTACGCTTTATGATTTTACCTCTTTTCCGCTTCTAGGTAGAATCGCGCTTTTGACTGCATTGATCACGAGTAAACAACCATTCATCTCGATTCGGTCTGATGTGTATCATATATTTGCCCAACCCTTTGGAACTGAGCTGGACGACCACAGGACATCAGTTTTTTAAGTTTTAACAGACAGATAAACGCATTTGCAATGATCCAATCTCAAATCCAGTAAAATGGTTTGCAGACTCGCTATACCTTTACTTGGTGAGCTTTGGGGAGAGGTAAAACTTGGGATCCCTGAAGAACCTTGTGATGGTCTCAGCCTTGTCAGGGGACAGGTCAGTTTTCTCCAAGATGCTTTCCTTGGTCGCCTTAGAAACGGCTTCAATCGAACCTATACCTTGATTCAGCTGCCAAATCCATGGCCCAAAAGTTTCACATAGATCAGCACCAGATTGTGCACTTTGCAAACAACCTTAAGACCCAAGATAGTTTCCTACAGTACTTCAGGCATACTGCCATTGCAGAAATCTGCGATGGATTCTCATGCAAAGTTGCAGAGATATATGTCATTAGAAACAACAAAATTATTATGTTAAAGAAACCAGTAAGATTGATGGATGATTGCATTACCATATTCGCGTCGTGGCTGTCGATGCCTGGTATTGAAGTGATCACTTTAACGTAATTCTCCAACATTTGCACCGATCCCAGCCTCTTCTCACATGCAACAGGATAGCAGAAGAATGAAAGGTTGGAAGAAGCACCAAAAGGTGGAGGTAACAAGTGATCATGAACAATGATATCAACACACAAACCTCAGCCTTCATTGTTGAGGTAACATCCTGCTGCTTGCATGCTGCAAAACTCGGAGATCAAATCAAACAAGTCACTACTCATACTGCTAAACTCTATCACATTACTTGGCAAGGACGCATATAATAAGAAGCTTAAGCATCAAGCATTCATAATTATAGATACGATTACTTACCCCCACGTGAATGTGCTATCTTGACCATCTTCTCAAACCCCATCTCCAAGTCTTGAACTGGCACAAATGGTGGCCGGCCAATCTGCATCCCCCATCTTCTTCCCACAGCATCATACCAAAACAACTTTGTAACCACCAGATACGACACAAAAACCAGTAGAAGGATTCTCAACAAGAGGGGTTTTGAAAGAAGAATCTCACCTGAAGTAAGAGCGTACAAATGAATCATTCTTCTCCTTCGTGGGTAAGCAGACAACAACATACAGGTTTGCGAAACGAGCTTTCAGTTTCTGAACTCTGTGCCAAATCACAACAAACATACAATCACAATTCACACAGGCAAGGAACTGGATATAGAATTCCATTTCAGACCTCTCAAACAGCTCCAAGACTATTTGCGACAAACCGATTCCCAACATAGCACTCAACATTGATCTACAGCATATAATAGACAGGTTTTCGCTATGTTTATATAAGAGAACGAGGAAATGATCTAATGACGAACTTCTCCCGTTAACTCGAACTATGGTGACGAATCAACAGTCATCCTTGTTCAATACTTAAGGTTTCAACTGCCAGCCTAAAATTACGACTGCATTTAAATCAAGAAAGTTCTTCTACCTGTTGAAGACTAGCTCGGTGTTGCTGCAATCCCAGTTAGTAACGAAGATGAATGCCAATGAAAGACCTCCACAGTTGAAAATGAAATCCTGAAGCACAGAGAGATTCAGCAGCCATTCAAATCTGAAAATTTCACCATTGGAAGCCAAAGGGGAAAGGAAACGGTTCGAATTACAGTAGAGCTAAGAAGTAAGAACTAGGGTTAGGGAAAAGTACTGAAGCAATCGGGACGAAGTTGAGACGGAAGGAATTTGCGTTAAGGAACGACGACACGAAATCGATGTACGACGGAGTTTGCTCGTCTCTCCATTTGCTGCTCATCATACACACTCCAGCTGTTCGTCCCCCTCCACCTCCACCTCCACCTGTTAAAATACACGAAATCGAACTCTAGATCACACAGAAAGATGTAACGCAGTGCCATTAATTTTGTATTTCTGAAACATAGCTGCGATTTTCTCCCTCGTTCGCGATTTTCTCAGCGACCAAACGGAAATGCTCATCAGAACATCGAGAAGAAAGCAATAGTGAGTTGGATAGGGAAGGAACCTGAACTCATCGAATTTGAGCTTAGAGTAGCCATTTCCAGAGTGCTCTCTCACGAGCGAAGAAGACGACGAATCTCCCGAGGCAGAGAGATGATACAATACAAGAGAACTGAGCTATGGCTTCACAGTTCACTGAGAAATGCTATTTGTTGGCGGGAAGAAGGAATGTGGAAGGTCGGTGGAAGGTAATGGGCCGAGCCCAGGTAGCAATCTTGTAAGGGAAGATTCCGCTGAAAGAAATGGGCCTTAAAAAGCCCATCCGGCAAGTACAGAATCAGTTTCACTCTCCGGTGTCGATCAATCGTTTACCCATTCCCCGCCAACGGGAGCGCTCTGCAACTGTCAGCAAAGACCGACGCCGCACGCCGCCGCCCAAATTCTCTGCTGCCGTGCAACTTTTCATCTCTTCCATCTCCTCGCCAAGGAAGGAAGGAAGTAAGAGAGAGAAAGAATTTGTCTGCTATTTACCGTCGCCGCTTAGCTCCTCACGGCGAGCTTGAATTTGTGATAAGAGTGTTTGTTAGTTTGCAACTCCTTTTTCCTGTGACGAGTTTAGATTTCATGCTGTGGGTAGTGGGAAGGATTTCTATGGTTGGCAAGCTAATGGTAGAGGGGGAAAGCTGGTGGAATCAAGTCTCGTACAGTGACTACTACTATCATCAATTGTCCAAATCAAAATTCAAATCTTGAACGCTGCAGATATCTTCGATATCGGGTGTTTGCAATTCTAGGTGCGATTAGTGAAGTTGAACTCCACATTGGGATATTTTTGTGGGCATTTGATGATTGGCTTTTAGGTCTATGATTGCATGCTGGTCTGTCTGTGTTCTCGGGCTGCATTAGGCCGATCCTTTCTTGGTGGGATAAGATGTTTGTAAAAGTCTGAACTTCCATCTGTTTCACATTTGGTTGTTATGTTTGTATGGAATTTGTGCAAGGCTCAAAGAAAACGATGCATGTTTGAAAGTCTTTTCTAACAACAACCCGACCTGATGACATTATTGCTCTTCTTTATCATACAAGGATCGAACTACTTGTGGTTTATCATTCGTCTTGTTTGTTAGATGTTCTGATTGCCTGAAAATTACTTTTTATTTTATTTTATTTGCCTCTTCTTCTCACTATGTGTTTATTTTATCTGGTGTTCTTTCAGTAAGGGTAAGAAAATAAAATATCAAAATGGCGAATAGTAAATACGAGTATGTGAAGTCATTTGAAGTTGAAGATGAGATTGTCCTTCCCCATGTCATTGTTGTTCGACTTCATGCTCGTGACTATTTAAGGTAATGTTTTTAGCTTCTTGGGCTTTCATTCAGTTAGCATTTTCTACTTGTATATTGTGAGTATGAGTACTGAGGAGGAGAAGAAGAAGAAGGGGAAAGCATAAAAGAACTTAGAACCTCTCTAGCTTTCTGTTTGCAGTTACAGACTTATCATTTGCCCACTGCTTGGTAGGAAAAATGCCTTCACATCTTTACCAGCTTTGGTATCCCTTGCTATAACAAACTGATTTTTGGTGTAAATGGGAGAACCAACGTGTTGAACTCTGCTTTAAGACAGTTCAAATCTTAATGCTTTTCTTGATATCTAATTGTGCAGATTCTGCAAAGCTCACGAGCTAAGAAGACCTTATGATGAAGAAGCGTTGGATTTGATGAACTCATGTGCTGAATTTGTGCAGAGAAAATATCCAGATATACTCTTTTCTTACGGATTCAATGATGAATACAGGTCTCAAAATCCTGCATAATTGTCCTACATTTCTTTGATTTGGGCTGACCATGTCTTGTTTCTGACAATCTTATTCTGTATGGATCTGGCATGTAGTTTTGTCTTCAAGAAGAAAACCAAGTTCTATGAAAGGCGAGCTAGGTACATTCCAATCGAGGAAAATATATTTTAGTTGTTTATTTTTCTTATGTTTTTGTCTTTCGACGGTTAAGGCTTATGTACTTCCTTTTCATGACTTTTCAGCAAAATTTTCTCCCTGATTACGTCATGTTTCACTTCAGTATTCGTTGACAAGTGGAAAGAATTTCTTTCGGGAAGAGAACTTAAATATCCTCCTTCATTTAGTGGACAAGTTATTGTTTGTGCAACTGTTGATGTTCTTCAACATTATCTTGCATGGAGACAACATGAATGTCAGTAGATCCATCTTACCTTTGGCAATTGTTACTTTTGTTCATCCACAAGCCAGGTAGTTTCTTGTTTACTTGGGTGAAATTCTGACAGTGTACACTGTTTCAAACTGGTTGCAGGTTATATAGCTAATCAGTATAGTGCTTGTTTCTGGGCGTTGGTCAGTCACGGGAGAACTGAAAAGGAAGCCGAAGATATTTTGAAGGTTCATGGTGTTTTGTTTAATATACCATCTCCACTTCATTTTCTACTTGTTTGACTATAACCAACAAAGGGTTGTATAGCTGATTCCTATGTAAAATTGTGATTTTGTAGGATACCAAAAAGCAAGAGCAAAATGAGATGCTTCATCAACAATTCAATATCAATTACAATAATCTTCCCAAAATATTCCGCTGGGGTTCTTGTGTCTTACTCATGGAGGTGTGTCCTGTCATTTGGAATTTTTTTTTACCATTTTCATAGATTTTCGCTTGGCCTCAAGGGCATGTTTATCTTATTTTATTATATCCCCATCGATTTCTAATATGTTCGTGTCTTATGAGCAGGTGGAAGCTATTGTAAAGTACGATAAGGATGGATGTCCTGTTAAAAGATTGAAAAAGCAAATATCAACAGTTCATTCTCAGGATATAGCTAGAAGAACCTTTTGGAATCAGAAGCCAAGTCTTGTAAAAGAACTGGGTTCTTTTGTGGAAGATATCAAAAGAATCGACAAAGACTACATAAAATATTTCCAATCCGAAGCCAAGTTGATGCCATATACTTGGGCGGTCATAAGAATCGACGGATGCCATTTCCACAAGTGAGTAATTTGAAAAGGAGATGATAATGCATCAAAATTATGGACTTCTGATATATGTCTGTCATACTTGGCCATCATTGAATAATTTTGCAGTCTGATGCGTAAAACCGTTTTAATTTATTGTGTCAGATTTGCTGATGTTCACAAGTTCGAGAAACCAAATGATGAACAAGCTTTGAAGTTAATGAATGAATGTGCAGTTGGTGTTCTGGATGAGTTCCGAGAAGTTATATTTTCATATGGTGTTAGTGACGAGTACAGGTATAATGGAATGTTCTATAATGGTTCTGGTTGAATGACTTTCAGCCTTATATACTTATATATCAATCTAATCAAGGTCGAATGACTTTCAGCTTTATATTGAAGAGAAGCAGTCACCTTCAAAGAACAAATCCGAGGTATGTCTTCTTTCTTGTCCATCTTCCATTCCATTAAGAAATATATTCACTCTGAATTCTACTGTCTAATTGCTTGTATTAAGAATATCCCATATTGTGAACAGTTTAGTACTTCAACTTAATCACTTAATCAGAGGAAGGTGGAGATTGATAATCTATTCAGTTTAAAAAGTCTTCTTCCCTTTACAAAAGCTGTGTTTATAGAAGTTGTCCAAACACGCGAAAAGTTTGTTTGACGTTTTTGTTATACAATTCTTTTTCACATTTCATTTTTTTATATAATTTCTGCAGCGATATTGTGTCTTCTGTAGTATCATTCTTTACATCCATGTACGTGATGAAATGGAAGGCCTTCTTTCCATTGACAGATCTAGTTTGTCAGCCGTCATTTGATGGAAGGGTTGTCTGCTATCCATCAACAGAGATCCTGCGAGATTATTTATCATGGAGGCAAGTAGATTGTGAGTAATAGAAACCAAAATCCAATATTTTTAAACTCTCCTGGAACTCTGAAACCTTTGTGAAATGTAAATTTTAATGCTAATTTCTTTGGATTGCAGGCCATATAAACAATCAATATAATACTTGTTTCTGGATGCTGGTTAAGTCAGGCAAAAGTAGAAGTGATGCGCAGCAGATCTTGAAGGTGCTTATCTTCACTTGTAACTTAGCGTGTTTGTCAGCCATTGAAAAGTGTCAATCTGCATGCCTGAGTACTTGTCTTGTTCGTTGATACCTGTGTCTTTCGCGCAGGGTACTCAATCACAGGAGAAAATGGAACTGCTAGCTAATAACTTTGGTATTGACTACAATACTATAGGCGAAATGTTACGCCTTGGTTCCTCGGCTTTCTGGGTAATGGCTTTCTCTATTCCTACAGTTGTAATTGTGCACACTAATTTCTTAGGCGGCAAGACGGGATTTTAGTGGGTTGCTAGTTTGAATCTGAGTGGAGCTATCTTGTTTGACATGCAGGAAGAGGAGAATGGCTGCAGCAAGATAGTTGTACAACACTGCAACATAATTGATGATGGTTTTTGGGGAGCACATCCTTGCATTCTTGCTTAGCTCTTCCAATGATTCTGGAATTCAGTTCACTCAAAGGTATGCTCATAGACTCATCATCTAAGCACGGAAAATATTCCGGCTAAGTTGTAGAGGATAATCTTCCTGTCTTGAGGCTGAACTTACAAGTTCACTTATGAACACAAAATAGCGAGCAAATTGCTTCTGAAAGGTGCACTGAAGTGCAATAAGTTGATTGCAGGCTGCCAACTACAGGTCAATGGTGCATGAAGATATTTTATGGAGATCGCTATCTCAAAGTTCCCATGAGTAAGCTAATATGCTAGCCTCGCTTTACAAATTAAGGTGCTGAATGTATTGGCTGAGAATTATGCCCTAGAACGCTCTACTACTGAGGAATTTGTACTCTATAATCCTTCGACATTAATGTTGTGACATTTCTGTTGCATAATGCAAAGAGGTACATTGTAGATTGTTCTCAGCAACATTTGTTTTTGCTGTCTGCCTATATCAGAACACACTTCAGGGAACATCTAACAAAATCCACCATTAGCTACGAACTCAACTAGACCACAACAATTGAGTATAACCTTCATACAATCAAACTGAACTCAAATAGAGGAATTTCAGTTTGAGAACATATAAAAAAAGGCGGTATACAAATAACACGAGGAATGCAGGTAAACTGGGCTCAAAACTCATGCTTGAGCACACTTGTTCAGGCATTCAACTCCGTCTTCTAGATAATCTTCCCTGCTAATCCAGAACTCAGGTGCATCCTACATAGAGAAAGACGTATGGTGAACCCACATTTGATGGCAGAAACGATTAAGGAGAGATGTTATATAACTGTCACCAAGTGAGAGAAAGGTACCTTCATAATGCCAGCAAGAACTGCACCTCCTAGGTAGACCATATGCTTTCTTCGTGGTGGATCCTCAATCCTTAATCGTAATTTCTGTAGAAATGTTTTGCCTATTCAGTGAACCACTTCATGAAGCAAATATAGAAAAAACTGCATTGTTTCCCACAAACCCTTCCAATATATGATTGATCTTACCTTTAACCCATCTTTGTTTCCCTTCAAAACCGCATCAAGGTACCGATCTTGTATTTCCTTCTCCAAGCTGGACCAACGTAAAAGTTAAAAAAGGGTAAAAGCCAAATACCATAAACCAGCATTAGAGTTAGTATCTTATTAATAGTTGTGACAGGAGATAAGACAAATTACCGGCTAGGCAAGCCAGGATACATGGTGCTTCCTCCACTCAATACAATATGTTGGTATAGCTGCAAATACAGAGAAAGGTTTGGTCTTTTAATAGTTGGCGCTTCAAGAATAGTTAGAAAGAATAGTCATAGTTGAGACCTATGAGCATAAGACGAAGCTTAGACGTGCCAAAAAATACAGATACTGTACCGTCATTCTGTTATCGATATCCATTTCCTGGATGCAGTGAAACACCATGTCAGCCATTCCATCACCTTCAACATCAATAAGTTCCTGTTCAAAAGGGGAAGCTGTCCTAAGTTTCAGAAACTTCCAAGAAATTGATAGTCGACATGACCTTGAACATCACTGGTTTCAAAGTGTGCAAAATAGTATGAATGACAATCAAACAAACTCAATCATAAAACCCACTACTACTCCAAAACAACAAGATGAAACTGCAAAATTCAACTTCATAAACATTAAATGTCGTGCTGTGTTTTGGGCTAACTAAATTAGGGGGGATCTTACATATAAAGATTGCAAAAATGAGGGTCAGAGATGCTTACTGGTGTGAAAAGAGCCTCAGGTGCCTGAAACCGTTCTGTACCTACTTTAATGGTTCTTCCATCTGGCAGCTGATTGATATATAAGAAATCAATATCTTACTGTTTGATAGGAATCTAAGAGCACCAGAATTATACCACTAAGAAACCCAGAGATTTAACATATCTGCTTAAATGTAGAAGCATTTCAGATAAATCTTAGTCATGTTCTACCTAACGGAATGGCGTAAAGATCAATCAGTAAGTTGAGCCCCTTGGTTAACTGAAACAGAGCTAAGAAATCCCGAAGAAAAGACAACATGTCCATAAGTCGACTAGAGACACAGACAAAAACCATAGGAAGACATTTGACTTACAGTATAATGCTTGACAAGAATCGTAGTCTCAAGTCCCAGTTGGTATTCCCTCTTGTAATCATAACTGTTGAAATGCTTGAAAATTAGATTATTCTAAAACAGCCTTTAATTATCAACTAAACCAGAACATGGTTATTTCACCTTATGTAGCAAAGCTTCTCTTTCATTTCCCGAACAGTTTCAAAATCAGCATTCCTGTTCATTGCATACCTACGCAAAACACAGAGTTGCAAAGTAGTTTATGCAAATATTTAGTGCGGTTAGAAAGAAAATTCTAACCGAACAAATGAACTAACTCGTGAGAAAAATGTAGGTCTTTACCCTCTCCGTGAAAGAAGGTCAATCAAATACGACGTTATGTGCCGACCAGCAACATTCATCCGTTTCGTAAGATGAGGAAATGAGTAACCATCAACAACAGGAACCTAAGAAAAAGTAGTTATGTTAGCAACTTGAACCATAAGACTAATGACAAATATTGCCCTTCGGAAAAAGAACTGGCCCTTCAAAAGTTTTACCACATGAGTGACACCATCACCAGAGTCGATAACAAGTCCAGTAAGCAAACCTGCAAGATTGCGTTGAGTTGTTGAAGTTGAGGAAGAACTAGAAACACGATGGCATGACCATTCAAAAAAGTGATATTTCCATTTATAAAGCAAGTAACCCTAAAGTTTTAAATCGTCAACCACATACAAAACATATGCAAAAATAAGATTTAAACCTTCTTCTATCATGTCAAGCACCTTGGGCATACAATGTCAACACTGCTTGGATTTGAATGAAGACCCCGGCAAAGTTATACTTCTCGAACATGGTCTCAATCTGTATTTTGAAGACAAGGACAGAGAAGTGACTGTCATTAACCCAAAAAACAAATGAAAAACAAACTTAAAATGCATATGGGTATACAAAAGTCAAGGGCAAACCATCAGTTCACGATTCTTTTTGGGATTAAGAGGTGGATCAGTGAGCAGAATCTTGCACTCAGATGGGTCTATCTGTTCAAATCAAGTAGCACGGCAACCTTACTTGCGACATCTTAATAACCAAGACTCATAACCAAAAAGATTAACATTGCATCTCCTCCCATCAAACAGAAGCATCACAATATTACCTTAAGTTCATTGTAGAATGCATGATCCCACACATGACCCATGTCATCCCAATTTTGGATGATTCCATTGTTGACAGGATAAGATATGTCCAGTTGATGCCTCAATTCTGCACACGATTCTCCAACAACAATATCCTAGAGCAATCAGGAAGAAGGAAACATCAGAGAATAAAAAAATGATCGCCCAAGGGAGTCTCAGTTTGTAGTTATTAGCAGCGCATAACTGAAACTGCTCAACGCTGCATGATGACGAATCGTAACAACAACAAGGCAAGAAAACAGAATGGAAAAAGTTATAACCTTCAATTGTTGTTCCATGAGAGATTCTTCATATCGAAGCATGGGCCTCCCCACCACACATGGGAAAACAGAAGTGGGGAAATTCTCTCCAGCAAATCCACACTTGACATACTGGAAAGGAAACATGCGGTTAGAAGCATAGTACAAGAACCAAATCCAAACAAAATGGTCAAAATGCATTCTTCATTCAATCCATCAAGCCTCTTCCCAATTGAACATCCGTCAGACTCAAAACAACCAAACCAATACTAAAAAACCCAGCAGGTTCAATCACAATGACAATGTCCCACCACAAACTAGCAGAATTGATCATGGTAGAGCACCATAGAAAGAACATATTCACATTCAATCAACGCAAGGGGTAATACCCAGATAGAAAAAAAAAATTGGACAATGGAAACAAAGATGGAAGCTTTACCCCAGTTCCATTATCGCAGACGACGACCTTCCTGCTGTCCATCTGCTTGTTGATGAACAGCGATTGAGAGGTACAGAATTTGCTCTTCGCTGCAGGCGTTTGTTGTCTGATCTAACTCCACCAGGCCGCTAATGATCAATGATTCAAGATCGTACCAACCCTTCTCCATTCAGCAGGGGAAGACGCCATTTTTCAGTATATAGAGAGAAAAAAAACAGTCTATAACCACCTCCGACCTTCGGTTTGGCAGGCTCCCTTGCCGCAGCACAATGAACACCCAATCTGCGAGTTTGCTGCTGATCGAAGGCTGGCTTCAGATGTGCGATATATGGTGAATTGAAACTCAGTTGGTGGGTTGCTTAGGGGGACAGGATTCAACAGGCGAGGAAGTGAAGTATTAATCAAATCTTGCCTAGTTGCCTTCCTCTTTTTACAGAATCGCCGTTCGGAGGTTAGAGAAATGAACAGACTCCATTTATTACGTAATTCTTATTTTTAGTTTCTTTTCTCGAGGGCCCGGCTCCCGTCAAAGATCTGATTGGGCTTAGTCCACTAGCCCATCAAACCATATCTCTCCGTCTCGATCTTTACTCTTCCTTCCCTTCTCGCTTTCTTCACCCTCTTCCTCGGCGGACAATTTCCTTGAGCAAATGGAGTCGTCGCCGTCGAATTCAACAGTCGGCATAGCCGCCGTTCCTTCGAAACGGCCTGCCCGGCGGCTCTTGTTCGACCGCCGCTATGGCTGGGTGTAAGATATACTCTCTATATCTTTTCTCCCTGTCTGTTAACTGTTTTGCTTGAATGATTCATTTGGCGCGAGAGTGTTCTGATTTGGGCGTTTTGCGTTCTTAGGGTGGATGAATGGAAGCACCCATCGGAGGAAGCCTTGGCTGGCGGCCGTGGAATGTGAGTTCTTATCTCAAAACTTCCCAGGTTTTATCTTTCCCGCTTACCTCTCTGTTTGGTTGCTTAGAAAATGAAAGAATCATTTCCCCTGCAATTGGGTTCGGGTGAGGATTAAGGAGTATGCTGTATCACTGATCTCCATTTGGCTTTCTTCATTTCTGAAGGTTCTGCATATTACCTCTGGCAAAATCATTGTGGATGATGGCTTCGAAATCGGTAAGTTTCGAAGTTCTCCCTCTTGGTTCTTTTCGATTAGGTAGCTTCTTGATGATACCACTCCATGCTGGATTTATGAATCTATTCGGTGGTGAATGAATTCTGTGACTGATTTACATCCAAGTGTATTACCTTCAACACATGAAAGTCCTGTTCTTTTAGCTTACAGTGGTTAACTCATAACTGTTTGTTAATGGAAATTGGTTGACTTCCATTCTATGCCTGAATTGGGTAGGCTTGTTCATGATTACTACAGTCATATTCATACGATTGAAACAGTGCCGATTTCTCATTGAAATCGAAAGGATTTTGTAAAGACATTAGCTTCTTCTTCTTCTTGATCATTTTGCTTTCCTTGGTATCACCCTCTACAGATAGATTTCGCATCGAGTTATGCCGCTGAAGTCATTGAAAAGCCTGAGCTTTTATCGCCTCAGACGCTGCAGGCGAATCTGGGAACTCAGCTCAACAGATTCAAGTCTTCCCTGCTTAACCCCGATTTCGATCATCTTGTACGAAACTCTCCGTCCTCCCATCCTGCTCGTGTATTCTCAAATTCACATGTAAAACTTGACAACAAAGAACCACAGACTGATTGATGATGCCACTAGTCTATTATGATGCAACATTGATCTTTTGGTCTAATGCATGGTCCTTGGATTTAGATTATGAGTTCTATCCTTTCACTTCATCGGTAAAGTTCAACAAGGAAAGAAGGAAATGTAAGAAAACTGAACAATGAGTTTGGATCGTTTTTGCATCGAAGCTATGATCCGGAAGACTGGCTAGACTTCCATTAATAAGCACTCTTGAGGCAGAAACCACCATCAACCAAAAGGTTCAACCCACTTAGGTACTTGGACTCATCACTCACCAGGTTCAACGCGGCCTCCGCAACATCCTCAGGTTTCAGAACAACTCCTTTCAGATTCCCGACCGCCGAGAACATCTCCTCCAGAGCCTTCTCGTCCAACCCAATCCACTCCTCGTTCATCGGAGTCGCAGCCCCAAACGGCGAGATGCAGTTCACTCGAATCCCGAATTGGCCCAGCTCCACGCACAGGTTCTTCGCCAGCCCCACCACCGCGTGCTTCGACGCTGCGTAAATGTGTGGCGCGCCCCCGTAGGTGGCCGTTGCAACGCTGCCAGTGAGGAGAATGGTCCCGCTCTTCTCCGGGATCATCACCCTGGCGGCGTGCTTCGCCGCCAGGAACGATCCGTACACGTTGACGTCGAACATCTTCCTGAACTCCTGGGGGTTGACGGACAATATGCATACTTTCTTCTCCAGGAGATTGATCTTCTCCCCTATTATCCCGGCGTTGCTGTACATGATGTCGAGCTTCCCGTGCGTCGAAACAGCGGTGTCGACTGCGGCTTGCATATCCGAGTCGTCGGCCACATCGCATTGAACGTAGGAAACAGGGTGGCCCGACTCGAGCTGGATCTGCCTGGACACAGACTGGCCCAAATCGGACCGGATGTCTGCTATCACGACTTTGGCGCCGTGCTGGGAGAAGAGCCGCGCCGCTGCAGCACCGATCCCCCTGGCTCCGCCGGTTATGAGGGCTACTTTGCCTTGTAATCTTTTCGCCATGGTTGCTGCTAACAGGTTGGGGAGATTGAGAGAGAGCTCTTCTATTCTATTTAAGGGCAATTGGATCTGCCTAATCAATTGGATCTTACATTACTAGTTCTCGGCTTCTCGCATGTTATGTTCTGACCACACCTCTCATGTGCTGAGATTCTCTTGTATTAGTATATCATTTGAGGACTACAACTTGTACTCCCAACTCCCAATCCAATTACCTTTGTGTCGAATATATTATTAGGGCAGTAGGCCAGAGTGGTTCTGCAAATGTCCAACAGCAGAAAGCAGAGTAGTTAACATCATTAGCTGTCATAGTTTCACCAAAACGATTCCTGAAGGCATCGTTATGAACAGTAGTTCTTACCTCAACAAATTCAATCTTTCTGTTGTGAACACATGGGATGATATCAGTCCCAGCTTCTGAAGATTATGAGCACAAAAAGGTCAGAGCTTTTCCATCCCCATTTCAGTTAATATGACCAAAGGTTACAAGGAAGACGTCGTGCTGATATCTACGTTCCTTAGTTCTTCACACAGACCTTCCAATGGCTGAGAAAAAACAGATATCAAATGAAAGAGATTCACATAGCATGATAGCAATCACCAAAAGAAAAGAAGAAAAAAACTGATCTGGATATACCCAAGTCTTAGCATCAATCTCAACACAACTAAATCCACCTTCCCTAAACCCCATCATCTTCCCTGCAGACTCTTTTGCATCCTCAACAACCCACTTGCCGCCCAGCCTCCGCCTTCCCGCCGACGAAGCTATCAAGTGTCATCTGCCAGCGATTCCCAGTCCTCCTCCCATTATTAACGAAAGAAGACAAGTAACTGGATGCTCCCTCGGAATCACAAGCGCCGCCGGCGGGGCGACGATTCTCCGAATCCAAATCAAACACCGAAGAAGGCCGGATGTGGTGGCATGAAGAAGAGGAGGGCTTCGAATTTTCGCAAGCCACGTCGATTTCTCCCACCGCGGCCTACCAGTCGAAGTCTCCTACTCAAAGAACGGAATGGGAAAGAAACCTAACTGAGTTCGTCGTCATCGTCGCCAATTGGGGACTGGCCCGATCTACATTATTTTTTCAGCACAGGGATGAAAGATTATTGGCGACTGGCAAAGGACATAATTCTCTGTATAATTTTCTGCATTTTCGTGCAATTTTTCCAGCAATTTTCTGTTCGTTTTTCAGATTTTTCCCGGGATTTTTTTTGGCCTTCATGCCAATAAATCGCAGAAAATAAATATATCGACAAAATACCGTAAATATCGCGAAATATCGTGATATTTTTATATATCGTCATTTTCACTTTCTCGTCAATTTATCGCGTTTCGATTTTGGTTTTGAGGTAGCGAAAAGTTTCGCGTTGTGGCGTTTCTTCAAATAATTCCGTGACTCGTATCCATTTCGACAGTTTCGCAGCATTAGGGCCAGGGTTTCCCGGAGTTGGGCCTGCCCCAATCGGCCTGAATCCGGCAACACACCAAAAAGCTGATATTGGGCTTGCCAATATGGGCCAGTCTGTTCAAAAGTTATCTGGTGTGATAAATGTTTCGGCCCATCCAAATATTGAGCCAGCGGCAGATGCTTCAGAGAATCTGTGAAACCGATCAACAGAACTCAGAAACGCGAAACGGTGGGCAGAAACGCGAAACGTTTCGGGTCCTCAAAACCAAAATCGAAACGCGAGAAATTGACGATATTTTGACGAGTACTTAATTTTGACGATATTTCGCGATAATTTGAAATATCGCAATATTCAACGATATTTTACGATATTTTGACCAAAAGTCGTTCCTGGCGATATTTTGACGGCTATGTGAATTCAGAACCCAGAACCAGAAAGCTTCTCAGCGACTATCTTCGTTCTATCCCTCCCTTTCGCCGGCCGAACTGAAACGTTGATGATTTCGAGCCTGATTCCCCTCCCTACTCACCTATACCGACTTCCAGAAACATTCCGACATTAGTTTCGTGGTTTTTCAGAGCCTCCTCCAAGGACAGACATGGCTACCGCTGTAAATCCCGCCTGCGTTGATTGTAGATCAACTGGATTCAATCAAATCTAAATTGGAATGCGATTTATCTATGCCAAAACCCAGAAGCAATCTCCGATGTAAAAGACTGCAGATTAGATTCGAATAAATCAACCCATTTCTGATTTCTATCGTCCCGTAAAACTTCCCTGTTCTACTCGTTGAGTCGAAAACTGTTGCCGCTTGTCGTCGCCTGATCTTCCCTTGCATAGAGCTTCTATGTAGGTCGATTTGAATGGATCTTCAATGCGTTGGTTTGGTTGGAACGTTGTGCACGGTTCGCTCGGTTGGAGCAAGTGGATGAGAGGAGTTCTTGGTGAAGAAGCTGAATGCCCGCCGAAGAGGATGAGATGATGATTTTTTCTTCAGCTGGGCTCGTCGTCCTTCATTAGCTTTGGTAGATGGGCTTTTTGTTATGGCCTTTGTCTAAACTAGATCCATCAATGGGTGAGTAAGACGGGATTGATTCCTGGGCTGATGCTGGGTTGAACTGGTTGGACCGGCTGGGCGGATGCCAGGTTGGCCACCATTGTTTAAGCAAATGTTTTAGTGAAAATTTTAATTGATGACTTTGAGGGATAATCAGTGAGTTTGAGCAAGGAAAAGAGGGAAAGGATTCAGAATATAGAGACTAGAAGAAGGATAACCAAGTGTTTTCATATTCTCCATAATTATTTATTTTAACATTATATTACACATCGCCTCAATGTTAACAATACCTTACATATCTTGCATTTGGTGACACATTTAATCAAGCACTCTTGAGGCAGAAACCACCATCAACCAAAAGGTTCAACCCACTTAGGTACTTTGACTCATCACTCACCAGGCTCAGCGCAACCTCCGCGACATTCTTTGGTTTCAGAACAACTCCTTTCAGATTCCCGATCGTCGTGAACATCTCCTCCAGAGTCTTTTCGTCCAGCCCCATCGACTCCTCCCCCATCGGGGTCGGAGTCCCAGACGACGAGATGCAGTTCACACGAATCCCGAACTCCCCCAGCTCCACGCACAGGTTCTTCGCCAGCCCCACCACAGCGTGCTTCGACGCAGAGTACATGTGCGGCGTGGTGCCGTAGCTGGCCGTCACGGCGCTGCCCGTCAGAAGAATGGTCCCGCTCTTCCGCGGGACCATTACCCTGGCAGCGTGTTTCGCTGCCAGGAACGATCCGTACACATTGACGTCAAACACCTTCCCGAACACTTCCCGGTCAACGGACAGTATGCCTACTTTCTTGATATTCGCCAGAGGGTCGAACTTCTCCCCTGCTATCCCGGCGTTGCTGTACATGATGTCGAGCTTCCCGTACGTCGAAACGGCGGTGTCGACTGCGTTTTGCATGTCCGAGTCGCTCGCCACGTCACATTGAACGTAGGAGACGGGGTGGCCCGACTCGAGTTGGATCTGGTTGGATACGAAGCGGCCCAGGTCGGACCGGATGTCGGCTATCACGACTTTGGCGCCGTGCTGAGAGAAGAGCCGCGCCGCCGCAGCGCCGATCCCCCTGGCTCCGCCGGTGATGAGGGCTACCTTGCCTTGTAATCTTCTCGCCATGTTTGCTAAAAGGTGTTGGAGCACAGCGAAATATGTAGTAGGTTTAAGATCGAAAATATTAGAGGAAATTATTTCACTCTAATATCTCACACAATTAGGCAATTGTTGCCTTTACAAAGAGCTCACAACATATATGCTATTATAGCTCTTCTTCTCTCTGCACCTTACATTGCCTCCAATTGAGGCTATTTATACACAATTCCCCTGCGTACAACACATATAGATTTATATAATTGGAAAGATGAAGACAAAGCCATTACTCTTGTGGCCATACATATGCATTATTTTTATTTATTTTTTTAATCAAAGCTAGTGAACCCACATCATAATTGCCCACGGTTGTCATGTGCTTTGTTTGTAATGAACCACCAATATTATTTGGCTGTTCAACCTTCTTTTCAGCATGTGATCTTGTTGCTAGTTGATCCAACTATAGGAGTAAAGTCTATGTTTCCTTGAGATGACAATGGGGACACTCTTGGAGAAACTTGCATTATTGCAAATTACCATTCAACAAAAGGTAGTGGGGTGAGATTCAGAGCTCTTGTATTTAAGGGCATATGATCGATCAATTGAAAATTGATCTGACTTATTCCAATAATAACTTCCAAGCCCAAGCAATCCAAATAACAAAGGCCTACACATCAGCAGGAGCTGGACTCTTTAACTGCACCTCTCCCACTGAGGTTTGAGATGATGATTCGTCTGCAACTACTGCTAACAACTCCCAAGACCCATTCTCTCCACTATATATATATATATATCGTGATTCTGATTATTATTTTAAAACCGCAACAAAAAAAAATATTTGGTTTGAATATTTCATATACTGAATCATCGGGTCGGGTGCATGTAATGTTTAGAAGTCATGTAAAATTCTTAATTTAGCATTAATTTTTAGAACTACTATAAAACAAAGATATTGTTTTTGCAAATTAAAGTGGCTAGTTCTTTGAAGTTTTTTAGTTCGGTTAATCGTTAAAGGTTAAATCTCTTTGATAATCCACAGCATGATTAGACCCATATGCGAGATTAAAAGAACACAATTTCTGAAAATCACCTTTTTAGTAATTAACCATATGTGTCATTAAGAGGAATACATTGCCTTGTAATCTTGTCGCCATGGTTGCTATAGTATAGGTAGGGGAGATTAATTAAGAGCTCTTATATAATATTCAAGGGAAATTCAATTGAAATGATGAATTTGCAGCATTCATTCATGGTGAGAAACAAAACTTCCCATATGGCAAAATACAACTGAAGAGCATCAAGTGAGAGAGAGAGAGAGAGAGAGAGAGAGAGAGAGAGAGGATGATATACTTCATGGTCTGTCAGGTTGTTGTGTTTCTGATATACTTTTGAAGCTTTTCCACTTTCAGGTTGTGGTGTTTCTAGTATAATTTTGAAGCTTTTCCATGGTTGCCAAGGAGAAACACGCCATCACACATTTGTGGTAAGCAAACTTGTACACAAAGGGGTTACAGCGTACTTTGGCTAAACACGAACTCGTATGATATTGTATGCGTGGATTCAATCTGTTGGAGTGCCCTGAATTTGTTATATCCGTTGAGCGTGTGACATTGATAGTATATATATACGGATGTTCATTTACAATGAATGACACGAATAACTTAAATATGTATCTCGGTTTTTATTTATTTAGTTGTCGATTATATCTCATTGATACATAACGTTGTGTCATCTTCAGAAGAATATCCCGACATCTGGTTTCTTCGTATAACTTGACGTTATTGAAATAAAAATATAAAAGCTATAAATATGCATGAATATTGCAGGTAAAAGAAGCTCTATACACAAGGCTAGTGGAGGAGTCAGGTTGAAACCAAAAGGGGCTATATATACCCCTCAAATTTGAAATTTAGGTAAAAGTTTCTAGCATTGCCTCACTAGCTAGCATCTTATCATTGTACTCGGTATTATACATTATGTTGTTTTAACAAACACACGTACGTACGTAACATGATTCTTAACAAGCACGCCTTTTTCGTCCCACGAGTCGTTTATTCCTTTTTTGTAAGTTCATCCATTAGTATTGTTACGTGGATGAAATGTTTGGTGATGTTGTTAGGCAAACGAACAGTTTATCAATACTAACAACCACATAACGAATTAGTCGCAAAAAATGGGGTCACAGTCAAAAACCATCCCAGCTGCAGGCTGCAGCCATTCATTCTGTGGGCTCGAACCCTTAATTGACTGGTTGACGATTTGCTCCAAGGACAGACATGGCTACCGCTGTAAATCCCGCCTGCGTTGATTGTAGATCAACTGGATTCAATCAAATCTAAATTGGAATGCGATTTATCTATGCCAAAACCCAGAAGCAATCTCCGATGTAAAAGACTGCAGATTAGATTCGAATAAATCAACCCATTTCTGATTTCTATCGTCCCGTAAAACTTCCCTGTTCTACTCGATGAGTCGAAAACTGTTGCCGCTTGTCGTCGCCTGATCTTCCCTTGCATAGAGCTTCTATGTAGATCGATTTGAATGGATCTTCAATGCGTTGGTTGGAACGCTGTGCTCGGTTCGCTCGGTTGGAGCAAGTGGATGGGAGGAGTTCTTGGTGAAGAAGCTGAATGCCCGCCGAAGAGGATGAGATGATGATTTTTTCTTCAGTCGTCCTTCATTAGCTTTGGACTTTGGTAGATGGGCTGTTTGTTATGGCCTTTGTCTAAACTAGATCCATCGATGGGTGAGTAAGACGGGATTGATTCCTGGGCTGATGCTGGGTTGAACTGGTTGGACCGGCTGGGCGGATGCCAGGCTGGCCACCATTGTTTTGAAGCAAATGTTTTAGTGAAAATTTTAAGTAATGACATTGAGGGATAATCACTGAGTTTGAGGCTTTGAGCAAGGAAAAGAGAGAAAGGATTCAGAATAGAGACTAGAAGAAGGATAACAAGTGTTAACATATTCTCCGTAATTACTTATTTTGACATTATATTACACATCGCCTCAATATTAACAATACATTATTACATTTCTTGCATGTGGTGACACATTTAATCAAGTACTCTTGAGGCAGAAACCACCATCAACCAAAAGGTTCAACCCACTTAAGTACTTTGACTCATCACTCACCAGGCTCAGCGCCACCTCCGCGACATCCTTTGGTTTCAGAACAACTCCTTTCAGATTCCCGATCGTCGTGAACATCTCCTCCAGAGTCTTCTCGTCCAGCCCCATTGACTCCTCACCCATCGGAGTTGGAGTCCCAAACGGCGAGATGCAGTTCACACGAATCCCGAACTCCCCCAGCTCCACGCACAGGTTCTTCGCCAGTCCCACCACAGCGTGCTTCGACGCAGAGTACATGTGCGGCGTGGTGCCGTAGCTGGCCGTCACGGCGCTGCCCGTCAGAAGAATGGTCCCGCTCTTCTGCGGGACCATCACCCTGGCAGCGTGTTTCGCTGCCAGGAACGATCCGTACACGTTGACGTCGAACACCTTCCCGAACGCTTCCCGGTCAACGGACAGTATGCCTACTTTCTTGATCTTCGCCAGAGGGTTGAACCTCTCCCCTGCTATCCCAGCGTTGCTATACATGATGTCGAGCTTCCCGTACGTCGAAACGGCGGCGTCGACTGCGTTCTGCATGTCCGAGTCGCTCGCCACGTCGCATTGAACGTAGGAGACGGGGTGGCCCGACTCGAGCTGGATCTGGTTGGATACGGAGCGACCCAGGTCGGACCGGATGTCGGCTATCACGACTTTGGCGCCGTGCTGAGAGAAGAGCCGCGCCGCCGCAGCGCCGATCCCCCTGGCTCCGCCGGTGATGAGGGCTACCTTGCCTTGTAATCTTCTCGCCATGGTTGCTAAAAGGTAGTGGGGTGAGAGTGAGATTCAGAGCTCTTGTATTTAAGGGCATATGATCGATCAATTGCAAATTGCTTGACTTATTCAATTAATAACTTCCAATCCCAAGCAATCCAAATAACAAAGGCCTACACATCAGCAGGAGCTGGACTCTTTAACTGCACCTCCCACTGACTTTGAGGTGATGATTCTTCTGCAACTACTGCTAACAACTCCCAAGACCCATTTCTCTCCACTGTATATATATATGTATACTGAATTATCGAGCGTAGTGAATGTTTAGAAGTGATGTAAAAATCCTAATTTAGCATTAATTTTTATAACTATCATAAAAACAACGATATTATTTTTGCAAACTAAAAACGGAGTTAGTTGTTTGAAATTTTTAGTTCGGTTAAACGCTTTTGTAGGGGAAATTCAATTGAAATGATGAATCTTGGGATGTTAGATTCTAGTTGTACCATGTTACGTTGGACTAGATCCACTTTTGTCGCTCACTCACCCATTTCCTCAACTATATATATATATATGTCTAATAGATGTCTCAGTGATTCGTTATTTAGTTTGCTGATCCCTATCATACAACAACTTCCCTAATATCATTGGTGACAATTACGTGTTAGTGGAAGGGAATATTAATGGAATCTGGATAGACACATGAAGCCACCTGTTCCTTCATTTCTTAATCTATCCATTGAGCCATTGACCAATTTATTCATCAACCAGTATAGATAGCAATTTTGTATCCAATTTACCATTAGGTATATCTCATTAATTCAATCTATTTAATCAAAATCTAATTGTTACATCATTATTATTACTAAGGCCAATAATTCAAAGTAGGTTTTATTTTGGGGCCTAATTAACTAAAAGGAATTTACAACCGATCTTTGTATTCCACATATGAAAGGTTGTTGTTACATCCCCCAAATAACAGTTTGCTTTCGCATGGCTTTATTTTGATGCTGATGGATTAGGGTTGTAACATTTTTCTTTACGTGAATTTGCAGCATTCATTCATGGTGAGAAACAAAACTTCCCATATGGCAAAATACAACTGAAGAGCATCAAGTGAGAAAGAGAGAGAGGATGATATACTTCATGGTCTTTCAGGTTGTGGTGTTTCTGGTATACTTTTGAAGCTTTACCATGGTTGCCAAGGAGCAACACGCCATCACACATTTGTGGTAAGCAAACTTGAACACAAAGGGGTTACGACGTACTTTGGCTAAACACGAACTCGTACGATATTTGTATGCGTGGATTCGATCTGTTGGAGTGCCCTGAATTTGTTATATCTGTTGAATGTGTGACATTGGTAGCATATACGGACGTTCATTTACAATGAATGGCACGAATAATGTAAATATGTATCTCATTTTTTATCAATTTAGTTGTCGATTATATCTCATTGATACATAACGTCGTGTCATTTTCAGAAGAATATGACGACATCTGGTTTCTTCGTATAACTTGACGTTATTGAAATAAAAATATGACCGCTATAAATATGCATGAATATTGCAGGTAAAAGAAGCTCTATACACAAAGCTAGTGGAGGAGTCAGGTTGAAACCAAAATGGGCTATATATACCCCCTCAAATTTGAAATTTAGGTAAAAATTTCTAGCATTGGCTCACTAGCTAGCATCTTATCATTGTACTCAGTACTATACATTATGTTGTTTTAACAAACACACGTACGTACGTAACATAATTCTTAACAAGCACGCTTTTTTCGTCCCACGAGTCCTTTATTCCTTTTTGTAAGTTCATCCATTAGTATTGTTACGATGGATGAAATGTTTGGTGATGTTGTTAGGCAAACGAACAGTTTATCAATACTAACAACCACACAACGAATTAGTCGCAAAAAATGGGGTCACAATCAAAAACCACCCCAGCTGCAGGCTGCAGCCATTCATTCTGTGGGCTCGAACCCTTAATTGACTGGTTGACGATTTGAACTCTTCCTCACGTATGTTCAAACCCCTTTCTTTTTCCTTATGGTTAACGTGTTAATTTACCTTCCTTAGTTACGACGAGAGGAAACCAACAAGAAGCTAGAGGCTGCATATATATACGAAATTTGTGGCATGCCCTAGCTAACTTAGGTAACTTAATTTGGATTTATGTGAAATTTGTCAACCAATCATTGTCAGGCGGCTTCCTCGTTTAGCAAAAGTTAAGAATGTCATTCTCAGACAAGAAGAAGATGCGTTTGTTAGCTGAACTACAAAATGCTAATGAACACGTACGTGGGCTTCATTCGTTGCGAGAAATTCGAGCGAAAGCTAATTCATGGGTTTGAATTTTTCACGGACCTGTCATATTATGTACTTTAGAACGACGTACCCTCAATAACAAGCTAGCTCTGACATTATGTTATAAATCTATTAGTCTCAATAATTCAAATTGTTGGAATTAAGTCCATGTATAAATATTAACCATTTCCTTACGGATAACTATATAACTACATAAAAAAGAAAATCATCACAAAGAGAATAAAATGTTATCGATTGTGATTAGCTAGGTTTGCTTGCTAGCAAGCTAGTTTGATCAATAACAACCCTATCAGAATTCAGAAGCATCTTGTCAACCGTATTAGGTCGAGCTAACTACAATTCGGATTAAGGGTCATAGTTATCAAAAAAACTATCTTAATCAACCTGTGTTGATAATTATAGTAGTAGTACTAAATTGATTCATGAACTAATTGTGATTATAGGCCATCGGGGATGAACTACTTGAACAAGTTAACTACTTTTAGTTGACAATGAAACTACTAATGTACGTAGTTTGGACAAAGAAGAATATTTTAGCACTTGAAAAGTCTTCATCAAGAATTCCTTTTACAGACCAAATTTCATGAGTTGAAAAATCAAAGATTATTATTATTATTATGCAATTTAACCCGCCACCACTACATCACAAAGACTTTTCTTCCAATATTCACGAGCAAGCAAACATCTATAAATACCAACATTGCAATCTTATGCTAAACTAAAAAAAAACATGTCTTCCAAATATATCTCATTTCAGCTCCTTGGGCTTCTCCTACTTTCTTGCTTAATCATCCATGTTCATGCAGCCGCCCGCCATCACACGTTCGTGGTACGTAAATTTTATGTCGTGCTCTTGACATGATCATCTCTGATGATCGCGTCATATCGTCTGTTGACAAAATATGACAGTAAATTTATGTTCATTGTTGATCAGGTGGAAGAGGTGCCATATACTAGACTATGTAGCACAAAGAACATCATGGCCATCAACGGCAAGTTCCCCGGTGAAACTTTGTATGTCAACAAAGGTGACACCCTCATTGTGGATGTGGTGAACAAAAGCCCACATAACCTCACTATCCATTGGTATATAGATACTATATTACACATTGATTTCCCTAACATAATAACATTATAAGCTTAATTTTCATTTTGTATTTAGATTAATTAAGTTGACGTTATAATGTGTGCATTCATATAGGCATGGAGTGAACCAGCCGAGAAATCCATGGTCAGACGGTCCCGAGTACATCACACAGTGCCCGATCCAACCTGGCGCGAAGTTCAGCCAGAAAGTCATATTCTCGACCGAGGAAGGCACTCTTTGGTGGCATGCACACAGCGAATGGACTCGAGCCACCGTCTACGGTGCAATCGTCATCTACCCTAAGAAAGGAGACACTTACCCCTTCCCCAAGCCTCATGCTGACGTCCCAATTATTTTTGGAGAGTGGTGGAAGCAAGACATATTCCAACTCTACGAAAATCTCCTCCAATCTGGAGGAGACCCTAATGCCTCCGATGCAATCACTATCAACGGTCAACCTGGCGATCGATTCAATTGCTCTGCCCAAGGTAACGTACACTAGGTCAAAAAAAAAATCACCACAGAATGAAAATTTTAACCGGTGTGTTATCAATCCACTACAGAGATGATTGACTCGAAGTTTTTTTTTTCTTTTTTTCATCAGATATGCTCAAGTTGGTAGTGAAACAAGGCAAGACATACCTCCTCCGCCTCATCAACGCCGCAATGCAAGACATCCTCTTCTTCTCCGTCGCCAATCACAACCTCACGGTGGTCGGAACCGATGGAACTTACGTCAAACCTTTCCAATCCGACTACATCACCATCTCCCCCGGCCAAACCATTGACGTCCTTCTCCACGCCAACCAACCAAACAGAAGCTATTACATGGCCACCAAATTCTACACTAGCGCACGCGGCGCCGTCAATGCCAACACCTCCACCGCGCTCCTCCAATATTCCGCCACCGCCGCCACCACAAACCTCTCCCTCCCATCCCTCCCGGCCACCAACGACACCACCGCCTCGGTCAATTTCACCGCCAGGCTACGTAGCTTGGCGGACAAGAAACACCCGGTCAACGTCCCGAAAAACCCTACCACTAACTTGTACTTCACGATATCCATGAACACCCTTCCTTGCCCTGCTGGACGCTCCTGTGCGGGACCCAATGGATCCCGCCTCGCGTCCAGCGTCAACAACATCAGCTTCGTGGCCAACACGTCGCTGGACGTGTTGGCCGCATACTACAACATGATCGAGGGAGCGTACGGGGACGACTTTCCCAGGAAGCCTCCGGTGACGTACAACTTCACCGGAACAAATATCCCGGCGGAGTATCGGGTCCCTAGCACGGGGAACGAGGTCGTGGTGCTCGAGTATAACTCGTCCGTGGAACTCGTGTTCCAAGGCACCAGTTTGCTCGGTGGGGTCGACCACCCCATGCACCTTCACGGCACGAATTTCTACGTCGTAGGGTGGGGTTTCGGTAATTTCGATAAGGTCAATGATCCCAAGAGTTACAATCTCGTCGATCCACCGTTTCAGAACACCATTGCCGTTCCGATAAACGGGTGGGTCGCTGTCAGGTTTAGAGCCAAGAACCCTGGTAAGCATACATCATTTTTTTTTTTACGTATCTATTTTAACAACTCGAGTTATCTTTGTTGATGTGTTGATTATATGGATTCGAATCAATGTAGGAGTTTGGTTCATGCACTGCCATCTGGAGCGACATGCATTGTGGGGAATGGATATGACGTTTATAGTGAAGAACGGAAGAGGGGAAAACGCCACGATGCTGCCGCCGCCGCCGGACATGCCTCCCTGCTGAAATCAATTTATCATCAATGGAGTGATAATTAAATAGAGGAATTAATTTGTGAAAAATGTATCTCAATTAATAAAGATTGTTAGAAGATAATATTGATAATTAATCAATATAATAGAATTCATTAGCTAATAAAACCCCAGATGAATGGAATTTGTTAATCACTTTGTTGTTCTCGTCATTAGCGATTTGGATTTTTCTTTTGCTTTTGGTGAGATGTGGATTTTTCTTTTTTGTAACAAACGATTAGTACTGTTTCGTATATCTTAAATTAGAAAGTTATTTTGTATTTTTCCCCTCAAATATTTTGTGATTTAGACATTATTTATACATACAAAATAATTCAGCTCATCATGAATATATTAACTACTAACTACTAAGTATATCATGGATGACTCAGTTGTCGCATATACATAAGAAACAAGATTGTGTCCTTCGATTTCTACTTTCAACTTGCACTTCTCATCTTGTAATTGTCACAATGTATTTGTCATTTGAAAGTAATTAATAAATTGCTATTATCGATCGTAAATACCCTGATAATTAATATATTAAATTGCTTTGTTGCGGTTTTGAATTGTGTGAGCTGCAGATTCTACAATTACATAAGACAAATTACAAAGTGCTGCCTATTTTTCATTATTTGTTTCTAATTATGCCATTTGTTAGACTTTGATGCTCCTCTAATTTCAGTAATGACAAGTTACAAACTAAGATTTAGTCGTTGGAGCCAAATTACACTAGGAATTCGCTACAAAAAAACGAGGAGAAACCCACCAAAACGATGTCACAAAGAAGAACAAGAGGAACTAGAAACGATTGACTAGAACAAAGCTAATTAATCACGTACAACACCCTAAAGTCTACTCTAATTTTATTTATCATAGTTAATTTGTCTATATACACCACACGATCGAATTCCACCCATATGTCTATTTAGCTGAATTTCCATTTAAAAGTATTTAATTTCTATGATACGTTATCGCATATCCACAAATCATAATCGTCGATTGTTGTTTTTAATTAAGTAATAAATCTTCAAATTTGAGTTTGAAGAATCAGTATCCGAAGTTCACCCATTAAAAATTAAGAAATAGTAACTCACCTTAAACCCGAATTAATTCACGATGTAAGTAGCATCACCCCGCTAGGGATCGCGGACTACTGCATATAAATATACTAGTTTTTTGGTCCGCGCTTCACAGCGGTGAGATTTATGTAATATACTTGCTTAACTAAAATATATGAAATAATTACCCTCCGTTTTACGTAATGTATTATAATTTAGTTTATGTAATGTGTGGTCTAATAATAAAATTAAATTAGAAAAGTTATCATATTTATTATGTAAAATTAACTTACCTTATGGAATAATATCAAATTAGAAAAGGTATCATATTCTACTAATATATTATGTAAAATTTAACTTACCTTATGGAATCTTTTTGTAATGCAAATTGATGAGATATTGAATATCGTAGTTAATAATAAAGAAATTTTAATAAATAATTAGGGAATTAAATTAAGAAGAGTATCACATTTGATTAAACTATTATGCAAACTATAACTAAGCTTATAAAACTTTTGTATAATGAAAATTTATGAGATGATCAACCTTAAAATATCATTACAATTTATATTACGAAAGACTTGCATAATAATTTTTAATTGATACATAAGAAACGATTATCCCTCGATAAGTTTTATGCAATGACTTAATCATTATGAAAGTCATTCCCTATTGTGTTTTTCTTAATTGATACATAAGAAATAACTATCTCTCCATAAATTGTACGTAATGTTTTAACCCCTACAAAACTCACACCCTATTATGTTTTGTTTAATTCATACATAAAAAATTAATGCTTAAAAAATGTCTCTCTCTCCGTATGTTTTACATAAGTCTTAACCATTACGAAAGTCATACCATGTTATGTGTTGTTTAAGTTGATACATTAAAAATAATTGTTACTCTATAAGGTTGATATGATATAATATACGTGACTTTTAATAGCACGGTGTTACGTAAATATTTCGTAATGTGCGGTCTAATAATAAAATCAAATTATAAAAAGTATTGCATTCTGTTATACCACTACGTAGAAGACACCTTTTATGTGTAATTTCTTCATATGTTACGTGACTTTTTATAGTACGGTGCTACGTAAATATTTCTTAACGTGCGGTCTAATAATAAAATCAAATTATAAAAAGTATCGCTTTTTTAGACCACTACGTAAAAGACACCTTTATGTGTAATTCCTCATATGTTACGTGACTTTTTATAGCACGGTGTTAGTAAATATTTCGTAATGTGCGGTCTAATAATAAAATCAAATTATAAAATGTATCACATTTTGTTAGACCACTACGTAGAAGCGCCCTTTATGTGTAACTCTTCATATGTTACGTGGCTTTTTATAGCACGGTGTTACGTAACTATTTCATAACGTGCGGTCTAATATAAAATCAAATTATAAAAGTATCGCAATTTGTTAGACCACTATGTAGAAGACACCTTTATGTGTAATTCCTCATATGTTACGTGACTTTTTATAGCACGGTGTTACGTAAATATTTTCTAATGTGCGGTCTAATAATAAAATCAAATTATAAAAGTATCGCATTTTGTTAGACCATTACGTAGAAGACACCTTTATGTGTAATTCCTCATATGTTACGTGACTTTTTATAGCACAGTGTTACGTAAATATTTTCTAATGTGCGTCTAATAATAAAATCAAATTATAAAAAGTATCGCAATTTGTTAGACCACTACATATAAGACCCCTTTGTGTAACTTTTCATATGTTACGTGACTTTTTATAGCACGGTGATACGTAAATATTTTGTAATGTGCGGTCTAATATCAAATTATAAAAAGTATAGCATTTTGTTATACCACTATGTAGAAGACCCCTTTATGTGTAATTTCTCATATGTTTGTGTATGCTACCCCGTAGCTAATAAATGTAATGAACAATGTTTGGCGAAAGAATTGAGGGGTGGGAGTTTTTTTCGCAAGAAACAGTAACATTGACTTGTACTTTTAATTAATTGATAATGCAAATCGTTAGAACTAATACACGTAATCGGTAATATAGAACAAAGGTTTAACTGTTTAAGTGCCATCAACCGCAGTGCCGCCTCCCTAGCTAGATTCCAAATGGCACGAACAACAAAAACTTGTTCTGTTTTGGAACATTCGCCAAGAATATCGTTTCCTTCGCCAGACTGCCTGCTGTTTACTTTCCTGGCCGTCTCCCGGAGGCACATATGGTTGCCGTCGCCAGAGAGAATTTGGCAAGACCTGCCAGACTGCATATGCTAATTAATCAACAATTATTCATTAGTATAAGTAGTGAGCACTTATCCCTTGAGCTTAATTCATTATCCAAGTTTCGCAGATTAATATTAGTAATCCATTTACTAACCATGAAAACAATGAGAAACATTAATGCCATCTCCGGGTTGATTCTTTTGCTCTACTTGAGCTTCTCCATCCATGGCGGCGCGGCGGGGGCTTCATCGATTCGACGCCACACTTTTGTGGTAATGTGTCTCCATTTTTTGATTTCCTTCGATAACACGACAAGAAACTACCTTTTTTTTTTAACGACCACCTTTTTTTTTTTTACTTTTGGCAACCTTTACTTATGGCCGCGAAAAATCACTTCTTCGTGGTGATTAATTTAGATTTCTTTGTTGTAGATAAAAGAAGCTTCCTACACGAGGCTGTGCAGTGAAAATAAGATAATGACGGTGAATGGGGAATTCCCAGGGCCAACTCTGTATGTTTACAAGGGAGACACAATCGTTGTGGATGTCATTAACCATAGCCCACATAACATAACCCTCCATTGGTAACTACCTCCAAAAGATTCAAAACTTGTTGATCACAACGAACTCGATCTCGTTGAGTCAATTTTGAATAATATAATTGGATTGGTATTGGTCTTTTTGTATAGGCATGGAGTAGCTCAACCGAGAAATCCATGGTCAGATGGTCCCGAATACATCACTCAGTGCCCGATCCAGCCAGGAAGGAAGTTCAGCCAGCGAGTCGAGTTCACCTTCGAGGAAGGTACGTTGTGGTGGCATGCTCACAGCGAGTGGACTCGAGCCACCGTCCATGGAGCTATTGTCGTGTACCCCAAGAAAGGGTCCACTTACCCCTTCCCCAAGCCCCACGCTGAAGTCCCGATCATTTTTGGTAAGAATCTAATTGCGCATTTAGAACCCTCAAACACTCACGGTTCTTAATGGTGCACTTTTTCAAAGTGAAGTGGCGTACGTGTATCATTTTTTTGCAGGAGAGTGGTGGAAGAATGGTGTGTTTGAGACCTACAAAGAGTTTCTTGGATCCGGGGGTGACCCAAATGCTTCCGATGCCATCACCATTAACGGTCAACCTGGAAATTTGTTCCCATGCTCAAAATCAGGTGCATGCTTAATTAGGGTTTAACTTCTTCACTAGTTCAAAGTTGAGGGAGCTTGTTTGGTATATAATTGTCCTTATTGCAACTTCTTCACTAGGCCTAAGTCAAGGGTTTGTTTGATATATCTTGTCCTTATTGCACCTCTTCTTCACTATGTAAGTAATTAAGAGCTCTTGTTTGGTATCTATTGTCCTTATTGCAGACACATTCAGACTCGACGTAGTTCGCGGAAAGACATACCTCCTTCGATTAGTGAACGCAGTCCTTCAGGACATGCTATTTTTTGCCATCGCCGACCATCAACTCACGGTGGTTGGGACCGACGGCAGCTACACGAAGCCATTCAAATCCAATTACATAACCATCTCTCCCGGTCAAACCATCGACGTCTTGCTAGAAGCAAAACCTTCGCAACAGTACTACTCCTCCTCATCACCAATGAAACAATATTACATGGCTGCTCGAGTGTACTCTAGCAACCCAGGGGCTGTCTTCGACAACACAACTGCGACGGCCATTCTCCACTACAATGATCACCAAGATTGGATTTTACATCATTCTTCACAGCCAACTCTCAAACTACCGCCCCTCCCAAGTGTTAACGACACAAGCGCATCGGTCGCCTTCACCGGCCGGCTCAGAAGTCTGTCCACCTCATCCTCCGACGCCGAACCTGTCCCAAAAGACGTGACAACAAAACTATTCCTCTCACTCTCCATCAACCTCCAGCCCTGCCCGAACAATTACTCCTGCCCGCCGGGCGGCCCCTTTAACGGCACCGTTCGCATCGCCGCGAGCATCAACAACGTGAGCTTCGTGGAACCGAGGTCCGTCGACATCCTGAGTGCATACTACAACCACATCAACGGCGTTTTCCGTACAGACTTCCCCCACAAACCCAAGCACCCCGCGGACTACACCGGCGACCGGCCATTCGAGGGAGCCGCGACGACGCACGGGACGAGGGTGAAGGTCTTGGGGCACAACTCCGCGGTGGAGGTGGTTTTCCAAGGGACGAATTTAGCCCTGGGGAGTGACCATCCGATGCATCTACACGGGATGAGCTTCTACGTGGTGGGATGGGGTTTCGGTAATTTCGACGAGAGGAGGGATCCCAAAGGTTACAATCTAGTCGACCCGCCCTTTGTGAACACCGTGGCTGTCCCGAGGAATGGATGGACTGCCATAAGATTCAGAGCTTCGAATCCCGGTAAGTGTTAACACAACGCATTTTTGAATAATTCGAGTTATTAGAATATGTCAATGCAAAGCATGTTTCATTAACTACTCGACTTATTGGAATGAACTAATTTCTCGTGAATTTTTTCCCCCTTCTTGCAGGAGTGTGGTTAATGCACTGCCATTTGGAGAGGCATCAAACTTGGGGAATGCAGATGGTGTTCATCGTTAAGAATGGGAAAGGCAGAAAAGCCCAGATGCTTCCTCCACCTCCTGATATGCCACCTTGTTGATATAATTCATTAATTATATTATTACTAGCTTTGTTTCTGGTCATTATCCTCATAAAATTTTATCATTATTCGATGAAATAAATATAATTATCATTCATTTTATATTATAATTAATTGTTAGATTAGTTTTGGTTTGGCAATTTTTCGCATTGATGTAATTTATTTATAATCATAAGATTTATGTTTCAAATATGAGACCCATTCTAAGTTCATCGTGCTTTTACCTCAATACCGACTATATCGATAAAGTAAAAAAATAAAAAAGTCATAGATCAGCGTTGAAGACATTTGATGATACATAGTATTAATCTTTGTTATGATAACATCATCAATCTCATTTAACTTTTATATATATATATACTAATATGAGTGGAAACAGAACAAACAAAGGTTTACAAAAAATTAGTGGGTAGCCGAGATACAATCTGGACCCCACTCTTTTAGCTACAGAAAAACTAAGTCTAGTAAAAATGTACGCGACCGCCCGAGCCCCTGCATCCTGAGACATGGAGTTTATCTTATTAGTTAATTATTATAGATTATGATGATTTGAGACTGCCCCGTAATAATAAATAAAAGTAACGTGGAAATGAGATTGACATGGATGATTGATAATTGAGTAAATTTAAAATCCGAAAGAATGGGAAAGGGAGGGAAGCCCAAATAATGCTCCCACCACCTCTTGATGTGCCACCTTGGTGATATAATAATTTTTTTTTATATAAATGGATGCCGCGCATCTAACTTTCATTCACAACCAAGCGAGTCTTAGCAAGACTTTGACAGTCATACAAAAGAATGTGATGGAACTCAGGAATAGAACAAGATACATTGTGGAAGCCTAAAGGTAAGCCGTGACCGTGGTTTGCAAGGAAGTCAGCTCCCTTGTGCCCTCTCGATAGATATGATGGATGGAAACCTCCCAGTCGCGTTGAAGCAGTTCCAGGAAGCGATGGATAGTGGCTGCATGCGGGTGATCGGGAGCGTCATGATTGCGCAGAAGTTGCACAGCACACTGCGAATCAATCTCCACCCTGATCCGCCGCAACCCCAAGCTCCAAGCCAGCTGAAGACCTTCCGTAGCGCCCCTCAACTCTGCTCGGGTGATGGAACAAACACCCAAGTTCATCGAGGATGCTGCCTCGAGGATGCTGCGAGGCAGCATCCTGAATGATCTCGAATCAGGCCGCCTGCCGCTGCACGACCTGATTCCTGAATAACGGAGCCGTCTGTGTTGAGGGTAACCCACTCGGGAGGTGGCGGCTGCCAAGAGATCTCAACCTCCGTTCTAATGGGCAGACGAGGCATGTGGACGAGCCTGTCTTTTTCCATGGCATTCTGCACTACATTAATCCATGCCAGGGTTCGCTGTAGGAAGGCTTCAGCTGTAACGATCTTTCCAGCAAAGATGCGGTCGCTCCTGGTCCTCCAAAGAGACCAGCAGGTCAGGCCAAAGGCAAGGCTAGTATCTTCACGACAGAGGTTCGAGATGATCCAATCCTACAAGTGACTGTCAAAGAAAGCATGGTGCTCAAAAAGCGGGATGAGCTGCATCCAAGTTAACCTGGAAAATTGACAGTCTCGCAACACATGCAGGACTGTCTCTGGGTGGCCTTGGCAGAGGCTGCAGTGGGGGCTCGTCGTGAGGTGACGCCGGGTGCGCTCCTGGTTCGTGAGAAGTCTCTCTCGTGCCGCCAACCAGAGGAAATGGGGAACTTTAGCTGGTCCTCTCCAACGCCAGATAGCCTTCCAAATCCGATCGTTCTGCTCCACGGTGGCTGAGGTCGCCAGCTCGTACGCCGATCTTACTCGAAACCGTCCACCTTTTTCGGGGCCCCGTGTAGGTATGTCCTCCCCTAAGTCCGGCCGTGGAGGTTGTATGCTCATTACCTGCAAAACTGCCTCATCGGGTAAGAAGGAGCTAAGTAAGGGACGATTCTACTCACCTGCCTGTGTGGTGAACTCAGCAACAGTGGCCGATAGCTCAATGGGGGGGCGTCCACTCTAGCGAGGTCAAGGAGGAGGTCACCAGAATCCAGCCACCGGTCCGACTAGAATGAGGTATTCTGGCCGTTCCTAATACTCATTTGTGTTCCCTCTACTGTTATCGGCCAGGCTTTCATGATCCCCCGCCGTATATTCGACCATCGCTTGGACGTTTTGGCTCTCATCCTGTCCTCAACTGTCTTGAAGTATTTTGCTTGGAGCACCCTCACCCAAAGTTCATTGGGGGATTTTAGGAAGGCCTATACCAGCTTGGCGAGAAAGGACAGGTTGAGCTCATGGGCCTTTCGGAGTCCGAGTCCCCCTTCAGTATTCGGTCGACATACCCGATCCCAGTGCACCAGGTGGACCTTGCGATTGGTCGCCGTGGATCCCCAAATGAAGCTCTGTATACGCTTATCGATGAGATCGCAAATGGATATCGGCAACAGTGTTGTTTGCATGGCATAGGTAGGCAAGGAGTTCAGTACTGAGGCCGCCAGGGTCACCCTTCCTGCAAAACTGAGAGACGATATAATAATTCTTTAATTAGTAACAATATCATATTTCATCTCTTGTTATGTAGTTTAGATTCCACTAATCATTCTAGCTAGTTTTTATTCTATTATTTTATTTATTTATTTAATTTAAGATATTAAAAAGTTTAATCCTTTCTTAGCTTGTTTTTCATGTATTTGTATTATTTATCATATATATAATAATAACTTTTTGATCGTTGTGTTAATGTAGAATTTCATTTTTTGCTCTATAATTGTGGTGTAGTAATCAAATTTGTGATGACAAATGATAGTTTGATCTATCGGTGTATTATGATTGATTTTCGTCAAATTTATTATGCAAAAACGATCTTAATTAATAGAGGGGCGCACATGAATATTAGACATTGTATAGGGGGGTTAAAGTTCAGCATTATCCTAATAGAAATAATCAAAGAATAAAAGGAAAATAATCATAATGTGAAAGAACTTGGGGGACAAGTTGACCTTAATGTGTACTTAAGTAGATGATTAAGCATTATAATATGAATTACTTAGGCCAATGTTCATGGATCAAATATCAAAAGGAGCTAATATGTTCTAAATGGTGAATGGAGAAAGTGGAGATCGAGGAGATACTTTGCTTCACTATCAAGTATCAACCTATGCATCCGATCTCTCCGAAAGATATTGATAAGATTCTTATTGACTTGACCAACATGGCCAGCAATAAAGCCAAATTTTTTTATAGATAATACACTGAGTCGATACATAAATGGTCACTAAAATTTGGGACAATTAGCAAATTGGCGAAGGAATTTCGATATTTAACAAGCTAGCCACTAAAGTTTATACTGGTCTGGTGGGATTAACCGCTTTAGGTCGAGTGAATTTAAAATGAGCCATCCGCGTCATTTATAATGGCATATTCATTAGTGACGCCACAATCCAATAACCATTTATAAATTCGACTATTATATTGGTAAAATGGAGTTAACCATTTAGTCTAAAGCAAGTAGATTTAAAATGGATCTCCGTGCCATCTATAGTGATCAAATCATTAGTAATCCCAAAATTCGATAACCAATTAACCATTTCTACTATTGATCAATCATATTATATGTTAATACAAAAAATTGAAGTTTCCTCAAGTCAAGTCAACTAGATAGAGTAGATATAGACAAAGTACCATTCCAATGGCTTCCATTTGCATGCATCCACCCTAACTTCAAGGCATGTGCCCATTAAAAGGGCTTCAAGCCTTTGAAAATCCCTGCCTTAAAAAACATCTCCCCCTTCAAAGGTCATCATAAACCCAATTCAAACTCAACCCAAAACCTCAAACTTACCCAATCTCTACCCATCATGAAGACCCTCATTCTCTTCTTCTCAATACTCACCCTCCAATTGCTCCGCGCCACGTCGGATAGGTGCCACCCGGACGACGAGAAGGGTCTCATGAGCTTCAAAGCTGGCATCACCCACGATCCGTCGGGCATGCTCTCCCTGTGGAAACCTGGCACCGACTGTTGCCAGTGGCGCACCACGACCTGCCTCGCCAGCGGTCGTGTCAACTCGATCTGGCTCACGGGAAGCCCTGACCAGCCCAACTCCTACTTAGCCGGTACAATCTCTCCATCCCTCGCGAAGCTTGAGTTCCTCAACGGACTCTACATGATGAACCTGAGAAACATCACGGGCGGGTTTCCCACCTGGTTGTACGGAATGCCCAACCTGATGTACTTATATTTACAAAATGTGCCCCTCTCGGGTCGGCTCCCCCAAGACATCGGCCGGTTCGGAAGCCGGCTGAACGCCCTCAACCTGGCCGGGAACCGGTTCACCGGAGCGATACCCAGTTCCATATCCAACCTAACCAGCCTGTCCGAGCTAAACCTCGCCGGCAACTTCCTCACCGGGAAATTCCCGCTCGGCATCCGCAACCTCACGAACTTGGAAACCTTGGATCTCCAGAACAACCAGCTCGCTCGATCCATCCCTGAGATCTTCTCTTCTCTCACCCGTCTCAGGTACCTCCGTCTCTCCGGCAACAATTTTACCGGGAAAATCCCAAACTCAATCTCATCCCTTTCCCCAAACTTAGAATACCTCGAGCTCGCCCGCAATTCCCTCACCGGCCAAATCCCTAGCTTCCTCGGAAGCTTCCACTCGCTCGACACCATGAATCTCGCCTGGAACAATCTCACCGGACCCGTACCGAAATCGTTCAAGAATCTCACCAAGATCTTCAATTTGGATCTCTCCCACAATTCCCTCGTCGATCCTTTCCCTGTTATGAACGTGATGGGGATCGAGACCCTAGATCTGTCGTACAACAAATTCCACCTGGGGAGAATCCCCGATTGGGCGACTTCTTCCCCGATTCTCTACTCCCTGAAGCTGGCTAAGTGCGGGATCAAGATGAATTTGACGAATTGGAGGCCACAGCAGACGTATTTCTACGATTACCTCGACTTATCGGAGAATGAGATCTGGGGGAGTCCGGTTTGGTTGCTGAACCAGACCGATTATTTGGTTGGGTTTTGGGCGTCGGGGAATAAGCTGAGCTTCGATTTGAGGCAGATGAGGATTGTGGGGACGATGAAGGATTTGGATCTGTCGAGGAATTCGATTTACGGCGGGGTGCCGAGTTCGGTTGCCGGATTGCGGAATTTGAATGTGAGCTGGAATCATTTGTGTGGAAGGTTGCCGCCGACGAAGTTCCCGGCGAGCTCGTTTGAAGGGAATAAGTGTCTTTGTGGCTCCCCTTTGCAGCCTTGTAAATAAACATAATTTAAAAAATGGAGATAAAATAAATGGGATATAGGGGATTCAACGATTGATGTTCATCTTTGCAAAATTTCTTCAAGAATAAAATTCGATCGATGTTGTTGTCATATTCGATTTGAATCGATTAACTTACTAAAATGTTCGTACCTGGATATCATCACTTCATCTGCTTGTAACTATGTATCGTATAAGGTCGATTAGATTGGTTAAATCACGTTGTAAGCAATAAATTGACCGTGAAATACCTGATTTCGTATTAAAAGATAAAAATGACGTTCTATTTATTCAATGGTGCAAAGGTTCTAATAACAAGCTCTTAGGATGCTTGAGTACATTGGTAATCCATCCATTTCAACCATAATGGTGATATAAAAATTTAAGATGCTTGATAAGTAAAGCATAGAATTATTTGATCAACTCAACTAAGTACACTATTTACAAGCAGGCAAAGGCGATCCACAGAGGCACTTATTCCCCACAAACGAGCTCGCCGGGAACTTGGTCGGCGGCAGCTTCCCACACAAACTGTTCCGGCTCAAATCCAACTTCTCCAGCCCGGAAACGGAACTGGGCACTCCCCCAAGAATCAAATTCCTCGACAGATCCAAATCCTTCATCGTCCCAGCAAATTTCAGCTTCCCCAGATCGAAGCTCAATCTGTTTCCGGCGGCCCGAAACCCCACCAGATATTCCGTCCGGTTCAGCAACGGAATCGGACTACCGGAGATCTGATTCTCCGACAAGTCGATGTAGTCGTAGAAATACGTCTCCTTCGGCTTCCAAGTAGTCAGATCGATCTTGATCCCGCACTTCGCCAGCTTCAGGGAGTAGATGATCGGAGACAGAGTGACCCAATTGGGGATTTTGCCCAGATGGAAATTGTTGTAAGATAGATCCAGCGATTCGATGCCTTTCACGTTCATCACGGGGAAGGGATCGACGAGGGAATTGTGGGAAAGGTCTAAATTGAAGATCTTTGTGAGGTTCGAGAAAGTTTTCGGGACTGTTCCGGTGAAATTGTTGTGGGAAAGATCCAGAGTATCGAGCGTCTGGAAATTGCCGAGGAAGCTGGGGATTTGGCCGGCGAGGGAATTGTGGCCGAGCTCGAGGTAAGCTAAGGTCGAGGAAAGGGACGAGATTGAACTGGGGATTTTCCCGGAAAATTTGTTGTGGGAAAGGTTGAGAAACCTGAGCTGATGGAAAGACGAGAAAATCTCAGGGATGGGCTGGGAGAGCCGGTTGTTATCAAGTTCTAACAGGGTCAAGTTTCTGAGGCTGCCAATGCCGACGGGGAGTTTCCCAGTGATCAAGTTCCCGGCGAGGTTCAACCGGGTCAGACCGGACAATTGGGATACGGATTCAGGTATCGACCCAGTGAACCGGTTCCCTTCCAGGCTCAACACGTCGAGTTGGGTCCCCAACTTGGCTATGTCAGCAGGCAGAGGGCCCGAGAGCCGGTTGTTCTCCAAGTAGACGAACAGGAGATTGGGCAGCCCGTACAACCAAACCGGAAACTTACCCGTGATGTTCCTCAGGTTCATCAGATAGAGCCCGTCGAGGTCCCTCAGCTTTGCGAGGGACGGCGAGATGGTACCCGACAGGAATCCATCCGGTTTATCGGGCTGACCACTCAGCCACAGGGAGGTGACCCGATCATTGGACAGGCAGGTCACGCCGAACCACGAGCAGCAATCGGTTCCATTCCACGAGTCGAGCATGCCCGACGGATCTTGCGTGATGCCGGATTTAAACGCCAGGAGCCCCGCCATGTCGTCCACGTGGCAAACACGCGATGTGGCTCTAATGCATTGCAAGGCCAGCAAGGAGAGGAAGATGATGAGGGACTTCATGAAGATTTGGGATAAGAGAATGGGAGAGAGGTTGATGATTTTTATGGGTTTAGGGTTGTGGAGAGTTTGGAGGGTTTTATAAGGCAGTTGGGTTGCTCTTTTGGTGGGTTTCTGAGTCAACACGGGAGCTTTGTTAAAGGTCTCTGTTTTTGCCTCTTTGGGGCACACATGAAAATCTGTGGTGGATGGCTTGACTGATGCAAATTGAAAAGGGGATGGCAGCCCATCAGAAGGGAATTTAATGGTGTTATCATTGCTGGCTTCTTCTGGTAGGGCATGTGGTCAAGTCAAGGTTGATGGCTAATTGGGATAAAGCCTTTAATGAAATAAAAATGAATATAGTGCCAATATCCTAAGGAGATAGAGATGGGATTTTGACCAAATTGAACGCTTGTGTTCACTACAATCAACCAAATGGATGATTTTGTAACCGTGGATATCCGTTCGAATTCGACCTAATCGGATGGGGTAAAACCCGAACTCGAAGGACTTTAGTGGGTATGGGTAAAAACCGAATCTGAATATTGCGGGTAATGGTTACGTGGACATGGTTTTCTCACTATGCAACCCGAACCGACCCGATTATACACATGCATGTGTATTTTGTCTAGAAATAATCATTATTTTTCTCTAATATATTTTATATTTAGCATATAAATACAAAATTTTCATGAAATTGTGTTGTTTTATTTAATTTTCTTTATTATAGTGTATTATTGTCGTACTTTCCTCTTGTGTAATGTGAGAGTACGCGTGAATGTTAACATACTGATTGGAGGGATATAGTGAAATGATTACCCATGGATAGCCGTGGATATACCTGAAACCCGAACGGGTATGGGCATGGTTTTGATTTTCTATCCATTTCTTATGTGGGTATGGATATGGGTAAAATCAGAACTACTTTGAATAGAGTAACGGATATGCACTATCCGCCCCCGACCCGACCATTTGCCATCCTAGCTGAGAGTTGATTTTTTTGGCGGGTAATGTTTATACTTTATAATTGTGGGGAGTTTGGGGGAGGTTTGAAAGGCAATGTATGTGGGTTCATGAGAGAATACAATGGAGGCGGCGGCCGGTTCGATATCTAACCTGAAGACGGGCTGGGCCTGGGATTACTAATTTAATTTTGGGCTTGTGTGCAATTAGTGCAAGAATCAGTCGGAGTTCGAAATTCCAATAGGAAAAGGTTTTATGGAAATTGTCATCTCCAAATAAACCACGTCTATATACTATACGAACTTTGCCCATACAAATCTCAGCAACTCAAAAGCCATGCATGACACGTTGTCACGTTCACCAGAACTCCATGTAATTAAATCATAATAATAAGAAGAAGAAGACGTCACTTTGAAGGAAGAACATGATGACGTGTGTAATCAATTTTATGAAGACGATGACGAGGCAAACGGTTGACTGTCGTGGAAACAGCTGAAGAGGCCACCGTGTCCTACAGCACACAACACTATGGATATACTAAATGTTTGATTTCCTTCAAATGTTTTCTCGAGTTAATTAAATGGTCTTTCCACTAGCACATTATATAACGGTTTGGTGATTTTATTTTTCTGATTACCTTCTGGAATTCCGACTCCAAAATGAGTGTTATCGTCATATAAATTAGACTTTCATCCAATGACTCGACGGTATGTCTTTTAATTTTTTGTTGAAATAACTACTTAGTTAGAACATATGATTAAGTTGTTAGTTATCTCTCATTTAAATTGGAACGTTACTACTCATCTCATAATGTAGTAGTTACTAGTTAAATTAAATGATGGCATGTACAATATGCATGATCAATATAGCTATGTATTATCTTTTAGAATACTTAAAAAATAATTCCTTGAATAATGACTTTGAATTTCAGTTATACCAATGGGGTGTCTTGTTTCAGAATACAAAGATTCTTTACACTCTTTCCCCAATTTGGCAACCATATTTTATCCAATTCCCAATGTTAGATCACTCAAAATCCAAGAACTAATATCTCTTCTTAAAATCGCATCTCTTTGATTAATTTCCGAACCTAATGTATAGGTAAAATGTTTCGTAGTGCAGTCAGATTTTGGTATTTCTTTTTTTTTTTTTTGTAAATTTTTTTCCAATTCCATCTATACCCAACTTTTTACTTAATGAAAAATTAAATTAAAAATTGGAGCAACACCAAATTTGGGTATAACCGCATCTATCACATTGCTAAGATCCAGAAAGATTTGTTTGGATCCACACAACAGAATCTTCTAAATTGGGAATATGTATAATTGGTTGTTTGCTAATGTACAAGTAATTGTTAATTAATTTCTCTCGACAATTACCTTAAAATTTCAGTCTCTTGTTACTTATCAACAAATATTACCATCACAAAAGAGTTAGTGATATTGATATTGGCCCGATGGATTATGAATGTCACATGTCTTAGAAAAATATTAGATGTTAGGACATTATAAATAGTGTTAAACATATCAATTGCGTAGCAGTAAATTACTGAAAGCTAAAATAATATGATTGTGTAGCGGTAAATTACAACAATCTGTACATTGTATATAGATATTATTTCACGCAATCGGAATAACTTCCTAGAGATAATTTTCGAACGATAGTCTTATTATATATATATGCACATTTTAAGAAGCATAGGAGCACTTAGAAGGAGTTAAATTCATTTAATTCTGTTAAAAAGGGAAAATTAACTCATTCTTAATCCCACCCTCAAACGGAAAAGAGGGGGAAAAGAATATTAAAGAAACTTTAACTACTCAACTAATACGCCGTCGTTCCGATTTCGCGCCCTATAAATAACAACAAAACCGCCCATTTCCTCATCAGTCACTTCCTTTCCAACCAATTTCCCCTTTTCCTTCTCCTCCTCCACTGCAGAATCTCACTTACTCAGAGCAAATTCCTCCCAAAAAACAGCAACAATGGCGCCGGTCAAGTTCCTCTGCAGCTACGGCGGCCGGATCCTCCCACCCCGTCACGGCGACACCAAGCTCCGATACGCCGGCGGGACGACCAGGGTCCTCGCCGTCAACGACCTCGATTCCGCCACCACCTCCTTCACCGACCTCATGTCCAAGCTCGCCGACCTCTGCGGCGAGGCCGCCGTCGAGCTCCGATGCCCGCTCCCGAGCGGCGATCTCGAGACGCTCGTTTCGATCAAGTCCGGCGAGGAGCTCGCCGCCGTCGTGGAAGAGTACGATCGGTCCTCCCCTGGCTCCAAGATTCGCGCGATTCTCTCCCCGCCAAAGAACTCCAAGAAGCAGGGCGCCGCCGTCTCCCCTCCGCTGTCTGTGATCAGCACCGACGATTTCTCTCCCGTCAAGAAATTCGATTCTTCTCCCGCCGCAGCGTACTTCCTCCCGCCTTCGTTCGCCGTCGGGCACCCGGTGGCCTATCCTCACAGCCGCGATTCGTGCGGATTTGGGTACCGGAATTACTACCCGAATTACGCGAATCCGAAGGTGGTTTCGTATGGGAATCCCGTCTGTGATTGCTTGAGCTGGCGCAATTGAGATGGAAAGGGATCGAATTTGGGGATTGGGAGAAAGATTTGTGGGAATTTTGAGGAACGAATTTTAGGGTTTTCTTGAATTCCTTTGTACATTTTGTATAGTGGTACTCCTACTAGTAAGATTGAAATAACAATTTTGTACTTTCGCTTTGTTGAACAAATTTTGTATATGATAATAAATAACAACTTCATATTAGCCTCGTTTTTATTTCACAATCATTTGTTTGAATAATTGATCATGACGCTTTATCTTCCTATAGAAATAACGTCTATTACGTGAATTTACGTTAGTATATCATTTGTCAAAATGAGAGACCAAGCATCTCATTTGATGACAGAGTATGAGAAAGAGTTCTATACAAGGCTCTCTCAAGAACAACCCTAATGAGAGCATCAAAAGCTCAACTCTAACAGGATCCTAGTGTGACTGCCAAATATGGAGGCAAAAAAGGATAATGTCTTCCATAGATGCTCTTATGCTGTGTTGTAGTCCATGGAATCAAAAGATTCATCTGTTGAACTTACTCAACCATATGAAATAGCGTAGAAACCCAACAGACCAAACTTTCCTAACCAAGTTCTGAAAACAGCACAGTGAACAGAACAAAGCCCTCTTTTTCTCCTTGAGCAATGCTGATTTCATAGTTCGCTCGGTCGATGTTTCGCCGATGCGAGCAACTTACTCATGAAGCAGCTTGACTCGGCCATCAAAGACATAGACAATGCAGCTAACTGCAGGACTCATAAGTGGTCTGCATCTTACCTCGGCCAACATGACTTGAGGCATAGATGCTGCAGCTGACCACTAGCAGCTCCATCGCTTAACAATGCACTTCACTTACAGCTCGAGCTCTGAACAAGATGCAGAACATTGAAAGCTTCTATCATGGTTAGTTTCCCGGATCCCCTTCCTAACCAGGGGAGACCAAGGTTTGATATAGTAGAATAAGAACTGCAATATGCAAATCAGATTTGATATAGTAGAATAAGAAAGAGTACATTACACTGTTTTCCAGCTGTCCAACATAAAAATAAGATTACAAAAGAAACCTGGAGGAACAAGAAATGTTTTTGCTGCTGCTTTTTTCAGACACTTTATACTTCTGGAATTCCCCCTTTCCCACCACAAACATTTCTGACCAAAGGGGGAATTAACTTATGATCTTGAAGAATACAGGAAACCAATCATCAAATGAACAAGAACCCTTATAATCATATGACAAAAGTGAAAAGACCCTCTTCCTAGACCTCACCAGCAATTAAATTAAAGAATTAATTCAAAAAAAGAGTAAAAAATAAAACTTCCCTCCCATGTAAAAACTAAACAGTAAGAGAAAAACAAAAGGGAAAATTAACCCAAATGTTCCTTCCCAACTTCCACAAGATATCTACACCTCCACAGACTAAAAAAAGACTCAAACTTTGTTCTTCTTCTCCCACCTTTCCTTCCTCAGCCAAAATTTTTGATTCACAACACTATGTAACACACCCCCTACCTTGCAGCTCAAGCCAAGTAGTTTTCACCCACTAAGCTCCTTCATCTGTATGGCACCAATTGTCTCTTCATTAGCTCTATCAGTTGCAGTTCAACCCACAAACCTCCAACACGGGTCCATCCCGGTTCACGAATGGGTTGACACGGACCCACAACAAGGTCAATATCGACGACAACAGAATCGACCACACCAGGATAATTGTCGGCATCTTGTTCTGCTTCCCCAAAAGACCCTTGAGGAAGGGGTAGAGATGTACAATCACCCATATGGCAAAGAACAGCCGACCGAAGAGAGGGCCCCATGAGTCATAACCGTTGTTGATTGCATCGGAGATCCCGACCACGACTCCTATCACGTTCATGATCAGGAGAGTTGTGGGCGGGACCAAGAGAGACGTCCACTTGAATATGTAGAGCTCAGAGAATTCTCCATCGTCGGCTGCCTTTGATGTGACGGTGAAGTTTGTGCTCACTCCGGCTAAGACCTTGAGGAGACCTTGGAAGAGAGCAAAGAGGTGAGAGGAGACTCCTCCGATCACCCAAAACTGCTCGTTCCTCCACAAGTCGTCAAGGCCTACTCCGCCCCATTGCATCTCGAGGATGCTCGTCACGGCGATGGATATGAAAAGGGCCATGAAGACGATACTGGCATAGTTGCTAATCTGTTAAGAAAAGCACAATTGACAATGTGTTTAGATGGCTCAAATTGTAGATAAGTGGAAGAGACGTAGAACACAGGAAGAACTATCTAAATAATCCCTAAGACTCAAACCTTCAAGGAAAATAGATAAATTCTAGAACACAGAGTTGGGGTTTTACCTCAGGCACAATGAACTTCCCAGTGAGAAGGCAGATGGCTGGCAAGGTACAGTAAACCAGCAGTGGAAGGGATGTCCAAGGATAGACAACCGAGTTTATGTACGAAAACCGCTCCAACCACTTCAGGCCGCCACCATATCCATACCAAATTGGACAATGTCTGCTGAAGAAAATCTCCACCGATCCAAGAGCCCACCGAAGAACTTGATGCAGACGATCTGACAGATTGATAGGAGCTGAACCTTTGAACGCAGGCCTTTTCGGGATGCAGTAGACCGATCTCCAACCGTGGCAATGCATCTTGAACCCAGTCAAGATATCTTCCGTAACTGAACCATAAATCCAGCCGACCTGGATCAACCAAAACAAAATGAAAAGTCAGATACTTTCGCCATGATGATAGTATGATGATTGAACTGTTTACTTCTCGATTTTCGTCTTACTTCTTTGCCCCAATCGCTTTTATCCTCGTACCCACAGCTGATGACTTGGATCGCCTCCCGGAGTAAGGAAGCTGGGCTTGCATTCCTAGGAACTCCACCATTTTCCAACAGTGTTGCGGCAATGAACACCGGAGACTGTCCGAACCTCTTCTCTAATTTGGTTTGAGATTGCACTGGCGACTTCACTGGCTTTGATTCTGAAACCAGTAAATCAAGTTAGGTTGCACAGGATTGATGATTCATCAGCACCAAGTAAAAAATTTCATCAGACCAAGCTTCACAAAAATGACATAGATCTCATACCAACTATTCCTTGTTCAATATTTTCAAGAGCATGGATCTGCTTTGATGTTTCCCTATTCTTTGATTTCTTGTTGTCCTTAGCCTTCAATGACTTCTTCTTTCTGGACCCGCAGAAAAGACAGCACCATTTTGGCCAGCAGTTGCAAGTTTTTCCAGGTGGCTTCTTTGTAACAGGTGCATCATATCCATATAGTGCGTGTCTCCGGAAAACACACCCAGTACCCACATAAATCGGTCCTTGTAAACCATCCAACCCTTTCATGTTGATCTGTTTTTACCATTAGCATGAATTAGCTTCCACCACTGAAGTCGAAATGTACCCAAAACTGAGAAGTGCATATAGAGATATTACTTACATCGAAGAAGACTACATTCCTATTGGAGTATCGATCGTGACGATCAATGCCATCAAATCTTTGTGGGAACTGTACATAGCAAACTTTCTTCCCCGACGTAGGGTCCATCATGAAGCACATTGCTTCTCTGAGTGCTTTGCTGTTGTTAATGTAGTGATCACAATCGACATTCAGAAGATAGGGAGCATTCGACAGAACTGCTGAAACTCGTACCTAGATCAAACAATCACAAAGCAACCAGCAAAAGCTCATCAAGTTCTTGATCATACTTACTTTTCACAACATGGACAAAGGACACCTGCTGGGATCATAGATACATGGCTTTGGATTCTTACCAGTGCATTCATTGCTCCAGCCTTTTTATGATGTTCAAACCCAGGTCTTTTCTCACGAGAGACGTAGACTAAACGGGGTAGCTCATTTCCTTCAACATCACGAACACCACTTTGGCCGAGGAATACCTGAAAATGAGAGAGATCTATATATAAGTAAACTGTATATCTGAATCCGTGGAGTAGATTCAGATGGTTAGTGACTTAAGGCTGGAAAGTAAAGTGTGATACAGAAAAGTGTTATCGGTATTTAAAGATGGGAATGGAACAAAACAATCATCTCACCTGAATCATGCCAGGATGGTCCCGCACACTGTTCCCGGGCCATGGAGTTCCATCTTGCATTGTCCAACCATCTTCTGGAACCTTCAGCGCTGTTGAAACCAACCCATTTATCCTAACCTTAAATTCTTCATAGTCTCTCTGCAAGTATCAACAAAAGGGAAACGGATAAACAAAAATATGGATTAGTTTAGATTTGCATGAACTGAAAGGCTTATATGTGGAACATAGGAATGAAAATTTTCTTCTAACCTTCATAGCACGCCTTTCCCTAACAAAAGACGGATGGACTTTGTTCTTCAAGTAATCCATCTTCTGACAAAAGTACCACTCGGGAGCTCGAGGCTCAATATTGAACTTCTTACAGAAAGGAACCCACTTCCTAGCAAATTCGGCCGTCTCCGAAAGCGCCTCAAATGTAAGCATAGCAGCCCCATCATCAGAAACATAGCATGCAACTTTTTCAACAGGGTAGTCAACCGCGAGAATGGAGAGAACAGTGTTTGCTGTGATGAGTGGAGGTTCTTTCAAGGGGTCCACTGTACTGACAAAGACATCGACACTGGCTAACTCCGACGGTTTGCCTTCTTTCTCGTACCTAAGTGAGAGTCGATCGAGATATGTCTCTCGTTCTATAGGGCACCATTTGGGGAACTGGTCGAGAATCCAAGATACAGCAAACCATATCTCACAAATAACTGATGTCAGCCATAAAGCATAGGCATCCTTGACCGGGTGGAGAATACGGTAGTGGAAGAACAAGCCTACAACAGCAAGTCGGACAATGATGACCAGACGGTACGGACTTATCTTGCTAGAAGGAATCGGTAGCTTCCTCGACAGCGGCTGCCTGCCCTCATCCATCCTGAGCAAAGTAACATCAAACAAATGAAGGAATCAGTCAGAATCTGCATGGTTAACTGACAAAGAAGACCTGAAGGAAAAGGTCACCATGGCAAACTCACATTGGCAAATCAGGATCGTCGAGTTCATTTCCATCAAAGCTTCCCCCGTCATTTGCTCCTTCATGCTTGACCACCTGAAGTTTGTCACTCTGCCTTCTCTTCCATTCCTCCATTCGGTCCTTCCATGCTACACTTCCATAGCCATAGACTGCTATATCCTTCTGAGGAACCATGGGTCTTGGTTGCACTTTAACAAAAGAAAACACAAAGTCAATAGTGAGTTACTAATACAGATCAAAAGAAACAGAAGCTGAGGGGAAGAAGGCTTACAAGGTATAGATGGATCGGAGTAAGGCACTGGATGGACTCGGTTGGCATGATGACCCATATGCGGTGGAACTATAAGAGCATGTCTATCCGAGGAAATATCAGCATCCTGGACACAAAGAAAACCCGAAATGGAGTAAGCCAGCTGCATTCAGACAATTAATGGGAGCTGAAATTCAATGGAACGAACTTACCTCCTCGCCATAGGTCAAGAGAGGAACTTTAGCACCAGGGGGTGAAGAATCCAGATCCGTAGAAATGCCATTTCCATAAAGATGTGATCCACGGCCAGTGTTGAGACGTGCAGCAAGCATTAACTCTGCGACTTGTTCAGGACTCAACCCTTCGAAATCAAACTCGTGTTCCAAATCATCAATGTCGTCTTCTTCCTCATCCCCTTCCACCCTGGGACTACCTGCAAGAGACACAGCCACCATATATAAATACAAACAAAACTCAAATCATCTCAGGGAGAAAAACTAAAATGGTAACCACCAGCAAAATATCAAACCCTTAAGCCGTTTGTATCTCGTTCTGCATTGAGGGCAAGCCTGAGTCCCCTCTCTTCTCTCGTATTCGTAGCAAGGCCTGCAGACAGGGAAAGCACATTCATTGCAAGCAACAAATAGCTCCCCATCCACAGTGATCTCGATCTCATCACCGCATATCTGGCAAACCTGCCCGCTCAATTCTTGCACGGACCGAATCTGTTCATGAGAGCAAAATTATCACACAAGTGTGAACTAATTAGCATCAATGCATCATATTTGGGGAACACATAAAAGCTACAAAGGAATGGAACTGTAACACTTTGACTAAGGCTCCATCTTCTATAGACAAAAACCTGAAAGAATTCTGCAATTCAACTTGCTATATATCGACTAAATTTGTTCCTCTCCAAGAAGAAATTTGACCCCCTCTCTCACTCTCTAAGACATCAACTAGAGATCTCATTGTTCTTGCCGACAAGTTTTGGCATAGTACACAATAATGGCTGACCTAAGACTAAGAGAATGGATGACTGGGAGACCCTTGATGTAGTGATTTAACCAAAACTCCAACCAATAACCTTCCAAATTACATGGCGGGGAATCTGAGAGCATCTCCAATTTGGTACTAAGTAAGACCTTAACATCTGGCAAACTAATTCCAAACATTCTGGAGAGTGAATCAAGTCCAGTTCACCACAATTGTCAATTTCACTCATTTTCACCACTCACATTCACCCCAACGAATTACAATGAGTAATAATCTGTCTCAATCTACTTTTCTTTTTCCATAGAAGCAGACAATTCACTGAAAAGACGGATTTTTTTCCAGACAAGCACAAAAACCACAAATCTGAAAGTGGTGAAAGATTCCCATTCAGTTACAGAGAAGAAAGCAACACAGAACAGATCAGAAATCAGTAATAAAAATGAGCAATTCACAGAACCCAATTAAACCCAGAACTCAGATTTCCCGAAAGGATTCTAAGATGGAGAAAGGGAAATAGGAAAAGAAAAAGCTCTTACTCTGGCATTCTCATCTGCATTAATGAGCACGAACTCATTCCTGTTGTGAGAACCAGCAATCAGCCGCCCTCCAGTGTTCATTTGGTTTAGCTTCAACAACTCCTTTACAAAAAAAAAAAAACCCCCCGATGAATCCCACGCGGGGAAAGGAAACGAATTCCGCCGCTTAGAACAGATTAGTCAACGTGCTCAGGGAGAAAAGCTTCGAGCTTTGCATCTCAAACTCCAAAACCCGCATTAGCTAGACAGAGTATTCCCGCTAATTGAATCAATAATCGCCCCGAGTGCACAGAGAGACAGACAGTAAGGGCGAAACCCCAAAGTCGCTCTCTTTCTCCCCAGCAGCTGAGAGATTGAAGATGGGAGATTGAGAGAGAATGTGCGTGGGGGTTTATGAGAGAGAGAGAGAGAGAGAGAGAGAGAGAGGGATGAAGGGAAGAAGAAGGAAGGAGGAGAGGAGAGGCAGAGAAGGGAGACAGGTAGATCCAGATAGGTACTAGCAGTGTATACAAGTAATGAGAGCTAGCGAACGCCAAAAAAAAAAACAAATTAAGAGGAAAAAAAGGAAACAATTTAGAATTTCCCACAAATTCTTAATATTCAATTTGCAAAATTAAAGACCAATTTGCAAAATTATATTAATTATAATAGTTCGACAAAGAGAATTGATAAATTGTGTGTAATATGCTTATGCTTCCCAACGACTCAAAATGTGACTTATAACGAATTATACATTTTGATAGTATAATCTCATTAGTGAAGTAATTGAAGCTAGTTAAATCTTGTCTGTCTATGTTCTTATAACCTAATTAATCTATCCTCAGTAGGTTTCATGAATCATTCCTGGATTAATCAACAAGGATTATGCTTAATTTAATTCATTAGAGAGTGAGGGAAAAAAATGGAAAGAAAAGAAGAACAGAACAGAAATAAGAAGTGGGTCCCAGAATGTGACGGTGGCCCTGTCTCTCTCTCTCATCTCAGTGTCTGCCGCGCAACAGCTGTTGGGCTGTGTCCTGTCTCCAACTCTCTCTCTCTCTCTCTCTGTGTTCTATCTCTCTCTCTCTCCAAATTTCTATTTTTTTTTATTTGTGTGGTAGTTAAATATTTATGTTATTAAATATTTTTTTTTTGTTGAATGTTATTAAATTCAATATTATGTCTGGGGCTTTCTCCTTTGAATCCGTGGTATATGAATTATGAAAGTGTCGGTGCCCCTGCTGTTTATGTAAATAGTGGTGGCACCAAGAACCAAAATGCCAATTATTGATCCCCACTTTGAAATAAGAAAACAAGAACAAGACCTCAAAAAGGGATCTTGGTTGTTGCCATTGTTCATTCATTCATGCTTAAGGTTATGGAATATAGATACAATAAATCAATAGAAGAAACAATAATTATTGTATTGCTCCACAACGAGCACGTTTAATTTTGGAGTTCTTACAACAATTCTATTTTTTTACTTCAAAACACCCTTTATCAATTAAAATTGATTTCTTATTTATAAATTAGGTTTAATTCACCTGCATAGCCATAACTTTCACGATTTTGACAAATATAGCCACTTTTTGAAAAACACACAGATATAGCCAATTCCGTCCAATTCTTTGACGGATCACTTAACTCGCTGACTGGACTAACGGCAGCGGCTGATGTGGCGTGTTTTAATTTGCGTCCTTGCCACGTGGAAAACATTCATATTACTATTAATTAATAAATAAAGAAATTTAAAAAAAAAAGTAAAAAGGGAGAGAAAAATCAATCACTTTCCTCGCAAAACCCTTCCCTCTTCCTGGTTTTCTTTCTCGTTTCTTCCTCTCCGCCGTCATCATCAGCAAACTCGAAGGAAGAGGAGGAGCTGCGACATGGAACTGGTTCTCTAATCCTTTCAACGGCCATTGAAAATCCCAAAATATCAAATCACATCCTTTCACAACTTATTTACCCTATTCTGTCGAGCTTCCCCTGAATCGCACTAACGAGAAACAAGCCCAGAGCAGAGTAAATCAGAGCCATCAGAGGAATATTCAGAGAATTGGGGGAGATGGGGTTTCGAGAGATCGACTAAAGATAGAGTGAGAGCCAACCCTCCCAACAATCCCTCATCCACCTGATTTACTTGTCTCCCTCTCTAATGACTATGCTCCTCTCCCTCTCCTCCGATTTGTCTATCCCTCTCCCCAATTTCGAGATGTTGGGTACCAATCTAGGTGGTCGGATCCTGAGATTAGGGTATGGGAAGGAAGAAAAGGAGGAAAATACAGATGCTGACGGCGGTGTTGGTGGTGGCCACAACCGTATCAGTGGTGGGGATGAGGAGTTGGAGAGCGAGGAGAGGAGGGAGAGACGGGAGAGAATGAGGTTGGGGAGAACAACGACATCAACAATAGAAAAGGACAGATCGGGGATTTAGGGAAGATGTGAATGCATTGGAGAGGGCGGAGATTTATTCGATTTGGTGGTCGAAGTTCTAATTGGGGCGAGGTCATCGAGCTACATCTTAGACCTTCCACGGGCGGCTCATCTTCATCGAGCTTCGTCTACAGGAAGAAAAGGGGGAAAGATGAACAAAGTCGGAGACGAACCCAGTTTCAAACTTGTCAATATCAAAAATGGGATGGAGATTTGGAGATCAATTAAGATTTATTGAGGTTATCAAGAGATCACCTTAGCGAAACTTCGGATTTGATTTGAGTGCAGTGGAGAAGCTTTGGTGGCGCCGACGGGGGACGATGAGGCCGCCGATGGGGAAGGGAAAAGATGGAAGAAGGAGAGCTCGAGGAGGAAAGTGAAAAAAGAAAGATAAAATTGTAATTTATTTAATTTAAATATGATGTGGCAGTTAGGTGGCATGATTTGGTGTGTTGGAGCTGATGTGGAAGCTCAGGTGCCATCCGCGTCAGTGTCATGTTAACGGTGTTAAAACTTTTAACGAAAATAGTTAATTATGTCAAACGAGTTTTCATAATGTGGCTATATCAGTGTATTTTTCAAAAAGTGGCTATATTTGTCAAATTGTGAAAGTTATTGCTACGCAGGTGAATTAAACCTATAAATTATATTATATATATTTTCATACTTTCTACTTTGTCCATATGAAATCTGTCTAAAATATTATGTTTCATTATTTGAGCAAGGAAAGAACTAATTCCCCCACTATACCCACCAGGCCACAATCCCCCCCAACCCATGTGGGAGAATAAAATATAGATAAAATATTTGTCTATTTTACTCTTTAGCATTATCTCACCCAATTAATCTACTAATTAACCCAAAAGAGCTCCATAAATGATTGCAAAGGTCCATGTGGGTTCGACACATTGGGTCTCCAATTAACCTTTTGGTAGGAATCTTCTTAATTGGTATCACTTTTATTTTCACATTTTTGCATTTTTTTTATTCCACAACGTAGGATTGAAGGGAAAATGATAATAAATTAAAAGTAATAATTCTTTTTTTTACAAACATTATTATTCGGTCCATTCTCCTCCACTCAAATTGGTGGTAAAAACCCACCCTTTCCATTAGTTAAACTTAATAAATTAATTCCCTAAAAACTTTATTAATTAATTTAGTTAATCAAGATTTGGGTTGAGTGAGCTAATGATTTTACTATGATTATGATCATCATAATCAATTGATAATTTCCATGGAGGCATGCCATGTGTATAGAAGACTTTAATTACTCTAATCAACTCTCCTATATTGTATTAACTTTAATTGTACACGATCTAGTAACTAGTATCATGGTAAGAACTTAGAAAAAATAGTTTAGGTGAGATGAAATCAAATCAGATATATAGGGGAGTATCATAGCAAAAGTATTAGGAAATGAAAAGTGGAGTAAAAAATAGTGATTGTTTGTAACTTGTGATGAAAGAGTTTCATTCTCAACCAACAATTTTGTCACCACTTACACACTTTTCTATTCTTATATGGTATATTTCACTACTTCTTTTCGTAGTTGTAAAATCTTACAGTAATATATATATGGTTGTGCTGGATCAACAAAGCATATTAAACATGTAGCACACGCAATTATTAAACTGGCGATTCATCACAATCCATCATAGTTTTTACATGATTGTACATTCAAACATCTAAGTATTTACCTCCATCACAATCATTTTCGATACAATTGCACAAAAGACTAACTACTTCCTTCATTATTTCACTAATAAATTCTCGCGTTGTCAGTAAACATACAATTCTCAAAGTTACTGCACTTAAATCACCAAATACCCAGTGATCTAACATTACTACTCGAATCCATCGGATCCTCATAATAAACCCTTACACATTTTCCACTCCTTCATATTCCTTCATCTATTACTCCATATCCTTTTTGATGTGGGCTATGCCTTAAGTTTGTGGGGGTAGGTGGATTTGATTAGTAGGATTTTTGTAAATTCATGGTTTCATTTTGTGGTTATGTGAGGGTGTGGGACAAAGAGGGCTAGTAGTACCATTACAATTTACAAGAGGAAAGAGGGGAGAAGACTTTGCCTTTTCTTTTGATGATGGAGAGAGAGAGATTGACAGCTGTTGCTTTGAATTGTAAATGGAAAGGCAACATAACAAACTAGATGGAGCGAGAAAGTGTCGGTAGAGACTTGTTGTCAAGGCTTTTAGAAAGAGAGACTGGGATCTTGAGATTATGCCTTCTTCTGTAGCCAAGCTAATACCATTTGATCATATCTCATATGGTATAAATAGCTTGTTAACCTTTAAACGACGGATACAGAACGTAAGTGTAAGGATTACGAATGTTGTGTATTTGGGGTCGTGGATATTCAAACACACGACCATTTGGCCAACTGGTTCATGACATGGTATCAGAGTTGGTTTGTACTTGAGCTCACGTGTTCAAGTCCTCACGATCCCCAATATAAACCGTTGTCTTTCAAGCACTTGATATGGCGGGCTTAGTGCAAACTTCAAGCCCATTAGATCCAATATAACCTTCTCTCAACAATTCAAATTATTGACACCAACTAGTTTATGACTCTAAGAACCAAATAGAGCATGAACACAATACGAATTTTCAGTGTGGGTAAAAACAAACTCCTCATTAGTTGGTCATATTAATTATGGATCAACCCATCACGTACGTCAAAGTTGGCCACCTTCGATTGGCCTTTTCTCTTTGATTTATTGATTTTGGTTGTGTGCTAAATCGGTCCCTCATTGCACCTTTTCTTGCCGTTTCAATCCTTTCAAATCAGTGTGTTTTTTCTACACAATAGAATCGTCTGCTTAGTTGATAGTGTCGGTTAGGATTGCTTTGTGATTAGCGATTACTTTGTTCTCCCAACCACCTCGATTCTTATGCAAAACAGCTAGTGTTTTTTCTACAAAATATTCGTCAAGGTTCCAGTACTTTGGAGAAAAAAATGTTGATTAAGTTAAATAAATACATGAACAATGCTTTGGAAGTTAGTCAAATGGACTAGCGGTAACAGTAATATCAATATTTACAGTATAGTGAACTAACTATCAGACGGTAATGTTCGAATCTTTATAATATCTTTCAAAAGTCAAGTTTTATTCTTCTCATTGTTGTCAGTTCAATGTTTTCTATCTATTTGTTGCAATCAAGATCGAAACTCATGATTTTTAGGTTGTTGTTTGAAGAATCCATGACAATGCTCGTTGTTATTTCACTATGACGTACAACTCAGTTTGAATTACTGAAAAATAAAGTGAGCCAATCATAGTTTAATTATGTTAGTTTTGATTAGTGTTGTTCACAATATAACATCTTATGCTCTATACTCCCTACCGGTCGTGTGCCTCCACAGTGAAGTACTATTGTTGACTAAAGCGTGCACATAATGTGTCGACTTTCTATTGACGCTTCTGTTGTGTCATGTCCTCCGATTAATTATTAGTGATCCGCGCTCTAACACTGGTAGGCAGGTGTGCGGTCTTTTTCTTGTGTTCAAGACACGTGATGAGTTCAGTCACCCTATAATGAGTCCAAAAGCTGGGGTTTTACAACTAATCAATCTCATATCGTTTTTACGTTTCACTCAAATACAATGATTTAAAACGAATATCACATCGAATTATCCAAATAACTACTAGATTTTTCCATGTGCGATTCACTTTAACCATACAAAACGCATATTCCCATTTGACTTGCTTCCTTTGTATATGGTTAGTTGCCAATACCTTTCACTGTAGCTAGAAATACACAACCACACCATGTGTCAGTGACTACTAAGTACTAACCATTGAGCTAATAAGACAGTAATCTGTGACCCAACGTTTGTTTGTTTGTTTGTTTGTAAGACGAATAAGGAATGTAGATGGAGAGGGTAACTCTCCATGAATGATACGTAACCTTCAATAGATACAAAGTTGCTTTGCCCATTTTTGGGTCTAATAGTCCAAATTTCCATAGCCCACCGGTGGAAGCACTTGACTTCCAAGGATTGTGACCACTCCATAGGTAATCATGACTCATCGATGATGCATGTGGTTGAGCGTGGTTAGGGAAAAAAACCCAACTTTTTCTCGGTTATTGGTTCGATGTTTTATGTGGTGGATCAAACAAACCGCTTAATTTTTTGCCTCAACGTGGTCTCTTTGGTATGGATCGTACTAAATCTGACCACATAAACATGGTTGGTATGAATTCTATAGTCTCTGATTTGTACTCTAACCTCTTAGTCCGGATCGTAGATCGTATACACAAGTCCGATATGCACTGACAACACCATTTCCAGCCCTATTTGTTACCAAACCAAGGTGGCCCATTAAGAGCTTAGGCCTATTATGATTTATAGACTCATTTGGAAGTAAGCCTTTAAAAATATGGGCTTAGAGGTGGGTCTTAGTGAAAGCCTCTAAAGCCCAACCCAACAATTGTGCAGGCCCGTTATATTCGGTTCGTTCTTCTGGCTGGAATCTAATCATCGGCGCCATTCGTCAATATATAGGCCACGTGGACAAATTCCATGCCACAGAGAAGAGAAACCACCAGAGAGATTATTTCTTTCTTCACTTCCCTTTCATTTCCCCAAACAAAACGGAAGAAAAAGAAAAAGGATCATCTACCCGCTGAAAATCCAGTCTTTCTTCCTCCTCCTTCCCTTCAACCGTTTTCTCCTTTGGGTTCCCTCCACCACGCCATGCGAACCCTCGTAATCAACTTGCGCCACCTCCCATCTCCGCCCTGCGTCGCCGCCTCCAATCTCCACCACCACTTCTCTACTTCTTCTTCACCGTCCACCTCTTCTTCCACTACCTTCCTCTGCCGCACTAAGCGCTTCCACTTCTTATCCCCTTGCTCGTCCCTGAAGCAGACGCGCAAGAAGCAGCAGCAGAAGAATGGAGCTCCTCCTCAGAGCTTGCGGTGGTTCTTGAACTCGAAGGGCGACGATGACGACGAGGGAGGAGGTGGGAAGAAGGTTGTTAAGGGCGACGGCGGGGACGGAGGAGGTGGGTTGGAAGGGGATACGGCGATGAAAGGGACGATTCTTGCTGGGGTTTTGCTTGTGGGTGTCGTTGGTGGGTTCGGGACTGTTGGGTATGTTTACAGGGATCAAATCAATGCGTTCTTGAATCAGTTCTCTGGGTTTATTGAAGGTAAGAATCTTTTTGGTTCCCCCCATTTTCGATTTCAATTGATTGAGCTTCGAGTTGCTCTGTGATTGGGGGAATTTTTGCGTGATGGGATGAATTGGTAGCGGAATGCAATCGTCTCACTGTGGTAATTTTCTTGAATTGGGGAGTTCTTGGGAATTCTTGAACTATTGGGTTGGGAATGCTTGAGAACTTTGTTACCAATCGATCTACATTGTGTTGATTGAGCTTCTCGTTCTCAGCTCCCGCATTTAGCTAGTGAAAATGGATGGCGGCTGCAGTTCCCTTTCAGTTTAGTTAGTTTTGTTTGAGAATTCGAGCATTCATTGGCAAGAAAGTAGAAATTGGATTGAGAACTTCAAGGATGGAAACTTACAGTAAGAAATGCCTCATGAGAATGGTTGGTCCTATCTTGATGAAGTTTGTTGGACTGGTTTTCAGTGTAAATGATCTTCCCATCTACAGTCTCTGTCTGATTCCCTTCCATTCTATTGATCTTTTGGTTCCGCTTTTCCTTGCTCTATTCAGTTTGATGGTTTGCTAACTTGTGTGGCTTGGGAAGATGATCAGTAATACTTCACCGGTCGTCATTAAAAAATGCCTTCTGTATTAAGCGACTTGCTTTTCTTCTGAACAGGTTATGGACCAGCTGGATATGCTTTGTTTGTGGCAGTATATGCAGGATTGGAGGTATGTGCTCATTCTCTTATAGTCTTATTTAGGCCTTAATCAATTCAGTTTCACGCATCTTGTGAGATCTATGAGAAGTTCTTCGTGGTCTCCATACTAGTAGCTACTGATAGATAGATGCATGATACATGTGATGATTTTGACACTAAATTTAGCATATTGCTATAATCCCATATAGACGTTTAGTGAAGTTCTGCATACTGTCATACTGTGACAGGCAGACAGCAAGTTCATATGGTTGATGTGTGCCCCAAGTTATTATTTCCTGTAACTGATTTGAGATTGTGGTGCTAGATTCTTGCAATTCCGGCAATCCCATTGACGATGTCGGCTGGTCTTCTTTTCGGATCTCTTATTGGCACCATCATAGTCTCAATAAGTGGAACAGTAAGTTGGTTTATTATGTCTGTCTCTGAAGTTCTGTCGCCATGTCTATAGACTTTCGCACTCCCTTACAGTCGTTTGCATCCATTTCAGGTTGCAGCAAGCATTGCTTTTCTAATTGCTAGGTATTTTGCCCGTGAGAGAATCCTAAAACTTGTTGAAGGAAATAAGAAGTTTCTTGCAATCGACAAGGCAATTGGCGAAAATGGCTTCAGAGTTGTCACGCTTCTTCGATTGAGCCCTTTGCTCCCGTTCTCCCTTGGAAATTACTTGTATGGATTGACATCAGTCAAGTTTGTGCCGTATGTTATGGGGAGGTATGCTGTTCTGTCACTCAATTCTTGTTCTTATGAGAGCTATACCATCTAGAAGGAGGAACTGAAACTCTTATGACTTTGGGACTTTGATGAATCTTTTAACTTGTGTGGTTTTTTCATAACTAATTTCGTTTCGAAATTGAATGCAGCTGGCTTGGGATGCTTCCAGGCACATGGGCTTACGTGAGCGCTGGTGCATTTGGTCGCGCTATAATTGTGAGTTTGCTATTTCCTTTCTAACTTCGTCGTCCAAAGAGATATGGCAGCTTACTAGTGGTAATCATTAGACTAGGTGTGAAGGCTTTTGTTTAACATGTGAGTTGCTCAATATGGCAGAACTTTTACCTCTCAAGTCAAAAACTTTCTCTTCTTCATCTTAAGCTGTTAAGAAGACATGTGGATTTGTGTCAATATGGCAGAATCACCAAAATGCTTGTCCAGAAAGTGTCATTCTCTATCTGTTATTCTGCTGGTTTCCTGTAACACGGGTTCCTTTTGCCTGTTTTCAGCAAGAAGAAACTGAGATTGGGTTGACTGGAGGAGGAAATTACGGTCAGCTATTGACACTTGGGCTGGGATTGCTTGCAACAGCATTGGCTGCAGCTTATGTAACACGGCTCGCCAAGGTGACTAAGCGTCTAAGCCCCCCTCAGTGCCTAATCTGAATTCTGAAACGCTTGTGGCTTTCTATTATCCAGCGAATAATATTTCAATCGTTCTTGTGTTTGATGCAGGATGCTGTCAAAGATATTGACGACTGAGATTTCAGTGTTAAGAGTTGCTGCAGAAGATACCGAGCAAGGAGGATGAACGAAACTAGACAGTTAAAGATATTGACGACTGAGATTTCAGTGTTAAGAGTTGCTGCAGAAAGTAGATGGGAAGTTGTGAATCACTACTGATACCTTCCCTGAATTCATGTAAAGATCTCAATTGTATAATTTTGGTTCCTTATGGCTTCAATGGAACTGTGGAAGGAGTAGTTAAACGAACGGCCAAGTTGTATAGATGAGAGTTCACATTTGGTTCCTAATCCCATAACCTTTTTTGCTGCTACCACTTCCCTCTATTGTTCCCTTTCCTTATTCTTTGCCTTGAGAGATACTTGCTGCCTAAGATAAGTTTTCAGGAAGAGATCGAATTCAATCCAAACCAATTTCTGACTTCCAAGGCCATCAATTGCAAGTTGACAATTGCAATATGTGTCATTTCCAATGATCCAAACTCAGAATGGAGCCAAACAGTCTGACCCTCTAAAGTCAATTTTTTTTTCTTCTGAAATGGTGACTTACTCATGGTGTTCCCCAAAGGGCAGTCTATTAAACTTTTGAACTACCCTACAATGACATATTATGGTACATTGCATGTGCTATCTGCACCTTGATTTCACAAAAGAACTGATATATACTATAGGTAGGTAGTATAATATAAAGATTGGATTTTTGCTGGATTGAGTGCAAGAATGGCTTTGGGGTGAACTTTTGACTTGCAATAAATAAGCAAACCCCAAATGGGGTTCTCACATCTCAAGGAAATTCCTCTCTTACATTCCCAACAACATGTTCTCATAGTAAAGAGCAAAAGACCACATATGCCATTTTGTTGCTGAATCACCTATTTTGGGAAAGGACAAGTGTCCCTCTTGTCACCCTACCTGCCCCTATATGCCTATAATAAATATATGACCCTTATGATATATGCCATTTTTCTATCCCTAGCACCCAAAAGTCTGTATTGGGATACTCAATTATCATATGCTAGTCTATTGATATTGGATTCCCTAGCTAATAATATTTCTGCTCTGATGAATCCAATGTCACATCTATCTTTCTCAATCATTCCGATCACTAGTATGTACTGATTCATCGTCTACGATTAGAAATTGTCGTGATAGAAATTTTTTGTATTGAGATTATGAAATACTACTATTTAATATATTGACTTAACTAAAGTTTGTGAAAGTTTCAAATTCATAAGCTGAATTAGTCGGGATTATTGAGATGAACGGATAGATTCACGACATGTATAATATAAAAATTTGCGGTCGAGAAATCTCATATTCGAGTACTTATATTGTTATTTAACTTATTAATCTAAACACACCATCAAACTAATTTGTGAAAGTTTCAAATTTATCCACAGATTTTGTTTTAATTGAGATCAACTGAAAATCACCTAAGATTCCAAGGGATCTCTGTTCCAATAGCTCATAAATCTCTTGAAGACCCTTCTAGTAGTACCACCACCAACTCATAAATGGTTTGGTCACCGATTTGATTTTCCTAACGGTCCTATTACTACTTTTGGCTTTGGAGGCCTCACATGGGAAAGCAATGCTCTCAGCATCTGCCACGATGTCTATACACATGCAAGCCATCTCTGTTGTTTTCATCTCTGCAGCCAATTCCTTAAGGGCACCTGTCCTTCAAAATTATGGGCACATATCTACTGCTCGAGTGCTATATATTCCCAAACTCATCGACTCAAAGGACAACCAACCCAGCACAATATCAAAGATCGAAACCATACAGATTCAGGATAACAACACACAAGTCCCTTACTGGCAAGATATACATCAATTCAACTATGCCTTTCTCCAAGGAAAACTGGTCTCCTCAGGATGCCATGAAAGCTTACTTGCATGCCCTTCAGCTGGTAATTAGAGAAATCATGGGATACCCTCTAAACTTGTACTACTTGTGCTCTTTTCTTCATTATGGTAGTTTCCTTCATTTGGTATAATTCTGGATTGTTGTGCAAGCAATGTATTCTAATCATGACTCTAAATCGATTGATCTTTTGAGCAGAGGAAGCAATGTGCTTCATCAATCATAGAACCCAAATCAATGGAGCTAGTGGCAGCATTGGCAGCAGGCAAGAGATCAAAGCTAATGGTGGAGATCACTTCCTCACCAAATGTCATCACCCCACTGACAATGGCACTTGCTGTTGCAGCAAAGCAAACAGGAGGGAAAGTAGTTCTCTGCAGTACTACTCTCAACAACATTCCTTCCTCCTCCTCCTCATCATCATCATCAACTCATGAAAGTCAGATCAAGTCCCAGTTGGAGTCAATGGAGCTTGGAGATGTAGTAGTGGAGCATGTTTCTAGTAGTGATGGTGGCTTGGGTCTCAAGAAATACAAAAGGGTTGATTTTGCTGTGGTGGATGGGGATGTAGAGCATCATGTGGAGCTCTTGGGGTTGCTTGATGTGAACCCAATTGGGTCAATGATTGTGGGCCATAACTTGGATAGGAAGAAAGGGAGGGGTGGTTACAAAGGTGGGTGTTCTTCTTTTGGGGAGGCTTTGGGGAGGAACAAAGAAGGTTGTTATTTTGTGAGCTTGCCAATTGGGGATGGTGGGATGGAGATGGCAAGACTTGGTGGTGGTGGGTGTTGTGGTAATGTGCCTGTTGGGATTGGGAGGAAGTACAAGAGGTTCCATGTCACATTTGAGGAGTGAGAGTGACTCTTGGGTGATTTTAGGTGTGTAGGTCCGTCTCACGCGAGTAACTTTGTAACTTGACGAATGGTATAATATAGGTAAATGTTGTGTATGTATATATGGTGTTTCTTTTCGAGCATGAAAAAGAGGTGCAATAATGAGTTACAAGAGCGAGCTTGTGCAGATTTGGCCTTTGAAAAAATTAGAAATGTTGATGTAAGAGATCAATCAATCATGTTTTAGAAGACTCTTATGAGGCTTGAGCTATACCTAGAATCAAAATCTTAAGTGAAGGGTTCAAGTTTATACAATTTGAGATTTCAAGGATTAAAATACCAATGGTTATTGATGGGTAATATCTTCTCTAAAATTATATAATGAGTGTGACTCTACCATATCATCCTAAATTCATATTCTGATATTCCAATTTTAAATCTTAACAACGTTTTGGCCAAATAGGGTTTTGGGATTCAACTTACCCTCTCCCCTTCTTCTCATTGATATATATATATATATAGTCTGATACAACTGAGACAGCCAGCTGTGCTGGTAAAGTGAAGCAGTGAAAACCAAAGGAAAAACAGAGAAGACAATAAACAGTGAAAACGGTCGCTTTAGACCGTTGCAAATGAAGCTCTCCCATTGATTGATGACTCTCCAACCTCCATTCGACATGTGGCTCCGGGACTCTTCATGTGTTGCTGAACGACGACGTCTCGGTACGAAGCAGGTTTGTGAGAAGAAGAAAAATCTGTAGTTTCTTCTTGTCCTGCTGTTACCCCCCCCCCCCCCCCCCCCCCCCCCCCCCCCCACAAGCTGGAGGACACAGGTTAAGTACTCCGAGCTTGGAGAGAAGACCATTGAACAAGGCAGGAGACAGAGCTTTAGTAAACAGGTCGGCGAGCTGATGGTCAGTAGATACATGAAAGAGTTTGATGATTCCACGAAGCAGCTTTTCTCGAACCAAGTGACAATCAAGCTCAATGTGCTTGGTCCTTTCGTGGAATGAAGGATTTTCAGCAATGTAAATTGCCGATTGACTGTCACAGTAGAGATTGGCTGGATGAGGATGAGGAACTTGGAAGTCCTTGAGGAAATACAAGAGCCACTGAACCTCACAAGTAGCATAGGCCAGAGCTCTATACTCTGCTTCACATGATGATCGAGAAACAGTTGTCTGTTTCTTCGATTTCCAGGAAACCAGGGAACCACCAAGGAAAACACAATAACCAGTAATGGAGCGTCTAGTGTCTGGACAGGCGCCCCAATCAGAATCACTAAAAGCTTTGATTGTGAGAGGAGAAGTGGCAGGGAAGAACAAACCAAAACCTGGATTCTTCTTGACATAGCGAAGGATTCTGTGAACTGCTTTCTGATGAAGAAAAGATGGGGCACTCATGAATTGGCTGACCTGCTGGGTTGCAAAGCTTATGTCTGGACGAGTGGTGGTTAGGTAGATGAGTTTCCCAACCAAGCTTCTGTAAGTTGTGGCATCAACCTTGGCACTGCCATCATCAACACTTAAGTGAACCTTATAATCCATGGGGGTTGTGACTGGTTTAGCTCCCAAATGTCCTGCTGCAGTGAGTAACTCCAAAGCATACTTCCTCTGGGAGAGGTGGATACCTTTAGGGCTTCTGGCCACTTCAAGGCCAAGGAAGAACTTAAGATCACCAAGATCCTTTATACTGAACTGCTGGTGAAGGTGAGACTTGATCCTTGTGATTTCAGCCATGTCATTCCCCCCCCCCCCCACAATCAGATCATCAACATAAACCAAGATAGCAGTGTATGAACTAGCAGTGACACGAGTGAAGAGGGAATGATCTGCAGGACTAGGCTGGTAACCTTGAGTAGCCAGACTGTCAGAAAGTTTGGCAAACCATTGCCGTGAGGCTTGCTTAAGACCATAAAGGGATTTATGTAGCTTGCAAACTGGATTAGGCATGTTGGGAGGACCAGAGACACCTGGGGGGAGGGCCATGTAGACTTCCTCTTCCAAATCCCCATGTAAAAAAGCATTGTTAATATCTAACTGATGTAAAAACCAGTTTCTTGCAGCTGCAATGGCCAAGAATAATCTTACTGTTGTCATTTTCACAACTGGAGCAAAAGTATCCTGGAAATCTATACCTTCAGTTTGAGTGTATCCCTTGGCAACCAAACGTGCCTTGTACCTCTCAATTTCTCCTGTAGATAGGTATTTGATTCTGTAAACCCATTTACAACCCACTTTCTTCTTTCCAGGTGGGAGAGACACAATGGTCCATGTTCCATTCTTTTCCAGGGCAAGAACCTCAGTTTGCATTGCATCATTCCATACTTCATACTTGACTGCTTGCTCATAAGACTCAGGTTCTGTGTGAGCAGAAATAGACAACACAAAATGTTTGTGTGCAGGTGATAGCTGAGTATAAGAGAGATACGATTCAATGGGATACCTTTCTTTTCTTGCTTCTGTGGGACAAGTCTGAGATGCAAATAACTGAGGTCTGCGAGTGACTAGGTGATCACATTCATACTGACTCAGATGGCTAGGTGGTTTGACAACTCTAGGGGGGAGAACTCGAGTGGATCCTATATCACTAGAAGCAAGAGGTGCACCAGGACTTGGAGGAAGATGGATAGATGGTGGAGTTTCTGGTGGACTCTCACTATCATCCTCAAAGGCAGAATCAACTTGGGAAGGAGGTGCAACAGGTGGAGATGGAACTGATGGTGTGTAAAGAGGATCAGCATCATCAATAATTGGAGTGCTAGGAGTGGATGCAGGAGAACTAGTGGCATGAGAGTGATGGAAAGGGAATATTGACTCATGAAAGAGGACATCACGAGAATGAAAAACAGCATGGCTGTCAAGATCATACAACCTATAACCTTTGATCCCAGTAGTGTATCCTAGAAAAATACATCTCCTAGACCTTGATGAAAACTTTGTTCTGGTACTGGGGAGAGTATAACAACGTTTTGGCCAAATAGGGTTTTGGGATTCAACTTACCCTCTCCCCTTCTTCTCATTGATATATATATAGTCTGATACAACTGAGACAGCCAGCTGTGCTGGTAAAGTGAAGCAGTGAAAACCAAAGGAAAAACAGAGAAGACAATAAACAGTGAAAACGGTCGCTTTAGACCGTTGCAAATGAAGCTCTCCCATTGATTGATGACTCTCCAACCTCCATTCGACATGTGGCTCCGGGACTCTTCATGTGTTGCTGAACGACGACGTCTCGGTACGAAGCAGGTTTGTGAGAAGAAGAAAAATCTGTAGTTTCTTCTTGTCCTGCTGTTAAATCTCAAAGTCTTTCGGCCAAAATAGTATTTCAGTAATTCACAAAAAGAGAGACTCAGTCCTTTACTTCTTTTTACCCTTCCGCCGAACTCTCTCCGTCTCTCTTAGCGAAATCTACGGTGAAACCGTCGATCTTCGTTGCATGCACTACCTATAACTTCCCCACAATGTCGGCGGAATACGTCCGGCGATTCTCCACCCTCTTCACCGGCTCACCCACCAACATGGTATTAACTCCTCACCAACTTATCTTTCTTTTCCCTTTACCATTCGCTTCCTTTCCCGCCATTAGGGTTTTTGTTTTTTTCTGGGTAATCTTCTTTCTTTCCAGGAGCAGCGATGGACGGCCTGTGTCGAGATAGACGCCATGATCGAGTCAATGGCGAGCAGAACTCCAAATGTGAAGCCGGCCCATGTTCAGCTCATCAAGCAGCTCCTTTCCTCCATCAACAACGTTACCCACGACCATCCCGTTTACCCCGTGGTAAGTTCCCTCGGAACCTTAGAAGAAGAAGGGAAAAACAGTAAAGTTTAATCAGAAGTAGGATGTTTAAAGTGATTTGTATTCGTCCGTGTAGATGATTCAGGAGGCGATGGCGAGGTTGAATGAGGGAATGGGGTGTAGTAAGAACGAGATATCTGAATTTATTGTGAGGGAGTACGATGTTTCCCCTGTTGTGAATTTTGCTAGGGTAGTTCATGAGTTGGATAAGCTTGTGAAGGTTAGGGAGATAGTTTTGACTCCAGAGAATCGGTACTTGGTTCGAGTGGACGAGAATGAGAGTGGCAGCGGTTCGATTCGTGGAATGGGACGAAAACGTGGTAGGCGTGGTAGTGGGAAGGGTTGGAGAGGCAGTAAGGTGAGGAAAGTTGTTGAGGAGAATTTGGTGGTGGAGGATGAGGATGGTAGTCAGAATGTAAGTAATGAAGAAGAAGAAGAAGAAGAAGAAGAAGAAGAAGAAGAAGAAGAAGAAGAAGGGTGTGAGGGTCAGACTGATGGTAGTAGGGAGGAAGGGATGGAGAAGGAGAAGTTCCCACCTGGGTTTGAAGGAAGTATTGACCAAATTGAGGAAAGGGGGAAGCTAGTGGTTCGTAGAGAAGTAGAAAGAATCGAACTTTTGCAAGGTGATGATGGAAGGAACGAACTTGCTTGTGGAAGGGAAGGTGAGGAAGAATCTGTTCAGGGGGCTGGTGATGTAGGGGAGGTGGACAGGGTAATTAACATGACTGAACCTGGAGGAAATGAAGATTCAGGAGACCCTCAAGAAACATTGCAAGCTGAATGTGCAAATGAAGGAACTGCATTGGTTATTTTACCGAGCAAAGAAGTGGAAGGTAATAATCCAGCAGCTCAAGTTGATCCGACTTTGAATGCGGAAACCCTTGAGATAGCAAGTTGTTTACAGCCTCTAGAAGTTGAAAGTGCTGGAAAGAAAAGGAAGCTACAGAAAAAACATGACAGAGTGTTGAACAGGATTGGGGATTTAAGGTGCATTCTCTTCCCTGTTGGTGTTTGTGTTCCAGTGGTGGTAAATCTTCTAGTTCGATTTTTCAGCATTATGTGGCAATAGCATGTCTGAACTTTTTGCTCCTTCCATGAATTTATAGCGACACTGTGGCAAGGTTTCATGAGGAGAACCTGCAGTCTAATGAAGCTGGGAACAAGAAACATTTGTTTGATGAGGCAAGTGAAGTTTCTTTTGATCGTTGATGGGGTGGAGTCGTGTGGCTAAGTATCTAGACATTGATGTGGTAATAAACTGGTTCACCTTATAATTTTTGGTTTGTGTTGATTATGACAGGAGCAGTATATGGAGTTATTGAAGAAGGCAGAAGCTGTTCAACTAGCTTTGGAGGATGCCATGGATGAAGTGAAAGCAGTAGATGTGTCGAACCATAGTGGGACGGAAGTAGTGGCATTGCCGTACTCTGTTTCAGGAACTGCACCCAAGCCCGAGATTTCAAAAGCGATGAGGCAGGGTAAGCGGAAACGGAAAACCAAGCATCATAAGAGGACTCGAGAAGTTCATAAACTGCTGAGATCTTGTCCAAAAGAGGAGGCGTGTGCAGGTATTCAATGCGAACAGTTAAAACGTCCAACAAAGCTAACGATCAAGTTAACCCCTCCGAGTCTGCCACTCCAGCAAAATGAATCATCTGAACGACAAATCGTTTGTGGCCTTGAGAATGAGGGCAAAAGTAAGTGGGTCCATGATAGAAGCAGTTCTCAACCTGCTCGAGTTCATAGTGTAGCTGCAAAGGGTCTTAAACCGAGAAGTGCCTGCCTAATGTATGATACGGACCGGACTATAAGGGGCCCTAGGTTCAAAATACCTCGGAATCGAGAGCCAAATGTCAAGGAATCAAGACAGGCTAGAAAACAGGAGGTCAAAATCCCTATGAAAGAATCAAATATTAATTGGGCAACAGCAGGGGATTGTACTCAGACTTGCAAGCAGCCCCAGGGCCAGGGTTCTTCACAACCTGAAGAGACATCGGTTGAAGTCCAAGCTGAGCCGTTAACTTCACAGCATGAAAAGGAGTTGCAAAATCTTGGGAAGTCACTTCCAATTGAGTTGGCTTTGGAGCCCAGTACTGGGCGGATAATCTATCTTCAAAATCCTGGTAAGCAACAAGGACAAGTTCAATGCCAGGGGGGTCATGGTAAGGACCAGACTAGTAATGACTTCTGTGATGTGAGAACTTTCTTAGACCATAGAGAACATCACGACAAACAGCAAGTGGAAGGTGTTCGTGAGAGTATCCCGAACTTGAAACCCAGTACTGGTGTAACTGATAACTTATCGCTGTATTTGGAGCATCAATCTTATGAGCAGGGAAAGCAGCCACAAGTTGAAGATCAAATATCAAATCAGTCGGAGGAGATGGTAAAACTGCAAAGTATTGTATCTAAGCAGCAAAATCATGATGGCCAACAGCAAGTGCAAGATAGCCATGAGGGTATCCCAAAGTTGAAACCAAGTGCTAGTATATCTGGTAACTCATTGGCATATTCAGAGCATCTATCTCATGAGCAGGGAAAGCTGCCACAGTTTGAAGATCAAATATCTACCGAGTCAGAGGAGATGCTAAATTTTCAAAGTGACTTATCTAAGCAGCAAAATCATGATGACAAACAGCAAGTGGACGGTACTAACGAGAACATCCCAAAGTTGAAACTGAGTGCTGGTGTTACTGATATCTTGTCGTTGGATTTAGAGCATCTACCTAATGAACCAGGGAAGGCACCACAGGTTGAACATCAAGTATCTAATCAGCCAGAGGAGATGCTAAAGTCACATATTGATCTATCTACGCAGCATAATCATGATGACCAACAGCAAGTGGAAGGTAGTCATGTGAGGATCCCACAGCTGAAACAATGTGCTGGTGTAACTGATAACTCGTTACATTCAGAGCATCTGTCTAAGGAGCTGGGGAAGCCACTGCAGGTTGAAGATCAAGTATCTAAAAAGCCAGGTGTAACTGATAACTCGTTACATTCAGAGCATCAGTCTAAGGAGCTGGGGAAGCCGCTGCAGGTTGAAGATCAAGTATCTAAAGAGCCAGAGGAGATGCTAAAACTAAAAAGTGATGTATCCAATCAGCTAGTGCAGCTGCAACATATTCAAGGTGAAGGAGCTAATCAGCATGAGGAGCAGCCTCAGTGCGAAAGTGAAGTTCGTGATCGGCTAGTGTATCAGCAACAGTTTCAAGGGAAAGGATCTGATCAGGAAGGAGGGCACCAAAGGTCTGAAGGGCAGGTATTGAGTCATCAGAAGCAGCATGAGGAGCAACTAGCTGGAAGCCATGAAGATAAGCAGCAGTGCGAGAAAAAACCAGTTCAACCACAGACATCTGATGAGCAGGAGCAAGGCCAAGGATCTTCCGAGCAGGAAGAGCTGCAAGTTGAAGCCCATCAGCAGAGCCCCTCCGTATCAGTACGTGCTAAGTCCGCACCTTTGACCACTCCATCAACTCATAAGCGCGAGCAGAAACAACACCAGCAACAAAGGGTTGTAGGGGAAGGAAGGTTGACAAGATCCAGAGTCGCAGCAGGAGCTGTAGCAGCTCTCTCGCCATTGTCGTCTTCTTGGCACCAGAGACAGCAATCTCCAGGGTCTTCAGACGAACAGAAGTGTCGTGAGAAGCAGGGTCGCCGCAGTAATATGAAAAATACGAGTAATGAGAAACTTCAAGGTCGAGTTAGGGGAACATCAGCTGCAAAGCTGCGTAGGAGCATATAGATGATTTATTTTGTTCTAAGCTTGGACAACGTTGTTTTGGACCCTTTCTGCCCGCCCAGATAGGTTAGGTTCATAGGTGGGATGCAAACAAATCTGCTTTCCAGCGATGGCGTTTGTGCAGCTCAATCGATTACTGATCTGTCGTTGTTCCGTTTGAAACTTAACAATAGCTGTTAATGGTGGCCGGTTGATCGGCATTTGGGGAGGAATTATAATTGTGGTGTATGTAACCGTATCAAGCTAAGTACTTTTCTATATGCATCTCGTCCAGCTTTGGATTCATTTGAAGCACTGGACAAAAGACAAAATCTTCCCATCGCAAACTCGATTAGGATTACTATTTGCAAACTAGAGAGACCACGACGATAAGGTGGTTTCTTTCGTTCCCTGTCTCCGTATGAACAGAATGCTCTGTTTTTTTTCTCTTCCGAGGAAACCAATAATTGTGACAGACGTCGGAGATAGTCCCGCGGGCAACCCACTATTCTTCAGATCGTGAAATACTGTTAGAACAGAGGAGAACGGGGAAGAGCCTCTGTTTTCCGGCGAGAAAACCCAGCGATGGCGGAAACCAAAGAAAGGAATTTGTGTTGGGCGAGTAGTGAAGTTGATTGGCCACTATTCATCATCGTATGTCCAAGAATTAACGACACGGGGTCGGAGGGAAAACGTTTTCTTCTGATATCTTACTCCTTGTGTGGTAATAAGGGAAACAACAGATAATCAGGGAAATTTACGACTGGCGAAGGAAGGAAAGGCCGGGGAACTCCGGCCACGTTATGGAGATAGAACAAAATCCCTTATCCGGCGACCAACACCGCCACCAGCCGTCGCCGATGCAGCAGGATGAAATAGGAATGCGCGAGACGGTAAACGGCGCAAGAACGAGCAACGGATCGGCGGGAACAAGCGCGAAAAGTGGAAAATACGGCGACACGAAACGGAGAAACGCGAAACGTTTCGTGACCTCAAAACCAAAACCGAAACGCGATAAATTGACGAGAAAGTGAAATTGACGAGATCTCACGATACGACAAAATATCGCGGTATTTTATCGATATATTGACTTTTTTGCGATATATTGACCCTGAGCCGACGTCTACCCCCCTGCTTGCGAAGAACAGGGGGGAAATAACCGGAAAAAAACCCAGAAAAATCAACCAGAGCTCACTGCTTCCGACTGAACAAAGCCAAAATGAAGAGGAATTTCGAAGGTGGGGAGACGAGTATGGAATATAGAGATACCGGGAAACAATTTCCGGCGACCGGCATCTCTGTACGTGAGAACCAACGATAATATTCAGTACACAGGCTCTGTTCTCTCTTCCCATCGACGTACTTAATTAGTCTTGAGACATGGGTAGCTGCAAGCTCCGCAGACGCGGCCGATCATCTGCGGCGGTCAAAGGTATTAGTCAATATCAAGTGATTAATAGAGACGGACGTGGATCCGATTACTAGTTCCAAAAGAAGGCTTTACGTGGCCCATGAAATTAAGGCCCAAGGACCATCATACGCAAATGTTCCGGATACCCTCCCGCCTTTCCTACAACCGCCGCCGTCGGCGGAGAAATAGGCTACGCAGAAAACTCTCCCTCTCGATTGCTTTACAGGAACCCAGAAGTCCAAATTCCAAACTGTAAAGTTGATTGCTCAGGGTGAAGGAAGAAGAAGAAAGAACCATCCATGGACGGCGCGAAGAAAACCGACTGCTGCGTAGAAATTACCTATATTCCTGATACCCCACCAATCCCTCCCGATCAGCAACCCACCGGTAAGTGAAAGACTCATCTGTTTCCGATTCCCATTCGCCTCTTTCCCACCCAATTTTTGGGTGCGCGATTTCAGAGAATGCCTCGTTCCTTTTTTTGCAGTGAGCGTGTTTGCTTCTGTGTTAACCGAGCCGAAGCATGCCAACAATCTCATAAGGTTCAAATTCGTCTCTTGTTTAGTTGCTCTCGAGCTTCCTGGACCTGAAAAGTTCCCATCTTTCTCCCCATTTAGTAAACAGATGGTCACCAATGTCGTCTGCTCTTTCTTTTGGTTTTGGAGTAGGAGGTTGAATCAGATAGCTCCACTTGAGGATCTCCCCCATGTTAAGCGAATACATAAGAGGCATCTTGAAGGTTGTAAATTTGGAATTTGGGTGTTTAAGTTTGTTGTCCATTTCGTTTTCTGTTCTGTTCTTTGTGATCTTTCTCATTGCTATTGCTTGTATGAACTGATTTCTAACAGGAAAAGTTCAGCTGTCAATAATCTTGTGTCTTGCTTCTGGGAATGATGACCAGCGGATTGCCTTGCCTCAGGCTGTGAAAGAGCTTGTCGACTCCTACCAGTTGAGTCCTTTTGTCACACAAGTGGGTCTTTCGTTTTGTGTTGTCTGTGCTTTTCAGTTCCTTTCTGAGTTTCTAGTGTGGTTGTGGATGATAAAGAACCGAGATCGTGATGATGAACTAGGCATGCTAGTGTGTTTGTGCTAAACCAGATGTTTTTCGGTAGTTAAGTATGATATAGCTGCATTTTTCGAGTTCTTAGGAGTTACTCGTCATAAATCCTTGGATTATGTAATAACTCTGGAACTTGGGATATTTGGAACATTGGGCTGCACCGGGACTAGCCTGCATTCTTCTCTTGTCTCTAGGGGAAAAGCTATGGCTTTTACAAGTTTTCATTTCTAGGTATGCAAATATGCTGCAACATCCAAAGAGCAATGGGTAGAACAATGCAAGCTATGGCCGACATCATACCATCCGCCTACTTTGTAAGTCTCGTCTCTCTGTGTTCTGGAGTCTGTGATTTTTTTCCGTAAAAAGGTTTATGTTCCTCTTCTGACTTATTATCTAACTCTTTATCTCTTAGGAAAGATTCCCGCATATGTATCATTATGATTGTGTATTAGATTGTTCTATCCATACTTGTCTGTTATTTGTTTCTGTTGCAGTAACATTGATGGCATTACTGGATTCAGCGATGAGGATTCACAATCAGTTTACCGCTTCATGAAAATGGCCATTGATTTGGCAAACACTAGAGACAATTTGGTAACTACTTCATGTGTTTTCTTCTCAAAGCAAATGAATAGATCATTGAAATGAATAGGACCGTCTGAAGTTATGTTTTCACTGTGATTGCCTACTAACAATGGTTCTCTTATTCTCCATCCTTATTCTCATGCGTGCAGATAACTAATGCTGCAGTCATCGTCAATCCTTCAGTTCAGCAGATCATTGCAAGTGCATGTGATGAAGCACACTCATGCCACAAACATCAATCGGCTACTAGCTGTTGCAATAGTTCAAATGGAATACAGAGCCAAGGAGGAAATCCTCTTTCAGGTGAATCTCTTGAGGAGCCTCGAAGATTGCGCATTGTTGCATCTTGTTTAAATCCTTGGCAATGGTCTCAGCAAGAATGCAGCAGTACATCAACTTCTTATCAATGGCATCCGTTGCGCCATGCTGCTCTTGTTGCTATCGAATCTTCTGCTGAAAGGGATAGACGCCTTTTCCCTGGCTCAGATAATCTTGCAAATCAGTCCTTTGAAGTGGAGCCTATGCTGTCTGCTTATGAAAGGTCACCTGCAAAAAGGCAGAAACCTGACCACGAAAATGTAAGCTTCTTCGTCTATATGACAAACCTGCATGGTTTTATTCAGTATTTGTCACTTAGGAATTGTCTCATACAAAAATAATTACTTGGTTTGAGAATGCCATCTTCTCACTGATTTCTGGCTACCATATATCAGGTGAAGGCTGTCGGGAATGGGTTGGATTCTGGTAATCATGATTCTAGTTCTGCATTGATGAGACCTTATTTATGCACAGGCTACGACATTTTCCTTGTTTGTGAGCCATGTCCAATGTAAGTGTCGTTGATCTCATTCTGTTCCTCCCGAGTTGGAAAAATGAAACCAGTTGGCCTTATACAGTCATATGATCTGATCTTCACTTCCCAGAGCACAATAACAATCTGTTACTTAGCTCTTGTCATGCCATGCTTTTGTTGGTGGTAGCTGCTTTTTCTCGGATCTTATCCATTTCTCCCAAATGGCGCAATTGTGTTATAGCCGACTGACATTTGGTTGTTTGAACTCTTGAAGGTGTGCAATGGCACTTGTTCACCAGCGAATCAGGCGGATATTCTATGCGTTTCCAAATGCAAACGCAGGTGCATTGGGCAGTGTTCACAGACTGCAAGGGGAGAAGAGCTTGAATCATCACTATGCTGTTTTCCAAGTGAAGTTCCAGAACGAAAGTCTAAATCTTTAGGCTTTACAGAGAGAATATGAAGCTAGTTTCGATCTCACGTTGATGTTGACTAGAACTGATTAGAATAGATTATGTATGAATCCCTTCTTGTTGTCCTCTTGGATTCTTGTATTGCACTTTGAATGTTGAAGCCAAGGGATGAGCAAAGTGAGCTGACAGAACGACTCATATGTTAATTATTTTAAACTTCGCTAACTGTTTTGTTAAAAATCGACTTCAACGACGGATTTGTTAGACCTTATGGGAAGGTATTCAATTTTCATTCGCCCCAATCACAGAGAAAAGGGTTTCACAATTCTCCCAGAAACCAATGCTTAAAGAATTGGCATCTACAAACAACAAGACAGTGACAAAAGATCTGCCTCTAGCATTGCAAAACTGTACAATGAACTAGGTAACTTGGCCTGACAAGGCCCTTCTTGCTCTATCTCCAAATCCTCACAAAATTCACTCAATCTTTTTCGTCTCATAAGATAAAAATCTTTTCTTTAACACATGCTTTCCTAGCCACAAAAAATCTCAAACCGAAAAGGTTATATACTACCAATTGATATCAATGAATGCATCTGAGCCCTCCACAGATTGATAACCAGATTATAAACAACACCAAGCAAACAACAACATCAATGGCCAGGACTATCTTCACTTGCCTCCACCATTTCTTCCGAATGTTCTGAGAGCTCGGCCTAATCCTCATTGTCGATCCTCCTAAATCCTTTTGAGCTGAGGATTGAGGAATTCCCACAGAAGCCCCTTGACTACTCGTATCTTGAGTGGTCGACTCACAAGCCTTATTTGAGTCAATGTCCCTCATGGCAATCACATGATCCTTTGCTGACTTCTTCTTCTCATGCTTGCTTGGTTTCCCCAACAATGGAGCCTTGGTAAGCTCGATCTGGCTTGTTGACGGAGAGAGACCACTGATGGCACCAGCATTCCATTCATTGTAAGATCTGTGCTCCAGAGAATTGATCAGCTGGGAAATGACCGGCACTAGCTGTTCTTGAAGTATCGAGTTCAACCCCGAGAAGCTGCTTCCTCGGGAGCCCTTTCGAGTTACCTTCTTGAATTCGTCTCTAAGATGTTCGAGAAAACGAAGCACGCCAGAACTCCTTAGCCCTTCATCAACAATTGTGAAGTAGATGAAGCCGTCTTCCATCAAGAACCCGAATGTTCTTTTGCCGATAGTCTCGAAGTACCACTTGTGGTACAAAGGAGGATTTTCTAAACACAATGTGGCTAACTCCTCGATGTCTTGTTGTTGGCCTTCTTTGGTGTATACGTATAGAGCTCGATTACCACGCGATACACAGCAATAACGGACTGTCTTCTCCATTGCTCTTGAAGCTCTTCCGCTACTGCTTGATACGTAAATGAAGGAAAAAAAATAACATCAAACTTCAAGCTACTAAGTTGCTCTGAAAAAGTCAAAATGCTACTCAAGGGACAAGAACTAACTGCAATTTCATCATAAACATTTAGAAATCAACACAGAAGATCGTTGTGATAACTGCTCAAAGGAAGCCCTAAATTCTCTCTCTCACACACTCCAATTGCCCTCCATTGAAGAACCAAGCAACCTGAAGGAAAATTCAGCTTGATATCATCAATTAGAGCAACCAAAGCCAGAAAATTTACACAATTTCCACTTAAAACCCTTTTAAAGGTTGAGACTCAAAGACACAGATTTGGGAATTCCCAGTATCGACAAGACCCAGAATCATAAAACAGCTACAGAGACCAAAATTGGCCGTCCTGGAAAAAAAAACCCCAGAAAAAAACCAACAGAACACAGGCCAAGGATCTAGTAACTTAGCCTAGCCATGAGAATCGGGACCTAAGCTTTATCAGCTGGCACCAAAAAAAGGGAAAGGGAAACGAAGGATTGCAGTGAACTCCAAGTCAACTTTACTCGGTCCTTTTTCCTTTTCTATCTTTCTCTACTAGAAACTTTCTCGGCAACCTCAGATGATCATTTCAGGAAGTGGGAAGGAAGAAGAGAACATCGTTTACCTCGTTAAAGTCTGAAACTTTCCTTTCTTGTTCTTCTCTTGAAAATAGAACGAAAGTTCAGAAGAAGTTGGAAGGCGAAGGTGGAGAGAGAGAGAGAGAGAGAGAGAGAGTCACAGCGCCAAATGATTTTGTTACTATTGTTGTTAAAACAAAATATACTGGGTGGGATTTTATTAAGATAATTTATTTGGGAAACTCAGAAAATTGATTTGGAAGTTTTTTTATGAGTCGATAAACTTCGACTCGTCCATAAATCATGGTCCATGAAACCGTACCAGAAAAGTCAGTGGTAGGGTATTTTATTATAAAATCGTGGTTTAACCGTAGTTTAACCGTTCATATTGTTAAATATCCCCTACCGATTTAGCCTTCGATACTGATATTTTGTGATTGAACCACCAGTACGGTACGGTTTCATGGACCATGCCATAAACACAAGACATTTTAATTTTGCTAACGAGAATCTAGTAGTAATGTAGTATCATAGATGATTTGTCAATCTAAACCTTTCAACTCACTTAAATGTAAAGCATAATAAATATAAGCTTAATTAAATGATTACGATGATTAAGCTTACTTTTAATTGCCAATAAAAACACTTCACAAATATTATTGATTTGCACTAAATATTATTATGTATTAACAGCTCAAATGATTATATAAATGTAAATTCACAATTCTTAATATAAAAAGACTCATTGCAAAAATCATCATTTTTTTGAAAAGAGAAAACTTCATTGTAATGATTTTTTTTTTCTCTTTACGAAAAGAACTTGTAATCTGACGATGGCTTGGAAGCTTCCCATTAGATTCTTCTTCGGATGAATTAATCACTTGATTAATTAAAACTCCCACCAAAAACAACATAATTTGTCTGATTTCCCGTCGTGACCTAAAAATGGATTGTATCACATTCATATTCAAGAGCCCATATAGTCAATCATTTGGGAACAGAGATAACAATGACTCAGATTTTGATGCATGTTAATATGAATCTTATTCTCATTTCCATCACATATTGTAAATCCATAATTTTGCCCATTTTTCGTACTGGTATTCCCATCTTTATTATTGTTATTTCAGATACGTGCAAGTAAACCTATATTTCAACAGTCGGACTAAAATTTTAACTAAAGTTGATGTAATTAAGTTGTAAATACGTTCGATTTGGAGCTTGAACGTTGAACTGTAGAGAGTAATGATAAACATAATAAAAATATAAAGTGTTAATAGAAAATTAGGTTTAAAATGTGGTATGTATGTGTTTGATGGAATTGAAAAAGTCATGAAATTGAAGAGTTTAAAGTTGTGTTTTGGATTTTTTGCGAAGGGTGAGAAGAGGGGATTAGATGACATATAATTGGGTGTATATAATACATAAGTTGAATTTAAGATGGATACTGGGGATCAAAATGGAAGCTAGGAACCTAGATCCATCTAACCCCATCCTCATCCTTTTTTTTTTTGCGAGCATTTCCCATAATCGATCATGTTTGATAAAAAAAAAATCAAATTTTCTCGTTGATTAAATAAAAAAGAGTCAGATATCCACACGATTACATTGTTTATAACGTAACGCATTGAGCTTTCTATAAGTTCAAACAAACACCAACACCTAACAACTTTTTTTCTCTTCTTTTTTGGATGAAGAAAGGAGACAAGGGAAAACACAACACAAGAAACTTGACAAAAGAAAAGGCTTTCCCCCATCTTGGCAATTGGAGCATTGCAAATAGGTTTATACATGAGATTTTGCCACTTCCATTTACAAAAAAGAAATTAAACCCTAAATCTAACTACTAGGTAAATAATAATAGGAAGAAGACAATTCTTGGTATTCACATATTAAAAAATAGAACTAATCCTTTCCCAGTCCAAAAGCCAAAATTGACCAGGCATGAACTTGGTTTCTTTTTGGTATATAGTTATCTAAACATAATAATTTTCCCTTTTTTGCTTATATATCAACCTCTTTAATATCCACAATGTACCATTTTCCTCCATTGTGGTAAAGCATCCTTGGTGAATGAAAATTAAGCAAAAGGTGAAATTGACATCTTATTATTTGTATTGTTTTTTTATTTATTTATTGTAATACATTTTAAATGAATGTAAATTTGATATGTAGGTCGTAATAAGTGAAGTCATGTCGATGCATAATTTGAACATTTAAATATGAGCAACATAAGAAAATACTTTTTCTCAATAAATAAAGTCGACAACATAATGTGAAGTTGCTCAAAATATGAGAACACAAGAATTGTACATTATCATCATCATCAAACCTGTTCAACAAGCCAAAACATACATAGATTTTAAGTATCTTGCCCATTATTTTTAGTTCCCTTTCAAAGCTACAACAAACAAAACCTACATTATGATCATCTAAGGTATACATATTTTCATATCCTGCACAACAAGGCAAAAGCATAGATCTTCTCCGGTTTTGGTTCCCTTCTCAAAGCTTCAACCTTTCCCTCATGGCTCTCCAACTAGCATTAGCCGCATCCAAACTCTCTTTCCCTTCAACCCACTTCTCATCGGCTTTCTTAATCTCCTCTTCCAACCTCTCCACCTTCCCCAAATCCTTCATCACCTTCTCAGTAGTCCTCTCCAACTGCACTGCAATCCTCCCCTTCCTTTCAGCCAGCTTCTTCTTCCTAGCCATCAGCCGCCGGATATCAGCATCAATCCTCTCCTCTTCCTCGGTGACGACCCTTGACCTCGACTCAAGCCAACTGAGCTTCTCCTGCCCAAGGACCAGCCTCGCGTCCACCATCGTGGTCTTTGTAGGGTGGCTGGTTCGCTTGGCATGTGCCATCTTCATGGTGATCATTGTGCCCGGGATGGTGGTCTTGAACTTGGCTAGGATGGTGAGTAAGTTTTCAAGCTCGGTTTTCTCGGCTGGTTCATTGGTGCTGTGCTGGATCAATGCGTATGTGGTGCGCTCGATGGTGTCGAAGGCGTTGGCCTGGTGGATTGCTTCGACTGACATGGTCATATATTCGGCCAAGATTTGCCGATAGTGGTGGATGTTGTTCAGACCGTTGCTGTCTAGTTTGGAACCTGTTTGAAACAACAATGCAGATTGATGTATGGTTAAAACATTCCATCACGTAAAAGAAGTTAGAGGTGACAAACTTTCTATCTGACCGTCACGAGTCTCAGGACCTACAATATTGAGTTGCGACTCAGGACATGACTCGATATGACCGAACTCTACAATGACCAGAAACAGGACTCCACCCGACTCGGTCTGACTCTGACTAACCTTGAATGATTTTGCCATTCAGTTTTGGGTATGCAGACTTTTCTGTCTGGTCACCGCAGCCCCTGGTTGATAACTTCTGCAGCAAGTTTCTCGATGAGACCTGCAGGCTGGAGAAAGACTGGGAGGAAATAGCTGATCCTTTCATGCAGCTTGCTTTAGAGGTCTTTGAAGAGAATGAAATCTGCAACTGAGCACAATCCTAGTTAATGGTAGAAAATCTTAATGAAGCTTCAACTAAATATGGGAAGATAAACATGTCCTAACCTTTGAGGCTATTGTACCGTTGGTTGAAATCGATGCTGGGGTAACTGAGACCTGGAAAAGCTCTGGTTCGCCATAGGGGATGGCAGTTCGAACTGTGTCACTGATATGGAACAGAACATCTGTTTCGTATTCAATGTGTCGGAATCCATTTGGTTGTTCATGTTCCAATGGCAATTTGATGGAGGTTTGGATCTCATCTAGCTTCTTGACCAATTCGGCCTCAGTGAGCTTTGGAAGTAGCTGTGCATTGGCAAAGTACTTCTGTGGAGATGAAAGGTAGAAAAACAAGCATAAGGACAAATTTTTCAGAGACGCATAAAGAGGTAGTGTGAGTGACTGCTGGACGGACTTCAAACCCATTTTTAGCATAAGCTTTGAGGCGATCACTTGCAGTGCTTGTTCTTCTTTCACTCATTTGAGGCACTCCTCCATTGCAAGTCGAATTTGTCTTAGCTTCCTTGATCAGTTTGAAAAGCTTTCTCTGTGGTGCTACTTGTGCCGGAAAAGTTACTTCTTCGTTTTCTTCCATCTTTTTGGTAATATGAGCACAAGTTGGCGGTGAAGAACGGTCCCTTTTACCACTAGTACCTTGGAAACCTGAAGATCAAGCAACATAAATCAAAGTTCAGAAAGTTTCATAGTGCTCTAGATACTTATAGATAAGGGAAAGAAACAAAGAACTTACATGTTGTGTTCTCAGTGTCAATGTCCATGTGGCTCATGCAACTTGAGCAACATCTAACTGATTCAGGTAATTCACCGTTTCCATTCCCACTCAAGCGCTTCAAGAGATGCGGGCAACCAGATATGTCAAGGCTTTCAAGAGAGTTCAGTTTAGAACTGATAGGAATCTGCTGAAGCCTTGTACAGTTCTTTACATCCAGGATGACCAGAAAAGCAAGGTCCCCCAGCGAAGAAGGAAGTTCTTCTATTGCAGTGCCACCGACATACAAATACTTCAAGTTCCTTGGAAGCTCAGGAAGAGTGCCAAGTTGGGAACAGTCAGAGAGATCTAAGGTTTCAAGTAACTTTAACCCGACCACATTTGGAACAGTGCCTAGACTTTTGCATCCCTTCAGATTTAGGCTCTTGAGTTTGGTCAAGAATTGGATGGAAGAGAGTTCAACCAAACTTGCACAGTCTTGGAGATTCAAAATCTCAAGTTTCTGAGCTGCTGACAAGTCAGGGATTTTAGTCAAGTTTGAGTGGCTGAGGTTGATCAGTTTTAAGTAACCAAGTTGCTGCAGCAGAGGGAGGGAGAAAATAATATACATTGAGTTGAAGGAGTAAAAAGTGAAGAAGCATAGCTTGAAATCTAGAACTCCTGAAGTTTATACCTGTTTTCCCGGCCATAGCTGCTCAATATTGCTGAAAGGCAGATTAAGCTCCACAAGGTTTTCTGGACAAAAGTGTGATGGCAGTGATTTTGAAGGGAAACCATCCCACCGCAAATACCTCAGCTCATCAGAAAGACTCTGCACGCATTCATCCAGAAGTTGAACTTTGTATCTGCCTTGAGAAGGTCCGAGGTTATGCAGCTTGAGCAATCTAAGCTTGAACATCTTCTCGAATGCCTTGGGACTCAAGCACATCTCTCTTGATTTAGCCATGTCAAGAAACAATCCTTCAACTCTCTTAGTACCCTAACATAAAATAATAATAAAAGAAGCAAAAGCACAAGCAAGCAGAGTAATTGATGAAGCCTTTCTAAATGATAATCCAAAAGAAAAAATTGGGACGCAAGAAAGTTTTCAGACATTTTTATCTTACAGTGCCTTTTGCCAACACATAATAGACATCATCTGGTTTCCACAACCTGCTGCGTTTCCCATTCTCCTCCGCTTCCTCGCGAACAATCTCACGACCTAGTTGTTGTAGCAACCCGTGCATGTACAGCTTGCCGTTAGAGATAGTCACTATAGCATTATCAATCAGTACTCCAAACGCTCTCTCTGGGAAGAATCCACAAGCATCCAAAATATCCCTTACTTCGTCAACATTCTCTCCATTGAAGAAGCAAGCAAGATCAAGAAACACCTTCTTATCCAACTCCTCCAGCCCATCATAACTCATCTTCAGCACATCTTGAAT